TGATGTTGTTGACTACGATGAAGAAAATTTGAACCCCGTTGAAGTCCTCACTGATGATGTTGCTGACTACGATAAAAAAAAACCTAAATTACGATTATGCAGATGACGACTCCAGTGACTATGAAGATGATGTTCATGGCGACTCCGGCGATGGCAGCGACGACTCTGATGATGGTGATGGCGACTCCGACTCCGGCTCTGGCGACTCCGACTCCGACTCTGGCTCTGGCAACTCCGACTCCGGCTTCAGCGATGGCAGTGATGGCAGCGACGACCCTGATGATGGTGATGGCGACTCCGGCTCCGGCGATGCCAGCGATGACAAACAAGTTCTATTAGTTATTGCAAATTAAACATTGTCTTATTAGTTATTGTAAATTAAACCTTGTCTTATTACTTATTACTAGATTTTTTGTCCGTGTGATGCACGGGATTTTAGTAAAACTAATACAAACTAAAGTTCAATTTAAACAGCAAAATTGAAGTTTCTATTAATTTTGATGTTTTGCTATATGCATTGATGATAAGCCCCTATCCATAAACTTTTTTTTGCCATATTTATTAATTTAATTTTATATTTATCTTATCTCAATTAATATAGAAGTTTGACGAATCTTCTTCTTTATCACCAACAACATGCCTCAATGAATATGTATTAGTGGAGTCAAAATTTTGAAGTTTGAGAGCTAATGCATAAAAAAATTAAAGGGAGTGATAATGTTATTGTACACAAAATATATATATATATATATATATATATCTAATAAATTAATAGAGATTTAAAAAATATTGAGTGGGACCATTGTCTGTCGTGATTTTATAAAGTAAAATGACAATTTTAATGGAAAAAAATACGTAGATTAAGGGCCCAAAAGTTTGTTGTTATTATTATTATTATTATTATTATTATTATTATTATTATTATTATTATTATTATTATTATTATTATTATTATTATTATTATTATTATTATTATTATTATTATTATTATTATTATTATTATTATTATTATTATTATTATTATTATTATTATTATTATTATTATTATTATTATTATTATTATTATTATTATTATTATTATTATTATTATTATTATTATTATTATTATTATTATTATTATTATTATTATTATTATTATTGTTGTTGTTGTTGTTGTTGTTGTTGTTGTTGTTGTTGTTGTTGTTACTACTAGTGAATAGTGTGTTTGCTTTTAATTTTCAATCACATATTTTTTTTCACTATTAAGTATAATATGATTTTTTTTCTCATCAATAAAACAAACGCCGGTGTTACCAATACAATCAACTCCCATCACGGCAAAACGTTTCCTTCCGTTACGAAAACCATAACCAAATAGTTTCACGACGAAAAACGTTCGCTAAGCTGGCAAAACAAGGTCGAAACTCAAGGACAATGCAATAATTCGGATGGTCGTGGTTGTCACGTGTACCGGAACGGGATTGGAACGGAATTGGAACTTACATAGAAATAACATGTAAGTTAGAATAATTCTAGAGATATTATTTTTACGGTACTCCATTTTTTTTCTACCTATTTAATTCTCTCCATTTATTACATTCAATACACTATTCCTTATCTCTCTGAGAGATTATCGTTTCCCTCTCTACCCAACTAACTTGACCGTCGGGCGTCGGGTACTAACGCAGAAAAAACCTTTCTCGACGCTCTTTTTTGCAGGTCTCGTAAAGCAGTGGGACTCTTTCTCAATCGGGTTTTCCTTCATCTTGGACTTCTCTTTGTCCTTATAACTCATCCCATTTTATTATTAATATTATTATCCGAATAAAATTAATAAATTTATTATTGTAGATTTAAAAAAAATATTTACTTCAGATCATTTCCGAATTGGGCCTAAATAGACCATTTCATTCATTGGGCCAAATAAAACCCTAAATCAATTCGATTTAGTACAACAGGCCAAAATATTAAATTATCCAAAACTCCATTTTATTTTATTTTATTTTATTTATTTATTTAATCCCAAGAAAAAAAGGAAAAAAAAAAAAAAAAAAATCTTATCATCCCATCATCATCTTCTACAAAGGTTTTTTTCCTGGTTTCAGTATCAAGTGAAAGCTAGCTCAGCGGGCCAAAAATGGCACTCTCAACGGCCAAATTTACCGAACTGCCACCACACCTTCTATCTACATTCTCCTTCCCCCGCCGCAGACCGTCGTACTTACCTTCCTTCCTCTTTAAACCATTCTCCTCTTCTATCCGCCCCACCAAATTTTCCAGAACGCCCCCCAGAAACCGAGATATACCCAAAACGCCCCCCGTTTGGATTAAAAAATGGCCGTCACCCCCTCCGGCCCTACAGCCGCCGCCAAAATTCACTTCGAAGAAACGCGAGCCGAAGCCAGAACCTGTTCGAGAAGGCACCACCGCAATCGACAGAATTGTGCTTCGGCTGCGGAATCTAGGGTTAGGCTCCGACGACGAAGACGAGGAAGAAGCAGCAGCAGCAGGAGAATTGGGTATACATTCGGAGAACGATAATTTAGACTTGAACGATTCGGCGAATGCTGAATTTGGGGACGAGAAATTGGGGGATTTGCTGCAGAGAGATTGGGTTAGACCGGATACCATTTTAGATGAAGACGAGGAGGAGGAGGATTACGACTCTGATGCGTTGTTGCCATGGGAGAGGAGTGTGGATGAGGATGATGAAATGGATGATGATGGCGCGGGACCCGCCAAGCGGTCAATGCGGGCCCCATCTCTGGCAGAACTGACGATAGAGGATGAAGAGCTGAGGAGGCTGCGGAGAAATGGAATGACTTTGAGGGAGAGGGTCAATGTGCCTAAGGCGGGAGTTACGGGTGCTGTTTTGGAGAAGATACACGATACGTGGAGGAGGTCCGAGCTTGTGAGGTTGAAGTTTCATGAAGATTTGGCGCACGATATGAGGACTGCACATGAGATTGTTGAGGTTGGTGAGTTCTGGTTTTGGAATGATTTCAATATCGTACGATGTATTGTTCATGTTGTTCGATCATGCTTTTTTTTTTTTTTTTGTTGCACCATGTTCGATATTCAACTGGAACTTAAACTAAATTTCAAGAAAAAGTATCGTTTCGGTTGTGAAATGAAGTTTAGTACCAAATCAATAAGTCTGCATTGTGAAACCAGACAGTACAAGTACAAATTAACCACTTTTGAGTTGTCTCACAGAAATGCTATTGGAAATGAAGTGATCGTAAACATCATAAATGGCGAAACTTCAGTGTCGATAATAATAGATTCATGCGTATCTTGGGGTGATATTTAAGTTGTGCTAATAAACTGCCATCTCCCCTCACAAGCTAGGCATGTGTCATACGAGGACATAAAATTACTTGAACTATCTACCTTTTAAGTGAAAAGGGTATGGAATGAAAACAATAATCTATTCATAAACGGATCCCACTCAATCGAATGTGGATATAAAAACTATATATGCACCCACCCCACTAATTCGAAGTTCCGTGCTGTTTCACTTGAATAAGTAGGAAGTACATATTCGAGGCTATAAATGCTGACTTCCATTTTTCCCTTATCAGCGCCGAACAGGGGGTCTAATCACATGGAGGTCTGGAAGTGTTATGGTGGTCTATAGAGGAGCTAACTACGAAGGCCCTGTTTCGAAACCTCAAAGGATGAACAGTGAAGATGATGCTCCTTTCGTCCCCAATGTTTCCTCCTCTGACAATTCAGTCGCGCAGAATACTGATGCTGGAAGTCAGGTTCTAGAGAGGTCCAATCCAGCAGCTATATCTCGCACTGTTAAAAAGACGACAGAAGAGGAAGCTGAATATAATACTCTGTTAGATGGTTTAGGTCCGCGATTTGAAGATTGGTGGGGTATGGGAGTGCTTCCAGTCGATGCTGATTTACTTCCCGGGACAATTCCCGGATATAAAACGCCTTTCAGGCTTCTTCCCACTGGAATGCGTTCACGATTAACCAATGCTGAGATGACTAATTTACGGAAGCTTGCTAAGTCGCTTCCTTCTCATTTTGCTCTTGGTAATTGTACTAGTTTTTGTTGTTGTGTTCTTTCACTTTGCTAATGTCTGTTTTGATAATTTTTTTTTTGTGTGTGTTTGATCGATCTTCCAGGAAGAAATAGAAATCACCAAGGTTTAGCAACTTCCATAATTAAACTATGGGAGAAGAGTTTACTCGTTAAAATTGCTGTGAAGCGTGGAATTCAGAACACAAACAACAAAATTATGGCTGAGGAACTGAAGGTATATAGATTGTTTTGCTTGTCATGTTTAAGGGTGCTGGAAAATCTGTAAAGATGAATATTTGGTTATTTTATGTTCATGTGAAAATAACATACTTGGCAAATCCGTAAAGTGGTTGTTATTAAATATTGTCTTTTTTTTTTTGGGGGGGGGGGAGTAAGATTGTCAATATGCCGTTTGCTTTGTGAGATTTCGGCATTCTTACAAGGAAAAACATATTACATGCTGATTGCAGCCTTTAGATGAAATTGTTGGATACTATAGCACCCCTTTTTGTTTTTCATTTTATCAGTTATATTGCATTTGTGGTCGATACTCTTTGACATTCTCACTTATGTTCTGGAACATTTACGCAACTCAAGAAATAGAAAAAGTTGAGATTTCAACATTATGAAACAGTTTGAATCCTAAGTCCTTGGATGCTTATGGTTTTTGAAAATTCGAGCATGATTTCATTTTGTATTCATTATTATGCACGAGTTTTATCACTCTAGTCATTTACTGCGTCCTTTTCATCTCCTCGTCTACTGTAGACATTAACAGGGGGAGTTTTACTTCTAAGAAACAAATATTACATAGTTATGTACCGAGGAAAGGATTTTCTTCCTCCCACTGTGGCTACTGCTTTAGCGGAAAGACAGGAACTGACAAAGCATATACAAGACGTTGAAGAGAAAGTCAGGGGAGTACCGACAGCAGTGCCGGTGGCTGAAGAGAAGGAAGCTGCCGCCGGTACTTTGGCGGAGTTTTACGAGGCTCAGGCTCGGTGGGGAACAGACGTTTCTGCTCAAGACCGTCAAAATATGATAGAAGAAGCATCCAGAGCCAACCACGCTAGAGTGATCAGGCGACTTGAACATAAAGTAGCCATTGTAAGTATGTCGTATTTTGAAATTTATGATAACCATCAAATTCATATCCATGGCTTAGATAAGAATTAAGAGATGAAAGACTTATTGAGTTTCTTGCATTTACAGTCACAGACAAAGAAGCTCAAAGCAGAGAAACTGCTATCTAAAATAGTGGATTCTTGGGTTCCTATAAATCCTTCGGATGACATGGAAACAATTACAGACGAGGAAAAAGTTATGTACCGTAAGGTTGGATTACGAATGAGAGCTTATTTGCCAATGGGTGAGGTTTCTTGATCTTAGGGTACAATTGCTAAAAGGGTTTTTTTCTTTTTTTTAATATAAAAGGAAAAATAATATTTTCTCATGGCCTTCACCCAGGCATTCGTGGCGTTTTTGATGGTGTTATTGAGAACATGCATCTGCACTGGAAACATAGAGAACTCGTCAAGTTAATATCAAAGGAAAAGGAACTTTCTTATGTTGAGGAAACAGCAAGACTTTTGGAATACGAGAGTGGTGGAATATTGGTGTCGGTCGATAGAGTTCCGAAGGGTCATGCCTTGATTTACTATCGAGGCAAGAACTATAGTCGACCTCTCACTCTCAGACCTAGAAATCTTCTGACAAAGGCAAAAGCACTCAAGCGTAGGGTGGCTTTGCAGCGATATGAAGTTAGTCATTTATTCTTTCTGTTCCAGCGTTAATATCAACTTAAATACGCTCGTAAAACTGTATCCAACTTATATATCTGAATTTGTTTCGTAGGCTCTCAGTCAGCACATCTCTGAACTGGAGCAACACATTGAGCAAACAAAACAACAAATTGTGAGTTTAACTTCTCTACCTGGTTAAATACTTCATTAAGAATTACCTTCTGTTTGTTTCTTGTAAATTCTCCAGGGCTAGATGATGAGATAGAAACTTAATGTTTTCTTATTCCACGTTTTTTTTTAAATTCCAAAGCTTTATACACAAATTCATTATTCTATTAGGGCAGTACTGGAAAGCAGGAAAACAGCAAGCGTTCGAATTCTAAGGAGAATGGGCAGTTTAATAATGTATCAAAATTGGATCAAGTAAGCTGTTTTTTTCATTTATCCAGCTGGTTTTAGATGTAATGCAGCATTGATGTTGCTGCAATAAAAATGCTGTTTTTTTTTTTTTTGCAGAGTGAAGAAGTTTTGGATATGGATTCTGATGGTGATGAAGATAATGACTGGGAGGAGGACGACACCGATGAAGACTCTGACTTTTATAGTGACGACGACGACACATAAATATTTTTCCATCTTATAAAGTCGGCTAACTAAAAACTTGTTATCAGTGTGCAAGAAGAAAAAAAAGCTAATCTATTCCGAGACGGAAGAAATGGACCGAGCACAAGAAAGGATTTCCCCATACGGTATATGCCCTAATTTAAAGCAAAATTTTGGAGCATCAAATGCAACGTTGAATATGATTTTGCAATAGGGGAGGCATTGTCCGGTGATCATTTGTGCGAGAGATAGTGTACGATTATTTCGAACTAAAGAAGCCACAACAAAGCTTCTAAACACGTTTTTGTATATTTTGGGAGATCTGTTTATTGTAAGACAAAATCCTCAGCAACTACTTGTATGTAATAGCCGAGTTTATGTACTTCAATTGTAGGCAACTACTACATTTCATTGGTTTATTTTCACACGCTACTCCAAGGACATTAATTTACGTTATACGAGAGTGAAGACGATAAGAAATTATTACTAGAATTAGTTATTAAGTTTACCAAATCAAACATGAACCCAATTCTAGTAAGAGTTGCCAACAAAAACATAAATATGATTACTTTCATTTAGGTTTAAAAAAAAAAAAGCGAATCGAAGTGTATATCAAATGAGAGCTACATAGTTCGGTAATTCAAAGGCACATCGTTGGTAGTTCAAACGGAAGAAATATCACAGAATACGCGGCGGTGTTCTTTTCAGAAGCTGTCCACTATGGCATGTGAAGAGGCGGCATTTTTTTTTTCTTTTCGAAGAGATGCGAACACCGAAAATAGGAATAAATGCATCTACAGCACACTTTTCACTGCCGGAGCATTTGCCGTAATTGAAGAATTTGATTTCTTTGTTCAGTGGGGAGCTTATTGATCTGGTCGGGAGTGAGGCTCATAACTTGCTGCAGTAGTGCCTGTTCCAATTCAGGAGTCAACTGCACAAATAAAAAACGCTGGATTATCAATCCGATCAAGAAATTCACACCATTGATCCACAAGATAACATCAAAAGCCAAACTACAGGAGAAAAGCAAGAAATAAAATTACCGGCGGTGGTCTAGGAGGCTGGCTGCTGGGTCCCGCCTGACCACCAAAGGATGGTGGTTGTCCTTGAAACTGGCCAGCTGTACTTTCAGGCATCCAATTGGATCCTCTATCTGTTTGCTTGGAGCTTCCACCTTGATTGTAATCCATTCCCATGTGAGGATTTCCTGCCTGGCCCTACAAGAAATATTCATGTTTACGTGTCAAGCCAAACTCATCACGAAGACAAAAATTGAAGTGTTGGAAAGTTAATCGAATGTCAAAAGACATATATCCTCTTGTAAATTATGTGATTGTTGATGGCACACGGAATGCATTTGTCGGGAAGTTTTAGAAAGCCTACACGCACATACACCCACACCCACACACACACACACACACACACACACACACACACACACCCACACACACACACACACCCACACATGATTCATGATTCAAAACGGTCACTGAACATGGATGAAATAGGAAGATAAGGAAAGCATATAAAGGTTAAATTGGAGGTTTAATAGCGGGTGAGAGGAATTTTATTTGGTAGTATAAATGTACAAGTGGCTGAAGTATCTCCTTCGTGGTTATACCAAAATATTAGATAGTTATTATTCCTGTTGTAAGTATCGAAAATGCAGTAGTCAGTCAATAGAACATTGCCACTAATATTACACAAATAAAACCACCGAAGGTTGATACGAATCCTAGGACCCGGGGATGAAAATAGAACAGTATCGTCTTCTCTCAATCTACTATTAGTGTGTGCATGTATGTGTTTTGGGTTTTAGTAAAAATCAAATTATGATATGAGGAGCTGGAGTGACCATCTTTGACGAAATAAAAAATATAAATCAAGAATTTCTGTAACCTCATACTTTGCACTGAGTCAATTGTTACAGCATAAAAGGGCAAACCTGATAAAGCGATGGGGGCAAAAGCTGATTTTGAGGTGGTAGCTGCCCCTGCCCCTGCCCCTGCTGAAATGAAGGCCCCACACCAGTAGGCGGCTTTCCACCTGACTGAAATTACATAATTTTAAATTCACAAAAAATAATAATAATAATAATAATAAGATTCACCGAATGTTGAAATGAACATCACACGCAAAATATCTAGCTCACATGAAACATATGTTGTGAATGGTGCATCTGTGGTCCAGCAGGGTGTTGAAAACCAAAACCCTGTCCCATTTGAGCATGACCCTGGTGAGGGAACCCCTGTGCCTGCGGTCTTGGTTGTGGCGGCAGAGGCGGCTGTAGTGGCTGCTGTACGGGCAAATATTGACCGCCACTGCTCTGTAAAGGCGGCTGTGATTGTATCGGGGGCTGATGAAGTGAGGGCTGCTGTAACTGTGAGGGCAGTGAAGGTATAGTGGGCTGGTGCTGTGAAGAAGTATGCTGTGGCAATTGATTCAAACCTGGGACTTGAGACAACTGAGGTAACGACATCGGTGCTGATTGTTGCGGACCAATATGCCCCTTAGGTTGCTGTATTGGTTGTGAGAGATGTGATGGCTTGGATGGAGGTTGGGAGTTTGGGGGAGGAGTAAGTTGAGACTGAGAGTTTGATACTGTAGGCTGATTTGTTTGCTGCTTTCTTATCTGGTTCTGAGCAATTTGACCTGGAAATGATGATGTGGTCTGAATATCGGGCTGCTGCTTCGGTATGGCTGATGGCTGTGGGATTGCGGGTGACTAAATAAAAGCAAAAAAGTCAGAAAACATTTTTTTCTTTTCGGGATTGATAATAAGCAAGAACGGTGTAAATGAGACAGAGAGCATACCGGTGCTGCTTGTGGGGGCTGAACCATTCCAAGCATAATTTGTGCCTAATGAAAGAAAGATTAAAATAAGAAATGCGTCGGATATAACAAAGTTCTGTTAAAAATTGTTAAAAGAGTACTAGTTTACAAAAATAGGTGACTCTATAAACCTGATGTAAGACAATTAGACGATAGATTGATATTAAGTACGTTTGAAGATCACAATCGTGAAGAGAGAAGTAAGACAGAACATTCTGAGGAGCATTAAGGTTCATAGATTGTAAAAAGTTCTCCATTCGAAAATTTCAAACGTAATACATCGTTTACCTCTTTCTCGGGACCTGCTAATGCAAAAATAATCTGGAATAGAAAACTTAAATAGCAAACTATCTGTCTAGCACTAGAATAGTATGAAGAACAAGGGTAGGGTATCATCAGCTAAGAATTCTCAACTGTCATAAAATGCAGACGATCAAACCCCGTACAATCTATCTATAGCTAATTGCCATCGCTCTTTACATTACTTCAAGACTCATCCTTTCCCCAGACTGAAAAATAAAAATAGCTCCACCCCCTAACCCAACCCACACACACACGCGCGCACGATACATTAAACACGGAAAACGAAAAAGAAAAAGAAACCATAATAGAAAACTATTGACGGTAAATTGGAGAGGAAAACCCTAAATTGAAACAAACCTGGAAAAGGGCTCTAGTCAAAGCTGGATTTTGAATAAGAATTTGCCTCGCTTGTTGCTTGTTCTGCTCTATCAATGTCTGCACACACACACAAGAAAAAAAAAAATCATTTTCTCAATCGTTCAATCTAGCTTAAATTAGGGAAAGCACGCAGAGCCAGCAATCGATCAATGTGCGAGTGTTTATATACAAAACACTCTTAAATCGGAAAAAAAAATTGTACCTTCATCTGAGACATAATGTCGTAGAGCTGATTTTTTGACATGCCGGCGATGTTCGGCGGTAATCCGTCGCCGGAGACTTGCTTTCCCGCCATTCTTTTCTCCACAAACCCACCCCCAAAATATGATTTCAGAGAGCAACGCAGTGCGTATGGAGAAGATTTTGATAAATGCCAAACGTTTCCTTAGGGCTTGTTTGGTTGAACAAGGCCACGTGTAAATTAATTATTATTATTAAAATAAAAAAACTCAAAAAATACGAACAAAATATGATTGGGCGTTTTTCATTGGGCTTTATGTGACCCTAAAAACACTATTGAAATAATATCCAGCCCAACAACTATATTAAAAAAAATAAAAAATCGATAAACTAGTAATCTCGCTTAAATAATAATTTCTTCAGGTTTCGAATCGATGAAAATGTATTAATTTATTAGTTCGATAATTTAATATTTTGCTAATAAAATTTTGATAGTCCTGATCCTGACTGTTAATTTAAAGAGGTCTAATTGTACCCAATATATTCTATTAGGTCTGATATCTACAACTGATCGAATATCGATTATATACTCTTTTATTCATATAAGACCTAGCTCAACAATAATCTTAAACCCGACCCTAAATCGATAACCAAATGCTATTAGAATCAAGATCAACTTAGGCCTCGTTCAGCTACTCGAATTAATTTGGATTAGATTGTGCGGAACCATATTACTCACTAATTAATTATTTAGCTCACAAGATGTTCGACCCATTATATCGTAAAATTTGTTCATCGCTCGAACATGAAGACAGGTATTTATTTTATTGGATAATAACATTTAAGTGCGACGCTCGACTTTTTAGCATGATTGAGTTAGTTTGAATATTGTCATCGAAACGTGTTACTAATTCTTACTATTTAGTCAATAAAATTTAACGGTGGCCATAAAAAAAAATACATTAATATTGGGATTGGATGGGCTTTACTAGTGGGCTTTTTATAAGATCCGACCCTATAAGCAACTGCTTGTTCGGATACGGATCTCTCTCTCTCTCTCACTCTCAGGCGGTGGGCGACTGGATATTTTTTGGGTGAACCGTGACGCGCTACTGGTCTGGAATTGATATCGCACCACGCACGCACTCACTCACGCGCCGCCGGTACATGGCGATTCTCTCACTTTCCTTCTCTCTACCTGCTTCCACTCCGAAAGCGGCGATGTTTTTAGCGCCTTCTTCTACCTCGACCTCGTTTATGGCGTCTTCTTCAAACGCCCTTCCTCTGCTGCCGCCTTTGAATTCTGTCCAGACGAGATTGAGCCGCGGTCGCCGGAGGTCAGGGATTGTGGCTATGGCTCCCGATGAAGAGAAGATGACTCGCCGTTCACCTCTTGATTTTCCCATCGTGAGTTTTTTTCCCCCTTTCATTTTTTCCTTTGTAGTTAATTTCGATTGTCTGGAATTCAGCTAATTATTAAATTGTCAATTTTAATATTTTTATCTGTACAACACTTTGGGTTACATGTTGTGTTTGATTGTTTGTTTGTTTTTTTAGGGTTCATATTTAATTTGGAGAGTATAAATCCCATAACCCCTTGCTAGAAAATGGGAAAAAAATATTGAAAAACGGTGTAATATAAATTCGAACTCGTGGTATCGAATTAACTAGTTCGAGAATATACTTGTGTACGTGGTGCTGCCTGTGTTAAAATGAAATTTGACTAAGTAGCTCCGATCCAATGCCTCGTTGATGTAGGCAAATTTTAGTTTCGGATGGAGGGCACGAGAATTCGATGAACTTGAGGATTCGTTTGAATCGAAATAAGATGTTTTCACTAGCTGCTAACTCTATGGGGGAAAAATGCATTCGTATTGTTATTGGATTAGAAAACGCGATTGTAAAATGTTTGCTAGTATTCAATATAGAAGAAAACGCGATTATCGAGCTCAGCTGGTTATCGTACAGAAAGACGACGCTAATATCTTTTTCAATTATATATTACACCAAATTATTTTTAAAACAGGAAATCTTAGTCCAAAAGTATTTTTATTAACGGCCTTCACTCGTGAGTCATGAAATGATGTGGCAACTTAAACAAAAGCTCGACTTTGAGGGATACTATTTAATGTTGTAGATACACAGTTATTAGTAATTCGATCAGAAGGAAAACTAGTTTGCTGATCTGTCAGTTTATGTGATTGCATAATGCCGATTTATAATAAGACTTGGGCCCCGTTTGGTTGTCCAGATAAGCCATGATTAACTAAATAGTTGGACTTAATTTGATGTTTGGTATCCTCTATAAATTGCCGGGTCGACCCGCCAAAATTATAGAATCATGGCTTATCTTGCCTTCATATGAGTTTTTTTTTGTTGGACGTTGCAAGCTCCAATGAAATAATTGGGTTTCATTAGATTATTTAATCTTATCTTGGCTAATCTTATCTTGCCAACCAAACGGGGCCGTATTGAATTAAATTTATCAGGAGTGGGATAGGCCAAAGCCTGGAAGGAGACCCGACATATTCCCACAGTTCAGCCCGATGAAAACTCCATTACCACCTCCAATGCCATGCGATCCAGATGAAGAAGACGAAGAAGACGAAGAGGATAAGAAAGAGGAAGACGAGGAAGATCCAGACAAGGAAGATCCGGACAAGCAAGAATAGTACTATAATTCGTTTGTTTTGACCATTGCATGAAATCTTCAATGGGTTTCACTTGGATGGTTCCCTACCTAGTTAATTATTTTTGCAGGTTCTGGTTCTTTTGTAGGAGTTGAACGAGAGACGAGGTTTTCTACTCGGGTGTTATTCCATAGTTGATATGTATTACTGTTGATTTATTTTTGTTTCTGTGCAATTTGTCGCCTTATCTAATAATGTTCAACGTAGGCATAATATAAAGATATCAATGGTAACTGTTGAACTTATTTGAAAATTGTGTTTCATGTTTGGAATTTGTGATTAATTTGCATACACTTTTTTTTATATAAATTATCGAATTATTTTGTGGAAAATAGTACGTTTGTGCGCGAAGATTGTCCTGAATTAAAAATCGCCAAATGTGTGTGATATTATGTGTAAAAGCTCTTGCAGGCTCGATATTGGTTACCGGTCAATAACAACAAGCTATAACATGTTTAAATTCATAAATTGTATTACGAACGCAATAACTTAATAACACAATGGGGTATGAGTAAACACTGCGTCAATGTTCATTAAAAAAGCTGGATTCATTTTTTGCCACTTTTCTTCAAACCGGCACCGCCAAACGCTCCCTTCTGCTGAGCCTTTGCCTTTAGCTCCTTAATAGCCTGCAACATAATCGTAACGACTCATATCGGTTATAGGTCAAACAGAAGGCTAAATCGACCAATTAGAAGAAGTAGTTCACCTTTTCTTCGTCCTTCTTCTTTTGAATATTAGCCTTGTCAATCTGTATAATATTCAAAACATACTATAAACAACTTTTATTCGAAAATAGTATTGTCCTCAAGCCAGATATACAATAACAATGAGACGTTCATAAATGTTCTAGTTAGTCGTATTTTCAAGGAAAATAGATAGAACAACTAACACAAGCACGATACATGAATAACGCTCCAAGTTATACTCCTGTCTCGTTTTCATTCCACGAGATGCAAATGCCTTCAAAATAATACTCAATTTCGAGAAGAAAAAACAGAGGAGAATTGGTTTCTTTTTCTTTCTTTTTCTTTTTTTTCTGATGAAAGAGGAGAATTTGTTTCCACTTATCCGAATTTAACTTTATTTTATCTTCGATCCAAATGGAACACAAGTGGATTGGAAAGATCGAACTCGATAATATAAAACAAATACCAGAATATGTATAGTAAGTACAGCAAAATGCGATAACCAATGATGACAAAGTTATAACTCAATGGATCGAAGACGCATATTTTTTAACATATACAATTGCACCAACCGCCATTACCTTCTTCGAACCACAATGAAGAAAAAGACGAAGATAAAAGAAATCACAAATGCTAGAACAAATCACAAATGAAAACAACGATATTCATCATTATCAACAGAGCCAATCACAATTCACAAATATATGAATCTAAATCAAATTGGAGAATGATCGGTACCTCGTCGTACTCTTTCTTCTCGGCTTTAGGTTGCTTCAAAGGCTTGGCTTTTCCTCCTGATTCAGAACCAAAAACAAAAAAAAAAAAAAAAAATCAAAATCGTAAATAAATAAATAAAAAAAACAGCACATTGATCAGCAAATTTCATATTTTTTTGGGTAAAATCTGAAAAACCAAGAAATCCTCCAATTTTGAATACATTTATGAAGAAAATTTAAATGAAATTACCTTGCTTGGTAGACATGATTGAATTCTAGGGCTAGGGTTTCGCTGTGATTGTGGAATTCACCTTTGAACAGAGGAGAAAAAGAGAAGACAACCCCTAACCCAATCGCGTGGAATTTACGAAAAGATGGTTGCCGGAAATAAATTGGAGTTGGGTATTTATATACGGGCGCGGCAAAATGCGAATTTTCCTATAAGCCCCTTAATTTTAAGTAATGTTTCCTCTGCCCCTAAAAGTAGGGGTATTCACTAATCAGTGATTAGCAATAATTGTTTCTTGATTAAATATGTATTAATTTTACCCCGTTTCAAATAAATGTATTTTTTTTCCATATTAAATGTCACTTTAGAGTTTTCAACAATTTTTTTCTATATTATTGATTGTTCGAGCTCATTAATTTGTGCGGCTAATTTATCCTCTTCGAAGTTTGTTAAGGGGCAATCTATGATTTTTTTTGGGTAAATTGCGGCCACCTCCTGAAATAAGGTCAAATTACAAAAAGAAACCCTCTTGTTTGAGTAATTACAACCATCCCTCGATTATGGATCTTCTTATACATCCACTCTTATATATGGTGTCAAATTCAACATAATCTTCTAGATTCCGTGAAATATTCTATAGTTTGTACTCGTTTTGAGCAAAAATGCAGTTTTCCATGCACCACAATCTGATATATACAAGCCAAAAAATATATCTTATGGATCATCTTGTTTCAAAATATGGAGCTGGATAGGGGTAAAACGGGTACAAACAAGAGAATATTTCACATCATCTAGAAGATTCTACTAAATTTGACACCACAAGAGTGGGCGTGTAAGAAAATTTATAGTTAAAGGATGGTTGTAATTATTTAAACATATGTGGTTTTTTCATAATGAGCCCTGGCCTCAAAGTGACCGTAATTTACCCTTTTTTTTTTAAATTAAAATGGAGACTATTTTTATTAGGTTTCTCAATTTGTGTATTCTCCCATATTAATTTTATTTTGATCATATATACATATCGAACATCTAACTATGCATGCATATTTACATCTATCCAACAAAACAATACAATATCAATTAAATATTTCTTGAATAACAAGGCAAGAAATTTTCTTGGAGAATAAGACTAAATAAAATTGTATACATACACATATATACATATATATTTCTTTTTTATCTATCACTTCCTTTGTACAAAGTTCATAGGGTTCGATATGAACGAGGCCAATACGCCCAACGTTTTCTTGTTCATTAATTCAAAACCACTAACCCAATGCACACTCTTCAATTCACACCCTCTCTCTCACTAATTAATTAAATAAATAATAATAAATAAAAATAAATAAACCCAATTCCGACCAGCAAAATTTGTTCACTCCATTTTGTATCTTCTTACATATTATGGTATGTATTTTTTTCATCTATATATGCTCCATGCTTTGATATTCACGAGTTTGACTATATTAAAAAGTCGTGTGTATTTATGTAATTATGCGATTTTGCAGGTTTTCATGGCTAAGATGATGACGTCACTGGCGAGAGCAATGGGGTTGCTGGTGGCTCAGCCGGCGGCGACGGTGACTACGGTGTTGTATTACAGTGACCTCCTTCCTCGGAGCGTTGACTTTGACCGGTTTGTTCGGCATGAGTTGTTTGTTGAGTCTGATAATTTCTTTCTTCATTTTCTCGTCAATTTCTTGAAATGTTTTTGGTAGATTATTTATATATTGTTGAATTAATGATAATTATATGCATTTGACTGAATTTGGACTTTGGAGTAAGGGCTTTAGAGTATGGAATTTATTAGAAAAATAATTTTTGATAATATTTTATTGTCAATGTTTGACGTTTTGTCCTTTTTATTGTATGTAATGATAATTTGATTTAATTTAATTGGTATAAAGTTACTCCTTTCTTTCCATTTTATTTATTTTTCTAGAGAAATTTTTGAATTTCAAAATAATTGTCATTTTAGTTTCAATAATGTATTTATTGCGTTTTTTCAACTATGCCCTTATTACTATTAAGAGAATTAATGGTTAAATATTTAAAAAAATGGTTTTTAGTCATTTTATTATGATTTTTCAAGAATTCATGCAGATTTATTAGTTTTTCAAAAAGACAATTAAAATAGAGAGGAGGGATTATTATATTTATTTATTAGCAAAAATAATAATATTAAGTGATCCCTGTAGTTTGAACTTTATAATCATGCTCATTAAAAAGAGAATTTTTTTGAACGTACAAATAGATTATTTGTTTATATTAAAAGACAGATTTGTTCGACCCTACACTCGGTGATAAACATCAGATGGGTCTTCTGTTGCCACGTGTCTCTTTTTTGTATTTTATAATATATTCTCCGCTAGGGTTTACCTTTAGGGGTTTTAAAAAAATGAAAAGAGAGATACGTGGCAACAGAAGACTCACTCGGTATTTATCACCGAATGTAGAGTCGAACGAACCTAAAAAAAAAAAAGAGTGTTATAGTCAAAGCCCAACACTCAATAGCTCTAGTACTATAAAGGCTATAGTTTGAGCCCATCAAAAAATAGGTATTAATTAATTAATTGGAGTGAATTTTGCATAAATGTATGTAGAAGATTGCTACGAGTAGAAAGATCCAATTGGATGTGGTTTCGGTGCACATGCACATCAACTTTTTAAAAAGCGTGCTCCAATTAATTAACATATCATTTAGCGACTTTGGCGAGTGTCTAAAGAGTCAAATATGGATCACACAAGATTAATTAGTACGGTCAAATTACGAAAATACCTCCTCAACTATGTAGTATTTTACGAAAAGACTCTTTCATAGATAATTTTAGGGATGCTAATTTGGTAAAAACGAACCGAAATTTCGGAACGCCAACATTTCATACCGTCTAGCGAAGTAAATATACGATTTGTTTTGATAAATAACCGAATTACATAATTTTCATGTAAAAATATTAAAAAGGAAGAGCTGGCTGTAATTACCGAAATAAGAGGGGTCTTTTCGTAATTTGGTCCTCAGGGGCAGTGGCAGAGCCAGGAATTTGAAACAGGGTGGGCTTAACATTTACGGGGGTTCGGGGGCAGCGCCCCCGATATTTTTTTTTTTTGATTCATTCACATAAAAATGTCGCACAAAATAACTGCAAAATTATAAACTTCAACTAATATGTGCTACACTAAATTACTTGTGAGTGAGTGGTCGTAATATTTACGGGGGTTCGGGACCAGTGCCCCCAGTTTTTTTTTTTTTTTTATTCATTAACTAAAATAGCATAAAATAACTACAAATTATAAACTTCAACTATTATAGCATAATTTTTTTGATAGATAAGCTAAACTAAATTACTTGGATGGGCTAAATTAAACTATTTGAATAGACTAATTATATATAGATATAATATATATATATATATATATTTTTTTAAATGAGAGTGGGCTGGAGCCCACTCTTGCCAAAGGGTGGCTCCGCCACTGCTCTGTGGCCGTAATTTACCCTTAATTAGTGTACTAAAATATAAAATATTATCCGGGTAAATCACCTCAGGTAAGGATACATAACAAAAAAAATCCTCTTATTTTTGTAATTAAAACCGCCACCTAAGATATTCTCCGTCTTATATTTCTCCCCTTACGGAGTTAACCCTAATGGAATCTTTCAGATTCCAAAGAATATTCGTTCAATATTTCCAATTTTAACCTTATTCATATTTGCGATGATGGAGGTGCGGCGCCATATTTAGAATGGGGAGACGTGAACGAGGAGACGTGGGGTTTGACTCCTATTTTTTTCCTTTCATGCATTGTAAACATATGGGAAAATTCGTGTTTTCATTATATGATTTTCTTCTTTTTTTTCAAGTAAAGGGCAATTTAGATAATTCATATTTTATGTTAGGGTTTTGTCGTTAAATCTAGTGTTGTGATTGTAATAACAAAAATATGATGAGTTTTTTTCGCAATTTAACCTTACACTGAGGGTTACCGTGATTTGTCCGATTATCAACATTTCGTTAATTATATGGACGATATGCCAATTGGTCAAACATTCGAGGATTATTTAATGCATGTCACGTTTAATTTGAATTGAACTCTTCTTGCATGACAAATTTTATTCAACTCTTACATAAGTTCTTTGGACTGCCCATACTCCATAGATGCATCTTCAATAAAGACAATTTTATAGGAGAAAAATATGACACATGAAAAAATGATTTTAAATTACTAGTTTCCGATTTTGTTGACATCAATTATTTATGAATTGATTGTTAGATGAAACCTGTTGATATTATTAAGTACACAAAGGGCCCCTTTGGTTGGGCTGATCCAATGTGATTGATCTCACAATCCATCTGGATCTTAGATTTGGTTCAGCCCAACCCATTTCCGGATTGATCCTGGGCCCGGGCTCCCATCCCTTAATTACTGGATCTCCGATCCAGCCTATGGAGGTAAGATTGGGTAATCCAATCCCTCTCCAGCCCAACTCTCTAAATATTTTACTTAAATGCCCTGACCATTTATTCATATTTACAAATATACACCATATATATATCGATTTATTCAGCCCCAAAAAATCATCGGAGTTTTCACACACATACTACACTTCCCACTGCGTGTGTTCTTCCAATCGATGTCGTTCGTCCTTAACCTATCTAATCCATCGAAAAACCAGACCTCTACCTCTTCGATTCAGAGAATTCTCATCTAATTGGCAGAAATTAATCAACCCAACAAGTGCGAGAATTGTGAAGATAGCGATCGCGAATAGAGGCAAAATTGCGTGCAGGATCGAACTGCCAAGAGGTTGGGGATTCGAACCGTAGTTGTTTACAGTGTTGCAGATGAGAGCAGCTTGCATGTCTAGTCGTCTGATGAATCTGTTTCGCATTGGAACCCCCGCCGGCTCGGCTCGGCTACTTGAGCGCTCCCTCCATTATCGAAGCCGCTTCCAGGACCCGCGCTCAGGTTTTACTTTAAACATATAACTGATTAACTTTACATTCTATTGTTTGGAAGAGTATTTATGTCTTAGTGAAGAAAATATGTGCTGTTAATTTTCATATAAAGGTGAATATATATGGGCCTCATTTGTGTTCAAGTTGTATGTTGGAAAAATGATTTTACAGTTTTCTCAACTTATGCTGATTTGAAAATTAATGTTAAGAGTTAGAGAAACCATGTTTGAACACATTGTATGTGTCTATATCCGAAGTTGTCTGTATCGGGTAACTTAATCGGAACAGAATGAACTTAACTGGAAAATAACCATTTTTTGGAAGAAAAAAAAAAAAACCTTTGGGTTTGTCCAGACTTCAATTGAAATTTAGTTGCCCCCTTTTGTATTGTTTTTTGTTAGAATGCAAGGTTTGGAAAAGGTGCAGTTTTTGGAATAAATATGAAATTTTTATTTCGGGAAAGTAGTAGATCATACATTTGTTGAATCCAATGTTAATAAAAGCTGACGTTTTTGGAGTAATGATCAAATTTTATGCTTGAGGAAATGTTGTAGGATTTACAATTGTTGAATTCGAACAGGAAATGACTGAAAATAGATCCAATCAATTGATAATTTTGCAGGTCTATTGGTCATTGTTCTATTATATATTGTTTTTTACAGTAAATATTGTTATATATTGTTATATACTGTTATATGTAAGAAGGTTTTGAGCACGATGTGGCCCACCGTATCGGTTTTGAGCACGATGCGTCCACTACACGTAAGAAGGTGTTGGATGCCCTATCGCCGTTATTCTTAGGTGTCGATGATGATAAGATCACCGTCGCTAAAGCCGTTTGCAATAGCCCAACCGACCTCGACATATTTTTCGAATTAAATGAGTCCGAAAAGGGGGTTATGGTTCGAATGATCCTCGAAGGTCTTTACTTCGGATAGGTAGACTACCATCCACTCACAAGGCGACGAAGAAATTTTCCGTATTCGGACTCCATCTTGCGGCGTTATTTGCATTGAAGACATTTTATTTCTTCTTTAATTTAATTTTGTGGTGGACATTATAGTTGTCCATTTGTGTGTCACAAATATAAATTTTCTGTAATATGGCAGATTATATTTCGTAAATTTTCTACAAGTATTTAGTGAAGTTTCTGTTAGTGTGGAGCTAAAATGTCTAATATGGATTCCAAAAAAATCTGTTATTTTGGAGCTACTGCTCCATTTTATTAGCTTCATATTTTGTAGAAACTAGAAGATATGATAATGACATCTAACTGTTATATTAATGTCATTTTTCCAAACGTTTATTTTGGAAGTAAAGCAAATTCATCATAGCTCGGGTGTATTATATAATAATAAAAAGGGCTTGCAGGGGGTGGAAATATAATTATCCAAAAATATCAGGGCTGATTTTATAATTATAGGAAAATGGGAGGAAAGAATGGGTGGTGCAACCAATATTTCGGAAATTGGGAGGTGTATAATATAATAATAAAAAGGGCTTGCAAGGGGTGGTAATGTAATTATCCGAAAATGTTAGGGCTGATTTTATAATTACAGGAAAATGAGAGGAAAGAATGTGTGGTGCAAGCAATATTTTAAATATTGTCAGGTGTATAATATAATAATAAAAAGGGCTTGCAAACGGTGGTAATGTAATTATCCGAAAATGTTAGGGCTGATTTTATAATTAAAGGAAAATGGGAGGAAAGAAGAGGTGCAAGCAATATTTTAAAAACTGAATGGTGTATAATATAATAATAAAAAGGGTTTGCAGGGGGTGGTAATGTAATTATCCGGAAACGTTAGGGTTGATTTAATAATTAATGGAAAATGGGAGGAAAGAATGGGTGCAACAAGCAATATTTTAAAAATTGACAGGTGTATAAAAAGGGTTTGCAAGGGGTGGAAATGTAATTATCCAAAAATATATGGGCTGATTTTATAATTAAAGGAAAATGGAAGGAAAGATTGGGTGCAACAAGCAATATTTTAAAAATTGACAAAAAGCAGTTTGCCTCCTAAACTAATTGTCGTTTTGCACTTTGCCCCCTAAACAAAAAAAATTTGCACGGGTTTACCTAAACTCGTTAATTCATTGCACGGTGCCCCCTAAACTCAATTTTCCGGCAATTTTGGACGGAATGTTATATCATGTGCGATGCACGTGTGATTTTCAAGGGTAAATTTGTCCATTCACTAAAATTCTATATATTAAATATAAATTAATCACTAAACAATTCCACGTCATCCAATTTGATTAAACAAAATATAATTAAAAATCAGTAAATAAAGAAATAATCTTTCTGGGATCGGAGTTGATGAGCATGGCAGTTCCGCCGCGAAGCCACAAGTGCCGCCGTTGTTCTTCGTCTTCTGCCAGTAATTATTAAAAGCATAAGAGGCGTGCGCCACCACCGTGTCCGGGAAGTAGCAGCTGCCGCCGTGTACAATCGCCTCACAGTCACCACCGCCTTCTCCATATGCGTAATCCAGCGCCTCCTGCAACGTCTCCGCCGGCACTGTCGGATTCGCCACGCACCACAACCCCTTCTTCACCCCACCCACCGGCGCGCCGGCGTGCCCACCACCGCCACCGCCGTGAGATGGCTCGCACGGCGGCAAATGGGGACCGTACGGAGGGCTAGCCATCGGAGCCATCACTGGTAGAAATGGAGGACTAGTAGGATTCTCCGCCGGCGACGGCGGAGATGAAGGTAGAAAGTTTGGCGTCGGTGAAATTACTCCAACCAACGGCGGCAGAGGACTTCCGTTCGGAAAAGCTGGTTTGGAAGAAACAGGAGCTACAGTAGTTAAATCAATAACCGAGAGCTTTCTCCGACCGCCGCCGCCGACGCCGGCGATTATACTCACAGTTCTCAGACGAGAAACTCCGAGATTCTCCATGGATTTGAGGTGGGTTCTCACCAAACCCAATGTTTCTTCCACCGACGAAGTCTGCAAACGTGCATCCACGACGTACGGCGAGCCCATTTCTTTCAAGAAAGCAAGCAAGGGTTTGATGTAAGGTTGCGCCATTGGAGCTCTGTAAAAAGCTCCACCCCTCGAGTGAACCAAACAGTTGGAAGAAAAAGAAGCAGAGACTTTAATCTCTCTCTCCAAACCCCACCTAGTGAGACTGTGAGAGAATAGTGTATGTTCCTTACCGCCGGCAAAACCGAACCAACCATGTACTCTTCTTCTTCTTCATCTCTGTTGCATAAAACAGAGCGGCCGACAACGATTGAGGTAATATTAAAGATGCAAGTGAAGGGACTAATTTACCCCTTAAAATCTCACGTGCAAAGCACATGTTATAATATTCCGGTTAAAATTGCCGGAAAATTGAGTTTAGGGGGCACCGTGCAATGAATTAATGAGTTCAGGTAAAAACGTGCAAATTTTTTTTGTTTGGGGGGTAAAGTGCAAATCGACCCTTAGTTTAGGGGGTAAACTGCTTTTTACTCTAATAAAAATGGCTTATCAGAGGTGGAAATGTAATTATCCAAAAATATTAGGGCTGATTTTATAATTACAGAAAAATGGGAGGAAAGAATGGGTGCATCAAGCAATTTAAAAATTGACAGGTGTATATTATAATAATAAAAGGGCATCAAGGGGTGGTAATGTAATTAGCCAAATTATCCCACCGAATCCTCCCAACCATTCCTGAGTTTGGCTCTTTCGGATTCAATCCCACATATCCGTATCCAACCAACCAAACCCGAGATACCATCCATATTTTACTAATCCATACAGTGTAATTTCAATATGAATCCCCAATCCCATCCCAACCCATCCCTCCAACCAAAAGGGGCCAAAGGTTATTAGGTCCCTCCCCCAAAATTTAATTCCACCATGGCCCCTATGCTAGGTGGAAGCTTTTAATTGGTCCATTTAAGAAAAAAATAATTTTGTTTGTCTACTTTGATGATATATATAAATATAGGGTAGATAACGAAAATCCCCTGAACTTAGGGTAAATTATAAAAAATATCACGATCTATCCGTAATTATCAAAACCAGTTTTTTTCCATTTTACACCGACCCTGGTGTGATTTTTCACTAAAATCTTTTTTATTCTAGTGAATATTTTCTAAGAATGTCAATTATACCCCTGCAGACGTGGCATTTCTTTATGCTACATTTCTTTATGCTACTCTCTAAAGACAAAAAAATACCCTAATCCTCGCCCCCCTCGTGAGAAAAATCACACCGTGAGTGGGTCGGTCTAAGATGGCAACAAATGTCGGGGTTTTTTGATAATTAAGGATTGGTGGGGTGTTTTTCGTAATTTAGTTAAGTTCAGGGAGATTTTTGTAATTTACCCATAAATATATAATTGCCTTATTTTGGGTTGAAATTCTTAGTAAATTAAAATTTTAAGAATTAAAAGTTATATTCTATTTAGTACTTAAATGGATTTTAATTGAGAAGATAATTTTGAAGAGAGAAAAAAATAGTTTTACTAAATAAATCTTTATTTGCAATACATAAAATAAAGTATAGTATAATGTAAATTAAGAGCTCATTGTTGTCAATAATTAGTTGGACAATGCAATTGCCGTGATAGAAGGTCTATCTATATCTCTTTATGAATTCATAATTAAATATCTCAAGATTTAAATCCAACTGACTGATTAATTAATCAGTCAAACTCTGAATAATAAATCCGGATAAATTAATCATAGGATAATCTGAAATTCAGGTCCAATGATTAATTAGCTTTTCTTTTGCGTCGTCTATTTATAGAAACTCCACTCTCCGTTCATATAGAAATTCAAACCACCACCACCGCCGCCATGAAAAGGGTTTTCTTGATAATCAACTGCATCATACTCGCCGTCGGAAACTGCGGCGGCCCTTTGATCATGCGCCTCTACTTCGTCCACGGCGGCAAGAGGATCTGGTTTTCCAGCTGGCTCGAAACCGGGGGTTGGCCCATAATCCTCGCCCCACTCATCGTGTCCTACACGCGCCGCCGCCGCACCGCCGCAGCAGGCAAGGCGGAGCTCTACCTCATGAAGCCGCGCGTGTTCGTGGCGGCGGCGGTGATCGGAGTGCTGACGGGGTTCGACGACTACCTGTACGCGTACGGGGTGGCCAAGCTCCCGGTGTCCACATCCGCCCTCATCGTCGCCTCCCAGCTGGCTTTCACGGCGGTGTTCGCCTTTCTTATGGTGAAGCAGGAGTTCACGGCGTACTCCGTTAACGCGGTGGTTCTGTTAACTCTGGGGGCGGTGGTTTTGGGGCTCCACACGAGCGGAGATAGGCCGGAGGGGGAGTCGAGTAAGGAGTACATGGTGGGGTTCTTGCTGACGGTGGCGGCGGCGGCGCTGTACGGATTTATACTGCCGGCGGTGGAGCTGACGTATAAGAAGGCGAAGCAGGCGGTGTCGTATACGCTGGTTTTGGAGATGCAGTTGGTTATGTGCGTCTTTGCGACGTCGTTTTGCACCGTTGGGATGCTCGTCAACAATGATTTCCAGGTGGCGTTTTCTTAATTTATGAATATTTATTTCACCTGATTTTATTATATTCTTTATAAATAGGCCAAATTGCACTTTACTCCCTAAAAATGCCTTTTTTGCACTTTCTCACCTCAATATAGAAAAAACGAGACTGCCCCCTTCGAAATATAAGAAAATTTAATCTAATTTGGAAGCGAAGTTCATCAATTTTGGAAGAGAATTTTTTTTAATTTGGGAACCCTAACTATCTTTGAAAAGAGGATTCTCAAGCAGAAGATGTAAATGACATATGCAGCCCTCATTTGCTGAGAATTAGACCGAAAATACATTTCGCCAAAGTGAACCGAGTTGCGTATTTTGAAGGGCGACACTCTCATTTTTGTATTTTGAAGGGGGAAAGTGCAAAACATGCATTTTTTAAGGGGTGAAGTGTACTTTTCCCTTATAAATACATATTTAATTTATCATGACATGTCCTCGATTCTAATTGAAATAGAAACAAATACAATATTAAATTACATACAAGACCGGCATCCTATTTTTCGAACATATAATATGAGCTATTGTGACAATATTAAAACCTAGCGTAAAATTATCGAAAAATCATTTAGGTAAGATTAAATTATCGAAAAATGCCTCATGTTTGGATAATTATAACCACACCCCTCAACTTTGTTCGAATATAACTATCAATATATCTAAAGGAAAGAAAGTTGTTTAATTTGCAGGCAATTGCAAGGGAAGCACGAGCATATGAACTTGGGGAGACAAAATACTATATAGTTGTATTGTGGAGTGCCATTGTTTGGCAATGCTTTTTCTTGGGAGCCATTGGAGTTATATTCTATTCATCGTCACTTCTATCGGGCATCGTTATTACAGTTTTACTACCGGCAACCGAAATATTAGCCATTATTTTCTACCACGAGAAATTTCAAGCTGAAAAGGGTCTCTCTCTTTTCTTATCTCTTTGGGGATTTATATCTTACTTTTATGGCGAAATGAAAAAGGACAAGAACAAGAACAAGAACAACATCGATCAAAGTAACGACCAGACTCAGGCTACAGAAACCGAGTTGACTCATCGGGTCGTTATAAATCCTTGATAATATATATATATATATATATATATATATATATATATATATATATATATATATTGGTGTATAAACTTTGATTTTGTTTTTTCACTCCTTGATTTATATGTTGGTGTTTAATAGGATTTTTTTTTTTCGCGGTAATAATTATAAGTTCAATCGATTACATTTTGTATTCGAAGCCTTATAAATGAATTTTATTTTAGAAAACATTCTCGTGCAATTGAACAACACAATAACAATCATAAGTATTTCATAATGTAATTTTATAAATTTCAATGTTTTTTATAAGTAGATTAAATGTTCTTATAATTAATTATATATGAATATATAGATATGTTTTTTCTTTCATAATGTATGACAATTTTCAATATTTAGAATCCTAAAAATTGGCATATTTAATACGTATCCATATTATTAGACTTCTCAACATTAAAATAATATGTATTAAATCAGTGTTGAATGAGACACATTGACTTGTCAACATCATTTTAAATCGATAGAATTTAGTGCTAATAAATTATCAATGAAAATAATTTATCGTTATAACATTAATTAAGAAATAATATTACAATTTACAAGTAAAATTAGTTTTTTATACGTCTCAATGAACTTTATTTTTGAAGTATAAATTTTTATTTTATTTTTGATTGATTTTTATACTAAATAAAGTATTTGTATTTGAAAGTGGGACAAAATTCATCAATCGTTATTAATTATGTAATATATGTTTTTGACAAATAAAACATTAAAAAAAAAAAGTATTGGGATTAATTATTAGAATATTTTTATATTTAAACTAATATATATAATTGGTGGATATGCATGTGATATATCATGTATGTATACTTATATAATTTATTATTCTAATTGGAATTCTAACTCAAAATTAGAACCAAATTATTAATTAAATAATGCAATAAAAATCAGAAGCAATAATGGAAGCTGAAACGCCGACCACCACCACAGCCATGAAAACTACTTTCTTGATTATGAACGGCGTCATACTCGCCGTCGGAAACTGCGGCGGCCCTTTAATCATGCGCCTCTACTTCATCCGCGGCGGCGAAAGGATCTGGTTTTCCAGCTGGCTCGAAACCGGTGGATGGCCCATAATCCTCATCCCCCTCATCGCCGCCTACATCCGCCGCCGCCGGAGCACCACCGCCGCCGCCGATGGAGCGGCGAAGCTCATCCTCATGAAGCCCCGCCTCTTCTCGGCCGCATCAGTAATCGGAATCCTCACCGGCCTCGACGACTACCTGTACGCGAAAGGGGTGGCGAAGCTCCCCATCTCCACCGCCGCACTCCTCGCCGCCACGCACCTGGTGTTCACGGCGGCGTTCGCTTTCCTCCTGGTGAAGCAGAAGTTCACGGCGTACTCAGTGAACGCGGTGGTTCTGCTGACGGTGGGGACGGTGGTTCTAGGGCTCCACACGAGCGGCGACCGGCCGGAGGGGGAGTCGGAGAAGGAGTACGTGGTGGGGTTCATCATGGCTCTGTCGGCGGCGGCGCTGTACGGATTGATTCTGCCGGTGGTGGAGCTGATGTATAAGAAGGCCAAACAGGCCTTAACGTATACACTGATTATGGAGATTCAGTTGGTTATATGTTTCTTTGCCACACTTTTCTGCACTGTTGGAATGCTCATCAATAATGACTTCCAGGTAATTAATTTATTTATTTAATTCAATTACTCCCTATTTTCATAATATTTTGTAAATTAATATTTCTAACAAAATTATTAATTTAAAAAAAAAAATTACACTCATAATAAAGAATTTTTTTTAAATATAAGGAAGACGCAAATTAATACATTATCAGAACTCTAAAATGATATATACTCAGGGAAAAATCCCTAATTCGCGATTTTTTTAGGGTACTAAAAAATTTGAATCATATAGAAACTTTTGTACATAGTATTTTTTTTGGAATAATTAGATTAAATAACACAATAAATTAATACATGTGATATTTGGACATTGTAAAGTACTTCCTCCGTTCCTAATTAATTTTCGTTTTTAGCTTTGCATAAATATTAAGAATCTCAATAAGTGCGTCTTGATTTTTAGAAAAAAACACATTAAAAGACTGAAATAACCATGATCATATAAAAAACGTATTAGAGTCGAATTAATAAGATTAAAATAGGAAATATAACGCGTTTAATGCAGTATTGAAAATCTAAAGTGACATATATTATGAAACAATTTTTTTTTTTAAATAGACAGTTATTATGCAACAGATGTAGTAAGAAAAAAATTATTAAAAAAAAACAAAATATTTTTTTTTTACAAATTTTGGTATAATTTGCAGGCAATTTCAAGAGAAGCAAAAGAATATGAACTCGGGGAGATGAAATATTACTTAGTGGTAATATGGAGTGCAATAATTTGGCAACTCTTTTTTTTAGGAGTTGTTGGAGTGATATTCTATTCATCTTCACTTCTATCCGGTATTATTATTACCGTTACGATTCCTATTACACAAATATTAGGTGTCTTTATTTACAATGAAAAATTCCAAGCTGAAAAAGGTATCGCTCTTTTTCTCTCCCTTTGGGGTTTTATTTCCTATTTTTTTGGGGAGATTACGAAAAACAAAAACAGCAACGAAAACAACGATCAGATTCGAACGACGACTGAAACTGGTCGGTCGAGTCGTCAAATTATTGATAGTTGAGTGAAATTCTAATCTTTTGGTGTGTTATAAATATTTAGTGTCCCTTATATGTAATGGTTAGTTAATTTCACATTTTTGCTTAATTCTTTTTATTGGAGATTTTATTTTGTTTTTGTGTGGGTGATATTGTAGTTGTATTTTGTGGTGGAAGAACAAAGGGGCATTTGTGTAATTAGGGTTGTCAATTTCAACGGAAAGAAAATTGGTGGTTGCATCTTATTGTTGAATGTTGCATTCAATGACACCACATAATTATTGATCCGAGTTCGTTTTATTTTCGAGTTTTTATCAAAATAAAAGACAAAACTTCTAAATTCTTTTCGGGGGCGATGCCCCTGAAACCTCAAAAAATTTATCTAATCGTATAAAAGTATCTTAAACTCAGCCATTCTTGGAGCAATTATTGTTGTTATTAATTTATGTTTGTTGTTTTTTTATTTACATATTTAATGTATACTCAACCTTCATCGATGGTAAAATTCCGACTTCGCCACTGTTCGACCCGCTTAAGTAAAATTAGTGTACAGATCACACAATACAATTATCGAGTAATCCTTGTACATGGGCCTCAATTATTAAATTCAGAATAATGGGCCCAACTTCATATACTTCTTATTGGGCTGAACACTCTAAACTTCAGGTAACAAATAATTTTTATAAGTTAAAAAAAAATCCAGCAAAAAACTACCTAACTCCACAATATTATCTGACGTGTCACTATACCTTTTCATCAACTATTTAGTTTTATTTTTGACATTTTTAATTAATTTAATTGAAGGTTTAATTCACCCATCATTAAGGGATGATGAGTGATGACCTCAACAACTCTTCACATCTGCCCACTTAGAATATATCTTATTTCCATATGAAGCTAGTGAAAGAAAATTAACATTTCTTATATAAAAAAAAGGAATTCTACTCATATAGCTGCATTTATTTTAGACTTGCTTGTATTTGACTCGATTTCATTTGACTCGATTTCAGATATCTTTAATAATTGATGTTGCTCAAGAACACTCACAAATCTTAAAGCTTAAGTAAATCGGGAAAAGCGAGATCCCTTGCCACGTGTCCATGGTGTACGTCGGGTTAAAATCCGAACACCAAGCGATAGTCCCGTGCAGAGTAGATTCTTCACTCCAACCTACAAAATCGAGACATACACTAGGTGACTCGCTGGAGCTGGCCCGATATTTAACCTACCTCAAATGAATCATGAAGCCTAGTATTTATAGTCATCTTCGTTGGGATTTCCACTTGTAATTGGCCCAATAATTATATATGTAAATTATTACTAATACATTTATTTATAATAATTATTATTCCAAAAAGAGGGAAAATATATAAGAGGGAAGCTTTAATTAATTAGATGGTATATTAGCATGTGAAGGTCCGAAAAAGAGGGATGAGAAGGGACAAAAAAAGGATGACGTGGAGTTTAAGGAGTTGAAGAGATAAGCATGCAAGGTGGTGATGTGTATGTTGTGGGTTAGTTCACTTTCACATATTTGTTGTGGTCTCACTTTTTTAGTTGGAATGAAAACTAATCCCACCATCAAACCGTTTTTCCTCAACTTTAAAGTAGGTATTTATGCCACGTGATCTCCAACTAATAAATTATATTCCATCAACTCTCACGTGATCGGATTAATGCTTTTTTTTTATTTTTTTTCATTCTATAGTAAATTACAACCAGATCCCTGAGATGAACTCTATTTACAAAAAAAACCCCTCAATTTTGAGAAATTATATCCATGACCCTCTAGTTTGTAGATTTCTTACATCGACCCCCTACAAAAAAGGGTGTTAATACAAGAAATCTACAAATTTTCTCAAAGAAGGGTCTTTTATAGGCCTTATATTGTGGGGCGGTTATGATTTTACGCTGAATTTTATGTTACATTCGGATGGATAAAATCCCAAATTATATATTCACCGGATCGTGTGTAGGTAGATTCATACATATTTTACACATATTTATATATATTTGTGCGATTTTGCGTTAATTAACGGTTAAAAACTACATCAACGATTCTCGCATACCGAAAATTTTTCCTTCTTTTTTTAACATATTATAGTGGTTATGTGACTGTTTTAACCACTATATATAGCATTAGAATCTTCTAATTATAGTGTGTTCCACCAATACTACCTAGTCCACAGACCATCACTGAACCAATTCTGGAGCTTTAATTTCTTACTAATTTAAATAAATAATATATATTTATAAAATAAATAAACATTTATTTGTATGCTTTTTCTTCAACCAAGGTCTTGCTTTTTACTAGAAAGTCACACATTTTATTGCATAATTGGAACCCAGCTATCAATTAATCATTCTCCCACTTTTAATTGTGGGGTTGATAAAGTCTGCTTCATTCTTAGGCTACTTGGTAATGGCCTAATTAATACTTTGTTTTTAATTATAATTTTAAATAGGATTATTTTTTATTTTATAATAAAATTATATATAATATATACTCCCTCCGTTTTTAAATAATTGTCACTTTTCACTTTTCACAAAGATTAAGAAACTCAATAAATATATCTTGATTTTACAAAAAATCATATAAAAATGACTAAAACAACCTTTAATATTTAATAATTTATAAAAGAAAATTAATGATTAGAGTTTCATTAATAAGGTTAAAACAAGAAAAATGCATTTAATGCAGTATTGGAAATCTAAAGTGACAGATAATATGGAACAAAAATATTTTTGAAAAGAGACAATTATTGTGGAAAATTGGGAGTATTTTATATTAACTTTAAGAATTAACTACATATTCGATGCAGGCTAATTTAAAAAAAAAAATCCAAAGCAATTAGATGTTTTGAAGAAAAAAATTAAAAAATCAAAAAATTTCAAGTAAAATCGACTGTAAAATGTTTAAAAAATATAGTAAAAAATGACTCAAACAAACCCTTATATTTATAGGCTTTAGCTGAGATATTTTCGTCCAGCTAAAAACAGATTTTGAAGAAAATGTAACAATAGGAAAGTTTTTGTATTTATGTGTAATAGCAATATGATACAAAATTTATAACACATTGGTGTTTTTGTATTTAATCCTATAAAAAATGCAGCAACATGAAATAGAAGTTATCATTATTAAAGATAAAAATAAAATAATAATAATAATAAATAAATCCCAGCTGTGTTCTGTTAAGAAACCAGTTTTCCAGTGGGCCGTCTGACTCGCTTTCCTTCGGCGGCAAGCCACAGGGCTCCGCCAAATGGCTAATCATTTTACCTATTCTCAAACAATTGCATAAAATCAAAAGATACACAATTTATATTATAATATACTGTAAATTACGAAAAACTCCCTGAACTTAGGCTAAATAACAAAAAATACTCTCACGTATCTGTAATAATAAAATTCCCCTCTGGTTAACTGTTGATTGAGTTTTTGAACAGAAAACAACCTATTATACATTATGTTAAATATGTGAGAAATAAAAGATAATATCTGAAATTGTGTAAAGTCTATTACATGTAGTAAAACAAATTCGTGAAAAATCACACTGTAAGAATGTTGGTGTAAGACGGAAACATACCTCAGGGGGTTTTTGGTAATAACAAATAGCTGGGGTATTTTTCGTTATTTAATCTAAGTTCATGGAAATTTTCGTAATTCATCATATATTCTATAAATTAATAAAGTTAATGTTATGAAGATTCTATTAACTTATAGTCGCGTTCAAAAGAAATTATTATTTAATTTTTTTTATTAATTTATCGATATTTTATTGTAATTAAAAGTTGAAATACTTGGTCACAATTCACAAGAAAAATGAATCAATGCAAGGAAGAATAATAAGAACCATTCAAACGTACGTATGCATCGTCAACTCCAAATCCACATGAGTAGTAATAATCCTCGTGAATGAATACCATGACTTACTTTTGTCATTTATCATTTAATTTCTCGATATCCGCAATTATATAGTTAATACTTAATAAGTCCCCCATTTATTCCATAATTGCATCTAAAGCAACAAATCTATTCATTCCTTTTATGTTCATTTTTTTTATAATTCATGTTCACTCTATTAATTATTTGAACTTCTAAAAATTACACAAAAGATAGATTAAAATCATGATTCTTGTTTCTTTCTTACAATGACTAATCTTTTTTCCTTAAAAAGAGAGAGTAAAGCTCATCCCTTTTTCACAATTTGACCACTTTAGTCAATTATGTAAAAGATAATATTTGCGATATAATTGTATTTAATGTTAATTATTGAAAACTTGAGAAAAAATCACTACCAGATAATAACGATGTTTTTGATCTAGATATAACTTTTTTAATTAGATTTAAGAGATCTTTCTCAAATTACCCTCATCTAAATAATGACATAAATAAGGGTAATTGACATTTTGCACCCTTAAATAAAAATATGGCAGATTGCACACTCAAATTAAGATTTACATGGCATAATGCACCCGAAAACCTAATAGTAGCAGCATAAACATATGTTGGGGGAACCGAAATGGTAAATTTGTGAATAAATTCACTACCAACCTTTTTAATTACAGAAAATATTTTATATTCTTCCTTATTCACGGATGCAATTAACAATAATTGATCATTTTGCCCATTGAATTACGGTAATACATTTTTTCGGATGCAAATTTTAGCAGAAAAGTGACTTGGGGTGCAATGTGCCAAGCAAATCTTAATTTGAGGGAGCTATCTGCCATTTTTTTAGTTGAAGGGTGCAAAATGTCAATTACCCCCTAAATCATATTGTAATTAATTAATTACGGATAAACATTTAGATAGATGAAATATTATAATAAGCCCTAAGAACATGGAACATGGGATGGACCGAACAGCAGCAGATTATTCCTCCGCGTTTTCTACTCCCACTCACTCATCTTCCTCTCATGTGGTCCCCACCACCTCGTAACTTTTTTCCACGACACCTTTTACTTTCCCCAAACTACCCTTCCCCTTCGCCTCTCCAACTCCCAACACAAACACAATCAGCAAGCCCCTTATGGTAATTTCACAATGTCGACTTGGCGCAGCAAACCCTTACCCTACCTGGTCACAAAATTCTCTCTCTCTCTCTCTCTCTAAAACTATATATAATTTTGTATGTATATATATATGTAATTAAGTTTCCTCCATTTCACAGCTTATTATTATACAGATAATCTCTGCTCAGGTTCGTTAATGGCGATTTGAGTGAACCCTTGATTTTTTTGTGTTCTTCCCCAAATTAAAAAATTCGTGGCTTGTGAATCTCTTATATTCGTTATATATCTTTTCCTCCGTGAAAGAAATAAAGCAGCAGCTTCTTTGCTTTTTTTTTTTTTTTTTTTCGATTCCAGCTGTTGAATGTGGGTTATTCTTTTCCGAATCGAATCACCTTTTCTTTTTCCTCCATTACAAAAAGACAAATTCCTCAATCAATTGTTTACCATTGCCTTCCGTTAGAGAGAGAAAGTGAAGAAGGAGAAGAAGAAAAGCCCCAGGAAAAAAAACAAAAATGTTCGACGGGTTATTGAAAACCAAATTCTACACGAAATGGTGAGAATAATTTTCATCGTGAATTAGCGTTGTGTATATATATTTATATAATATAATGTATGTATTTAATTATTTATTTTTGGAATTTATTGGGGGTTTAATTTTGGGTGAATTTTGATGAAATAGCAAGTCGGATCTGAAGCTGACGAGGACCCGAGTTGAGATGATTCGGAAGAAGAGAAATGCAGTGGAGAAATATTTGAGAAAAGATGTAGCTGATCTGCTCAAGAATAAATTGGATTCTAACGCCTATGGCCGGGTATAATTTCTTCCCTTGATTTTTTATTTTTAATTTTTTATGCCCCTGAATTTTAATTTGTATATTTGAGAATAATATATATTTTTTTAATTGATTTTTATTCTTGAAATTAAAAAATTCCTGGCCTAAAATCTGTGGTTTTATCATTCGTCGTCCTCTGTATTTGTCGTATTTGATTGAATTGTAAGGATTTGTCCGGTGAAGAACAACCTGTAAGAATTTGAAGGGATGTCTGTTATTGTCGATCTACACACACCAACATGGATGTGTGTGTGTGTGTGTGTGTGTGTGTGTGTGTGTGTGTGTGTGTGTGTGTATGAACGAACGGTAAAGATCCACCCGGTGTAGCGTTGAATAAACCGAACCGGTAGCTCCCTCTTCGAGGTTTTTAGGATTTCGATTGCAAGTTTTGTTTTAGGGGCATATAATAATTGTCATAGGAGGTTGATGAAAGAGTTAAAATAGACTAATTCTTTAACTCTTATAATTTCGGCTATTTGTTTTATCCACCTTTTATGTTGATTGTTTGTCCTTTTCTCATATATCTACTCATATACTGTTTATTGGAAAGAGGAAAAAGAAAAATCATTTCGTAACTGGCTCGGGTTTCTTGATAATATTAATAAATTTTCATCGATCAATCATTTTGGGGCTGTGACTTATAGAATTGGTTTCAAATGTTGAAACAGGCTGAAGGGCTTGTGGCTGAGATGAACAGAACTAGCTGTTACGAGTTCATCGATCAATCTTGCGAGCATATTCTCAAGAATCTTTCCGCCATGAACAAACAGAGGTGTATATATATATACACACACAATAATCTTTTTGTTCTTTTTTCTTTTTTCAAAATTAATCTAACTGAATGTTTTTTTATTTATAAACAGGGAATGTCCTGAAGAATGCAGAGAAGCCGCATCGTCTTTGATGTTTGCAGCAGCTAGGTTTGCTGATCTGCCTGAGCTTAGGGAGCTGAGAACTGTTTTCTCCGAGAGATATGGGAATTCCCTCGATATCTATGTTAATAAACAGGTGTGTGTGTGTGTGTGTGTGTGTGTGTGTGTGTGTGTGTGTGTGTGTGTGTGTGTGTATTTAGGTTTGATATTTTTTTCATCGGTTGATTAATGTTTAATTTAATGTGTTGTTATCTAGTTTGGTGAGAAGTTGAAATCGGGCCCTCCTTCGAAAGACGAGAAGCTTCACCTCTTGCAAGATATAGCTGCAGAATCGGGTTTGGAGTGGAATTCGAAAGTTCTTGAAAATAAGCTCTTTAACGAATCTGCAAATAACGAGGTAATAATTATTTAGGCCTCAATCTTAAGATTTTTCGAAGCCTAATAATTTTTTTTTTTTTTTTTTTTTTTTTTTTTTTGTGTGAAACGTTTGTCTTGCAGAACCTTGCGAAGGAAATCGATGCAAATGCGAAACCTACAATTCGAAAAGAAGACAAGCTTCTGCACGCGAGAGAATTTGGAGCCGATAGTAAAAAGTACGTTTACGAACCGAAAAACGAAGTCAAATTTCCTATGAAGAAAGACCATAATGTTCCTCGTGTGAAGGACGTTCAAGTGGACCCCGTTGTAAGAACCGAGAAGAAGCCTAATGTAAGAAATGGTCTAGAGGAAAAACATGAAGAAGATAAGCATCTCAAGTGCAGGTCAATTCCTCTGCCTCCTTACACTAAATCCGAGGTTAATAAACCGAAAGACAATGGCGAAGAGGATACTAATAATAATAATAAGCCAATCCCGAAATCTGTAAGGAGAAGAAAGTCGACACCAGGTGGTTCGGAAGGAGACGAGAGAGAAATGACGAACAAAGAAAGAGCTGCGCAGGCTCAAAAGATCCTGAAATTCTTCGACAAAAATAACGGCTTCAGCGAACCGAAAGACGAAGAGGAGAGAATGATGGATAAGCTTCTGCATCACTACAGCAGGAAGAAGGTGGGGCCCGCGGAAGAAAATGGTGGGGCCCGCAAGAGCCGAGACCCGCCGGGCCGAAGCACTTCTTTTCCTGGAGAAGTAGCGGCCCCGACTATTACCGAGACACCTAAGAAACATACTCGGACCGCTTCGCTGCAGCCCGAACTGTTGAATGGGAATGCTGTGCATGTGCATCCGAAGATGCCGGATTACGATGACTTTGTTGCAAGATTGGCTCTGCTTAGAGGGAAGTGATTGGTTGATTATTCTGTGTATGACAGACATTATTATTATTATTATTACATTTATTCTTTTTATATACTGTACTTTTTTTTTTTAAATGTAAGAAGGTGATTTCATAGGATGTACAAATATTAATGTCATTAATAGTTGATATGTATTACAGACTTACAGTATTAGTATTCATCCATTATTGCTGGGGTTTGATGTAAATTACATTCTTTTATGAATATTTGAGTTGATTGCATTTTTAGTCCACTTGGTTATTTTTGGTTTCGAGTAATAATAACAAGGGGTAAATTACAAACACCCGTTAAATTACGAAAACTCCCTTCTGTTTGGGTAATTATATTTACCTCTCAACTATGAATCTTCTGTTTGGATAATTTCTGGCATGCTCTCTAGTTTGTAAAAATACATCTTATGATCATCTAGCTTCAAAATGTAGAGCTCGAATGGGATTAAACGGGTACAAAATTGAGAATATTCTATATAATAAAGAGATTCCAGTAAATTTGAAATCCCGTATAAAAGATTTATAGTTGAGGGGTGATTGTAATTATCCAAACATGAGGGGGGTTTTCGTAATTTGACCATACCTGATGGAGGTGTTTGTAATTTACCCTAATAATAATAATAAGAGTAAATTACGCCCACACCCCTGAGATATGCTTAAATAATTTTAAGATCCCTATGGTATCGATAATTACACTCACCCCCTGAAACGTAGTTAGAAACTCTAACGGGATAATGCATTGGATACATTATTCCGATAGGGTTCTAATGAACTATTACTTTTAGCTAGTGGTGCAGATAACATAGAGTTATGGGGAGTTATGGGGTGACATGGCTCCCCCAATATTTCTTAAATCACGCTTTACTCTTTGTTGTCTCCACCACTTTCTGAAATCAATTGTTCGTTAGAACTCTAACGTAATAACGTATCCGATTCATTATCCCAGTAGAGTTTATAACTGCGTTTCAAGGGGTGAGTGTAATTATCGATACCACAGGGACCTTAAAGTTATTTAAGCATACCTCAGGGGTGTGGGTGTAATTTACCCTAATAATAATAATAATAATAATAATAATAATAATAATAATAATAATAATAATAATAATAATAATAATAATAATAATAATAATAATAATAATAATAATAATAATAATAATAATAATAATATGTCAAATGCCTTGCACGTAATATCCAATAAATCTGGGCCTAAATCTTGCAGCCTCCAAATATAAGCCCATCAGTGCAAAGCCCAAATACTTTGCGAGGCCCAACAGAGGCAATTAACCAAACTGAGAAAAGACTTGCTCTATATTCACAAAATAGCTTACCAATGTTGCCCAAGTGAATTGGAGAACCCCACACGAAGACGGGTACTAATTGCGCGAAACGAAATCGACCGCTTCGTAGAACACGTCAAGAAATCGGATATAGGCCGACACAGCTTCCCAATCTCGCTCGCTCATTTCATCATCGGGGCACATTGTTGCAATGTGTTCGTTGAGAACGTCTTTGTGATCCATCCGCCTTTCCCATATCTCCCGTGTATCGTCCCCGCTAAACATATCGCTACAAGGAAAGGCGAACTTAGGTTTTAGACCGCATTTCTTGTGATCATGGGGGAATGTATTGAATCAACGAATCTTGCTTAAGTGTACCCTCACGTGATCCAAACCATCCCAAGATACACGAACTCAAAACACGACACATTCATCGAACATGAAACAATCTCCCATCCAAAATAGGGTGCACAAAATTCTTAAGCTTCTCCACAGCATCACCACAATCACAAACATCATCAACAGTTAACGAAAATGACTTGTCTCTAATCGCCCAACCTGTATAGATTTCTTAAAACGGGATCGGATATTCCATCAGCACAAATCGGAAAATCGAGCATTTTAAAGTTGATAACCCGGCCCGGGGAGAGGGGGGGGGCAGCCAGCCCGGCCCTTAGCCCATTTTATCCTATTTTGACGGGCCCAAGGTGAAAAAAAAATCGTATAATTATATAGAATAAGTTTACAGATTTTAAAATTAGTTAAGACTATTATATAAGTAATATACATATTTTTTAAAGTATATTTTGATATTACTTATAAAATATTTAAAATTTATAAACTCATTCTATATAATTATATGATTGCAAAATAAGTTCATGTTTTCATTACACAGTCAATAGAAACTCTGAAGTAAACCACCACAAAACAACAAAACATGATTTTTTTTTTTAATTTAATTAAAACATGCCAAAAGAAGAGGTGATTTCAAGTGAATTTGCAGCATCATTCATCATCATCATCATCATCATCATCATCATCTGCACCATAATCTTCATACACAGCTGGATATCTTACACCTTGTGTTCTCATCTCAGCATTAAACCAATCCCTCAAGCATATAGACAACTCCAACAATCTCCATCTGTACCTATACGATTTCCCCATTATCTTTCTCTCGTTATTCCTAACGAAAGCACACTCGGGAGCTAGAGTCGACACAGCTGTCGTAAGTAGATCACGCGCCATGCCAGCTAGGACTGGATAAGTCGCCTCGTTGTTCTTCCACCACCCCAAAATATCAAATTCTTCAATTTTTTCTTTCTCAAGCACAAGCGGAGCTTGCAGATAAAACGCCAGCTCGTCGAAACCCGAATCCGTCTTTTTGCGCTTCTTCCCACTTATCAAAGACCAAGCAAAACTGCCACTTGAGTTCAACGGTGCAGATGCCTCGGGTGAAGAGGGCTGCTCTGATCCAGATCTACTCGCCTTTGATGCATATTCATTGAACATTTCGTGTAGCAAATTATACACTTCTTTCTTTTCTCGCTCCACGTTTACTTCCGTATTATTAATACACCGATAATAAGATTCAACCAAACACTCACAACCCGATAATTTGATCCGAGGGTCCATGACAGCAGCCAAACAAAACAAATCCGGGATTCTTCTGTAATGCTCCAGAAATTTTTCTTCCATGCCTGAAATCTTCTCTGCAAACATAAGACTTCCTCTATATTCCGAAAAGAGATTAGCAATGTTGACCAAGTGAAGGAGAACCCCACTCGAAGACGGGTAGTAATTGCGCGAGACGAAATCGACCGCTTCGTAGAACACATCAAGAAATCTGATGTAGACAGATACAACTTCACAATCTTGTTCGTTAATTTCTTGAAATATTGAATCGGGCCCGCATGTTGCGCTATATTCATTGAAAACATCTTTATACTGCAAACTCCTCTTCAACATTTCCCGAGTATCATCCCAGCTTAACATATCAGTCCAAGGAAAATTAAACTTAGGTTCCAGACCGTATTTTTCGCACAAGACGATATACTTTTGTCGGTCAGTAAACGGAAAGCGACAAGCTTTTCGAACCTTTTGTATATGCACTTTCACAAGATCCAAACCATGCAAAATACACGAACTCAAAACACGACACACACATCTAACACGAAACAACTTCCCATCCAGAACAGGACGCGTAAATTTCTTGAGATCCTCCATGACTTCATCATCGTCAACAATTTCATCGACAGTTACCGAAGAAATCTTGTCGTTAATCGCCAACGAGTCGATGGATTGTTTTATGGGGTCGTATATTTCATCGGCGCAAATAGGAGAGTAGAGCTCTTTGACGCTTACAATCCTCCTCTGCATCGACCAATCACCGTCTATCCAATGCGCCGTCACGCAAATATAATCAACAGCATCCTTGTTGCGCCACACATCACAAGCAAGCGAAACTCTTTGACCACGAGACGAAAAAGTCGAACGGAGCTCTTCCTTAAAGCTCTTAAACTCCTTCTTAGCTTCGTTTACTACTTCCTTTGTTTTAATCTCTCTGAAATTAGGGTTCAGCGCCTTTCGCATAAATTGCAAAAAGAAAACACTTTGGCCGAGGTTGATTTGAATTTCTTCGGTGAATATTAACCGAGTTAGTTCTTTTACCATCAACTCATGCGAGTAAGGTAAAAACTTTGGATTTGAAGCAATATCCACAAATCGCATAAAAGCAAACTTTTCGCTCAAACCGAAATCAATTCCTTCAACACATAATAAGATAGCTAATTCTCGTACCATCCGCTCTTGCGAGTAAGTGAATTTGTCTGCTTCGTTGCTGGTTCGGCTCGAAACTGAAGAATCAACACCCATCGAAGCTGAAATTGAAATTGAAAGGGGGCAAAAAATTAATCAGGATTTTGAAGTAAAAATGACCTAAATTGCAAATCTTAAATTTGTAAATGGTACCGTTATCAGACGAGCTATCGTCTGTATCCATGAATTCGATAGATTCGCCGAGAGAATTTGAAGTTTGAACAGTGAAACGAGAGTAATTTAATTTGATTTGATAATGGAATGAAATGAAAGAAAAATCAATGGCGGAAAAGACTTCATAGCAGAACTTTGAAACTGGGGAGGGTGTTTTCGTCATTTCGTATGAAATTGAGGTTTGGGCGGCAAAATACTAGGGACCTGGGCTCGACCCGTAACGGATAGTAAATTGTATATACGGGTCGACCCGTCCCGGGTTTAAAACGGGTCGTTGTTAAAATTTTCAAATTGTTTGTAATTTGTAATTAATAAATTAAATTCATTAATTATAATCTCTACACCAAATTTTATTAAATTACTACATTTGTTAAATAAATTAACCTCCAAATTGTTACATATTTCCAATGGTTACTTGATACTTGAGTTTGTAAACTAGAACATGTATTCGGATTCAATACATATATATAGTGGTCGATGTAATGTAACACTTCAGAAGTATTCCTCAAAAGTAAAGTTCGAGTTTCTTCCGACAGTCGAAAGAAACGACAAAGCAAACCACAAACGAGACGACAAAAGACGATATTTTTTTAAAATAACTACAACATGCCAAAAGAAGAGGAGAAATTAAGGAAAATGTTCTGCTGAACCTTCCATCTCCTCACGATGTGAATTCGCAACCACATTCATCATCATCGTCATCATCACCGACATCATCATCGTCACCGTCACCATCACCATCATCATCCTTATCAACATCATCATCGACATCATCATCGTACGTCGCTGTATCTCTTACACCTTGTGTCCTCATCTCAGCATTAAACCAATCCCTCAAGCACGTACTTAACTCCAATCTCTCAGCACCACCATCCCATTCATCATACACGTCGTCATCATCATCTACACCACGTGTTGTACCGTCACCGTTAAACCAACTGCTTAAGCAAACACGCATCTCCAACAACCCGAATCCCACCGGTCGTGAATTCTCCATTATCTTCTTCTCTTCATTTCGAACGAAAGCACAATCCGGAGCTAGTGTAGATACAGCCGTCGTAAGTAGATCACGTGCCATGTCAGCAAGCACAGGATAAGTCACCGAATGCGTCTTCCACCACCCTAAAATATCAAAGTCTCCCGTTTCTTTCTCAAACACAAGTGGAGCTTGCAAATAAAACGCAAGCTCGTCGAAAACCGAATCCGTCTTTTTTCGTTTCCTCTCACTTATCAAAGACCATGCAAAGCCACTCGTGTTCAAAGGCGCAGATAACTCGGGTGAAGATGGCTGCTCCGATCCACATCTACTCGCATTCGAAGCATATTCGTTGAACATTTCGTGTAGCAAATTAGATACTTGTTTCTTTTCTTGCTCCACGTTTACTTCCATCTTATTCATACACTGATAATAAGATTCAATCAGACACTCGCAACCGGATAACTTGAGCCTCGGGTCCATGACAGCAGCCAAGGAAAACAAATCCGGGATTCTGCCATAATGCTTCAGAAAATTTTCTTCCATAACCGAAATTTTCTTTTCGAATACAAGACTCCCTCTATATTCAGAGAACAGCTTAGCAATGTTGACCAAGTGAAGCAGAACCCCACTCGAAGACGGGTAGTAATTGCGCGAAACGAAATCGACCGCCTCGTAGAACACGTCCAGGAATCTGATATAGACGGACACAACTTCCCAATCGTGTTCGTTAATTTCTTTAAATTTCGAATCGGGCGGGCGTGTTGCGATGTATTCATTGACAACATCTTTATAGTGGACGCTCCTCTTCAACATTTCACGAGTATCATCCCAGCCAATCGAATCATCCAAAGGAAAATCAAACTTAAGCTCCAAACCATATCTTTCACACAAGTAGACAAAGCTTTTCCGGTCGTACGATACAAATCCAATAACCCCACGAATCTTGTTTATATGCCTACGCACGACTTTCAAACCCTCCAAAATACACGAACTCAAAACACGACACACGCATCTAACACGAAACAATTTCCCATCCAGAATTGGGTGTATGAAATTCTTGAGATCCCCCACAGCATCAGCACAATCAGTAACATCATCAACAGTTACCGAAGAAATCTTGTCGTTAATCGCCCATGCCTCGATAAAGCTTTTAATGGGATCGGATACATTAGCACCAGAAATCGGAAACTCGAGCGGTTTAAATCCGATAATCCTCCTCTGCATAGACCAATCACTATCCATCCAATGCGCTGTAACCCGAACATAAGTAAAACCCCCTTCCTTTCGCCAGACATCCAAAGCTAGTGAAACCCTACGACTAGGAGACGCAAAAATCGAACGCAACTCTTTCATCATGTTCGCAAATTCCTTCTTACCTTCAGTTAGTACTTCACTCTTTGTAACCTCTCTGTAATTAGGGTTCAACGCTTTCTTAACAAATTGCACAAAAGCAGGCCTTTCACCGAAATTGAGATGAAGCCCTTCGGTGAAGATTAACCTAGTTATTTCTTTCACCATCACCTCATGCGAGTAGGCCAAAATGTACGGACTCGACGCCACACCTGCAAATCGCACGAAAGCAAGCTTTTCGCCGAAGCTGAAATCGAGTCCTTCGACGATTATCAACCTGGCGAATTCTATTTCCATACGCTTCTGCGAGTATGTGAAATCGTCTGCTTCGTTGCTGCTTCGACTCGATACCGAAGACGCAACATCCATTGAAGCTGAAATTGAAAGGAAAAAAACAGAAAAATTCAGGATTTATAAATAAAAAAACCACCAAAAAAATGAAAATTTATTCGTAAATCGTACCGTTTTTAAGCGATGCTTCCTCGGTAGCCATGGCAGCAAACGATTCTTCTTCCTCGATAGAATTCGAACAGTAAAAGAGAGTATTTACTATATACTATGTAGTGTGGAAATGCAGAGATACTAAACCTGGGGCTGTCTAGGGTCCGAGAGGGTATGTACTACTCGGACCCAAACGAATAAATCTGGTGCGTTGAAAATATTAAATAAAAAATTATAACCGCTGATTTGAAGTACGATCCAAGTATGACTCAGTACGAACCTAGGTATTTATTAATTTTAGAACGAACCCAGTAAAATTAGATCGTACACATATCGTACTTCATCGTACTCCATCGTACTTCACGTAAAATTACAATATTACCATTACACAATTAAACTAGAGAATTAAAAAAATCTTTTTTTTTTTAGAATTAAAAAAATCAATAACATATTAAAACGTAAAAGCTGTTAATTATTTTCCTCAAAAGTCAAATCTCAGCCCTAATTACCAATTAACATTTTTTATCCAACACAATTCTTCGAGAAATTACTGGTGGCCAAGACATCGTTTGCCCTGACTCTCAATCTTCATCGTTTCGAGAAAATTCTTCGAGAAAATTACTGTAAGTGTTCATCCCCGAATCTCAATCTTCTCCGGCCCGACTCTCAATCTTCTCCGCCCCGACTCTCAATCTTCTCCGATGGCCAAGAGACTGGTTCGGATTGGTGGATGATAGATGGAATTATTGGTTTATTTAATGCGGCTCGGGATTCATAACCGATTGAAAAACGATATACATTTAGATTTGTACTTTTTATTGTGAATCGTCTCTTCGAATCACTACCGGAGAAATCGAAGACTTCCGCAAAGGTATCACTGAAATTCTTGTTAAATATTTATTTCTTTTGTTTTCACAGTAAATTGCTTCCTTTGTAGATTAATGGAACTCTAAAATGGTAAAAATTAATGCAAAAAGATTCAGAGCTCTATATAGGTGGGTTTTTTTTTTGTTGATAAAAAGTGTGCTTTCAAAATTTTAGGCTTCTGGTTATTTTAGTTATTGTTGTTTGAATTGAAAGTCTGGAACTGGAATTCCGTATCTGTAGTTGATGTATGAATTTGGAATTTCGTAGACTTTGTTTACTTTTGAGGATTGAGACGATTTCTAAGCTGGGGATCTAGAGCTCGATTTATGGGGTATGATATTCTTATGACTAATGAATTGGAGTTCCTTTGAAACTCTAATTTGAACTACAATTTGATCCATTTCTGTTGTATATAGTATTAATGGAATATACTTTCATTCATTGTATACATTGTTTTCTCCATAGAAATATACTATTGACGGACGTAAACCAGTTGATCATACACTGCCTAGGGGACAGCAGAGTCTTGTAACATGGGTATTATGCCATTTTCTCTCTCTATATATATATATATATATATATATATATATATATATATATATATATATATATATATATTGTAATTTGAACATGACTGATTGATTAATGGGCAAAATTGAATCAGGCAAAACTTTGCGAAGACAAGGTAAAGCAGTGCGTGGATGGTAGACTGAATGGAGAATACCCTCCTAAGGCTGTTGCAAAGGTAATTATTGAGTGTGCTTTTGCGGTCCAAAACATTTAATAAACTGAATTTGTGTTCGGATAACTAATGGCTTATTGATTGGTAAAAACAGATGGCTGCAGTTGCTGCATTGTGTGTGCAATATGAAGCTGATTTTAGGCCAAACATGAGCATTGTAGTAAAAGCTCGCCAGCCTCTCTTGAATACTCGATCTGGACCTCCTACTACTGAAACATCAAACTATTGAAACAATAAATTTGTTATCAGTGCTACAAGACGAAAGAGACTGTTATTTATTATTATTATTATTATTATTATTATTATTATTATTATTATTATTATTATTATTATTATTATTATTATTATTATTATTATTATTATTATTATTATTATTATTATTATTATTATTATTATTATTATTATTATTATTATTATTATTATTATTATTATTATTATTATTATTATTATTATTATTATTATTATTATTTATCTTTTGATGGTATTGAGAGTTTTGAATGCCTACTAAATCTTGAGCTATTGATAAGTTTATCAAGACCTGTTTCAAGTGTAGGGGAACAAAGTACAAAAAACTATTGAATGTAGATTACAAATAGCATTCTTTTGTGGACCTGGTTGTTTCGTTGATTCTTGTAAAAGTACTTTGATTTGATTGTGAGGAATATTGGATGAAACATTGTATATTACTAGTTGTATATTTGTTACAGTGTTATTAATGTATAATCAGTGTCTTGTACGAGGTTGTCTTGGTATTAATGGATATTCATGAGAGTCGAGCATTCGGACAACTTGGGTCATAGTAGGTCTCTGTTGAGAGTTTGGGTCGACGCACCTTAGTGCTGTCAAAAGAGCTCTTTTAAGGTAGATGTGGATGGCCTCATCTCCATATTTGCGTACAACAATTGGTCACACCGTTTTGCTGCAACCATCATCTTTACCCACTCAACCAGATTTCCAGTATTGTCATCAAGTGGACCCCGGGCGGTTATAGTTTCCAAAAGGACGACACCGAAGCTATAAACGTCAGTCTTCTCATTGAGGATGCCACTCCTTGCATATTCTGGAGCTACATATCCAAATGTTCCCATTACTCTTATTATAATATGACTCTCTCCAGCACCCATCAATTTCGCTAGTCCAAAATCAGATATCTTTGCATTGAAATATCTGTCAACTAGTATGTTGCTTGTCATTATATCTCTATGCACGACTTTCGGCTCTATTGCATCGTGCAGGTATGCAAGCCTACACATCATGACAACCGCCACTAATTTCATTCTACAGTAAGATCAAACATATATACAGTTGATAAAATCAGATACTCACGCCTTGGCAGTTCCAAGCAGAATCTTCGTACGTCCTCCCATGTTAGGAACATTTGATCTCCTACATGGAGCCATTGCTCCAGATTTCCATTGTTTACATACTCATACACCAACACCCTGAATTTCATCTTATCCATCATCATCATCATCAAGTCCACCGACTGAACGGCCTTATATATATATATATATATATATATATATATATATATATATATATATATATATATGGAATCATTGAATGTGTTTTACATGCTCATTACCTGTGGGTGCCTTCAATACAATAGCCCAGAAGTCAAACCAAGTTTTTATGCCGCACATGACCAATAGCCTCTACTTCCACCATAAATTCCTTGTCTGCCTGACCTCTGCATTACATAAATAAAAACAGAGTTACAATAATGAAAAATAACTCAATTTAATTATCATCGTCAAGGTAGTTAGCTTACAAGTTATTTAATTATCAGATGTTACAATATAGTTTAACAAATCCAACATTAATAGATCAAATCGTAGTTGCATATGTTATTGCATCTTCCATTTTGTTGCATATATTTTGTAACTACATCTGCATATATTGTATCTTCTATTTTGTAAAGAATAAGTTGATCCAGAGATTTCTTCATTTCCATTATTTGCAATCCTGAAAACTATTGATCATGAAGATTGGCCTAATGGAACTGTGAAACAATAAAAATATTTGTATATTTGCTATTCAAACATGTTTCTAACTTTTTCGAAATTGTAAAATGACCCATAAGTTGTCTGGCATGTTACTTCGAGTTTCTGACACGAAACATTTCCAAAACGCGAAAACGTTAAGAAGTTGAAGTTTTCGTGGTACATAGCCAACATGTATTTATTTTTTTTAAATATTTTTTGGAAGAACTAAAAAATTAAAATAAAATACCCCCTCACATTACATTTTTTTCAAAAATCTAAGCAATTAGATGTTTTTGACAAAAAATATTAATACCAAAATTTTCCACATAAAGTAGGGGGTTTTTGTATTTATGTATAGTACAGGGGATATTTGATACAAAGTCCATAGTACAGGGGTGATTTTGTATTTAACCCTAATATAAAATATAGGGTAATGCTGATATTATAAAATGTAGTAAATTAATGGGGAGTATTGGAAATTAAAAATAATAAAATGTCATCACTCCTCTCCCACTTTCTTCTTTCTTCTTCACGCAGAGTTCCCCAACCCAAAGCCCTCTGCCCTCCTCGTCTTCCCTTATGCTTTCTTTCTTCACCTTCCTGTTGTGTGATATGACCCATCTTAATTTCTCACAGACAGACAAAGTCCACATCTTTTTTCGTTTTTCTCTTTACTTTCATTTTCATCTTCGTCGTATATTTTCTTCAGTCACATATGAACCGAATCTGCCTATATCCGTTCACCCACAACCTTTCCAGGTAAGATTCAGTCACCCACGACCACAATCGTTGCAAATCCAACCATGAAATTTCCTTTTGAGCTAAAAACCGGTTCTTGGGCCGGTTTTCGAGTTTTCCGGTTCTTACCAGTCAAACAAGATGGATGGAATCAGCCGCAAAAAGCAAGTCTAGTTACGGTCTTATGGGTGTTTCTTGTTGATCGCGACGACGAAGAGAATACGAATTGGGAAAGTATAATGCTAATGGGTGGGCTTAGCTGGGCTTGGCTGGGCTGGAATATTGGGTATTGCTTATTTCAATTTGCGTATTAAGATTCCTATCCTAATACAAATCGTAAAATTTCCCTTTTGTCATTCTAGGTTAAGAATTTCACGCGCTCATAAAATTTTCTTTTTTTTGTGTTCTAGGTCAACAATTATCACACGCTCCTCTCTCCAATCGTGTCAAGTCATTCATCCAGGACGTCATTGGTATTGTCTGCTTCATGTAAGTGATTATATTACTCAAACCCCTTTTCTATGTATCTGAAAAATTAGTATTTATTTGAAACTAATATTCAGTTATAATTGTAAAGATTAATCGTATATGCGTTTAAAATTTAGTTTTATATAGAGTCATATTTGAATCGATGAAATTGAAATTGATGCCCAATATCAGACTAATGAATGTTCCTTTCCCTCTCACTGTATTGTTAAAAAAAATAGGTCCATATTTCTCTTGTTTCGGTCCACCGTTTTTTTTTGTTTTATATTTCTAGGTTTTGCTGCTCGGCATTATAAGTGCAAATTTTTAGGGACTGACAATCAGGACATTACCGGTCCACTTTTGCCTCTGGCCTTGTTCCAATAAGCTCATAGAAACTGTGTTGCTGTAACATGAAGAGGAATTTTAACACATTTTTGCCATTTATAAATTGGGACAAGAGGAGAAAAGTGTATGAACGAGGTCTTACATGTGGAATGATGATCAAGGATATTTTAACATATTTTATTCATATTTGTTTGTAGGGGTGGTGATAAAGGATCTGCAGAACTAAAGCGTTCACTGAGCTGGGAATTGGAATATGAAATGGAAACTCTTCAAAAGTTACAGAAGGTTGAGTTGCCATCGACATCAACACAGTCCAACAAGGTATCATGTTGTTTGATTTTGGATTATTTTTTAAGTTATTCAGTAAGTAATTGATATTATTTTTATTTACACCAAATGCATGTCTCCAAACTTACGAATGTCAAGAAAGCAAAAAGATTGAGTAACGTTGACAAGATTGTTAATAAATACGAGGATCGGCATCGCAAAGAATGTCACGATTTTGTTAATAAGGAGAAGGCATGTATCTTTTTTCTATGGCCATGTTAATCATAAATGAATTTATACGGTAATTCTTTTTACAAATGAATTTTGATATATAATTAAATATTAATTTGTGAACCTGTTTTTTTTAGGTTACAATGTTCGAACACCGAACTTCTCTCCGGAAGTTGATAGATGTCAATAAGAATCTTCACAGCTCTCAGATAAAAGTGATTGAACTAATGGGATTTGGTTCACTTACCAAAGTTCAGCTCGATCAGATAGATAAAGTTACATTGAAATGGTTTATAGAGAGATATGACCCAGAAAGTAGTTGCTTTAGTATTGAATCTCAGCGCTATGTTATCAGTGATGTAGATGTTAGAAATGCATTAGGGGTACCTGCAACAGGTCAAGATATTACACTAGACACTACAAGCACAGAGGGGCTGGAAAAGTATAGACATATTTTTAAAATCGTTGATGGACGAATAGACATAGTAGCTTTGTTGGAGAAACTTCAAAGTTGCACGAGTACTGATACAGATTTTAAGTTAATGTATTTGGTGTTACTGTTTGGCACGGTTTTATTTCCGAGTTACAGTCAAAAATTCCCGGTACACTATTTGAATCTTTTGGTGGCCGTAGATAATATTGTAGACCTTAATTGGGCGGGTCTCATCCGAAATACTCTAAATGATGGAATCAGGAAGTGGAAGAATAAAGAAGGCACTTACATATCTGGATGTTTATTATTTTTCCAGGTATAAATTTTATCAATCATTTAAATTCAATATCTAATTTTGATAAAACATTTTCACTGAATTTTTTTTTTTTGTCATTTATAGGTGTTCTATCTTGCAATTGTACGCCCACAAAATTCACCGTTTGTGCTCAATTTAACCACTGAAAGGCCTTTCTTGGCCTTTCTAACGAAGCAAAGGATCAATTTCTTAACTGCTGATGTGCAAAAAGATAGTAGATATTTGAGGGAGCAGGTACCTTATTCATTATGTTTGGTTTACCATTAATTATATGTTTTCAAATAAAGTTTGTATTCATTCATTTTCAAAAAATTTCTCAGGCAAACTTTTTCGGTTTTGATGACATGTCTGTGTCTACGAATTCCATGGATAACACAACAAATAGGAGAGTAGTTCCTGATGTACTGATTGACGAACATGATGATAAGGTCATAGATTCAAATGGGATCCGTGATGATTTTGTAAATGGAGATTCGCCAAGTGAGCAACGGAGGTCTGTGAGCGGCCATTGTAGAGAGAAGGTAACTTATTCTTTATGTTTTGTTTATCATTAGTTATAGATTTCAAATAAATTTTGTATTCATTCATTTAAAAAAAATTTATAGGCAAACTTTTTCGGTTTTGATGACATGTCCATGCCTACGAATTCCATGGATAAAACAACAGCGAGGAGAGTAGTTCATGATGTAAATGAAGATTCGCCAAGTGAGCAACGGAGGTATGTGAACAAACAAGGTGGTGATTGTAGAGTGTCTGGGCTATTCAAAAGTAATGAGGTCAAGGATCCACATGTGCCAAAAGAGAATGTTCAGGAAGACTCATACATAAGAACTCAATTGTCAGTGTTAAGTGCAAGATTAAGTCGCATCGAAAAACAAAAAAATTATGTGTGCGAGGCGATCAGGAATCCACATGTGACACAACAAATCGAGAATGTGCGTGATGACTTACACACAAGAGAACAATTGTCATTGTTAAGTGCACGAGTAAGTAGCATTGAAAAACAAAAATATTGCGTACGTGATGACTTTGGCAGTAGAACTCAGTTTTCATTGTTAAGTGCACGAGTAAGTAGTAGCGAGAAACAAGTTGCTCAGTTAATGAGCACAATGGATGAGCTGGTGAACCGACATGTCAATGGAGACCGATTTGGATACCAAACAAGCATTCAAGAATCTTTTGACAAAATCGACAGTGTACTTCAAGAATTGCACAATTTGAAGTCCAAAATTCCATTAATAATCCGGAATACATTGCTTGGAATCAGTCAGAGCACGAGTAACACTCCTATTTCATCAAACATTAATGTCGCAGGTGACGACACCGATGATTCTATGTTGAGAAAAAAAAAGAGAACTCTGTAATTGTCATCCCTGACAATGAACAACCTCTAACCCCGAAACGTGAGAGCGTGCCACCGAACCCCCTAACAACAACAGACGACGTCCTTCTTGAATACTTGTTTAATCCTAACTTGGATTCGAGGTAAATTAGGCACTTCTAATTATCTTATGTACATTTTAAATTTTTTTTTAATTTTTTTGCTTATATAATGTACAGCACTTGGGTGGTAAACTTTGGAAGACTGGGATGTAGCAGAAGTACCTTGAAATGTTTGGAGCCTGGCAAGTTTTTAGTTGCAGATGTAAGCATATGCATAATTTCAATTTATAGTATTTTGATTATTTGTCAGCTAATTTTACATAAAATGTTGGAAATATAGGTGATAGCTAATGTTACATAAAATGTTGCAAATTTAGGTGGTAGCTAATTTTACATAAAATTTGAAAATATAGGTGATAGACTGTGTAGCGTATATGTGCACACGAAGTACAACAGAGGATCCGAGGTATCACGATCGATGGTGCTTCCCTACGATGTTTGCGGTATGATGCGATACCTATTCTAATTTTAATAATCTAAAGTTTTGAGTTTTAGATAACTTTGTATATATTATTAATTACTAATACAAATAATTTTTTATTTGCAGCAAGTTATTTCGATGAAACACTATGCTGATGAGAAGATCATAAATATGCTTCATTATTGTAAAAGTCGAATAGAAGACTGTGCTCAAATATACTTACCAATACATGACGGTGATCGTCATTGGTACCTTGCTATTATTGACTTGGATTCGGGGACTGTCTCCATTTGTGATTCAGCCCCTGTTAGTGGGATGCGTGAATATAGAAAAAAGATAGTCAATAATGCGGTTGGAAAAATACATAAAAATCGAACATGTTATTTGAATAAATTTCGACCATTATATTAATATTATTTTATAATTGCAGATCGTTCGAATGGAGAAGGTGCTTCAGAAATGGCAGCCAGAGAAGTACAAGATAAAAAATATAACGAATAAGTTCTATTATATGGATCCAGATTGGGTTCATTTACAACCAAATGGGTATTTCTATTCATATTTATAAATGTGTTAAGATATTCTGTAATTTATTTATCACCATTAATCAGTATGCATAATGTGACAGGTTCGATTGTGGAGTATATGTGTGCATGATGATGATTAATTGCAGATGATTAATTGCAGATGATTTTAGAGACTGATTTTTTTCTTTTTTTCTATTGAATTTGGGTTTTGGTTTAGGATAAATTTGAATCCGACGGACTTTGGGGATATTGTATGTTTTGATTTTATTGATTAAATGATTTTTATAGTGATGGATTGTGGGTCTTAATGAGTTCTTACGGCCTGAAGAGTTATATTTTTATCTTTTTATTTTTGTAGTGATAGATTTTTTTCTGTTTCTGATAGCAATGTCATCAAGAACATTAAATAGGTGAGCCAAAAATTTGTTAGAAGCAGGTTCAATGATAGCAAAAAAAATTACCCCTTGCCCAAATCCATAAACTTTAATACTTGAAAGGCTGGAGTGTAATTAAATTTTTTTAGTCAAATTAATTTTCGAACGTAGAAAATCTTGATTAATTGGTAAATGTGTAATTTCTGAAATTGTATATTTAGTCAAAAATAAACTTGAAAGCTGGGACTAAATTTTAAAATTCCAAACTTTGAGAAACCTCAAATCAGATTTTAGCTTTATTCCAACTGGGATTTTAGCTTTGGGGAATTTTGGCAAAATTTGAAATATAAAGTGGAAGCACAATGTGACGTGTTGAAGAATAATTTCTTGAAGTCGAAGGATTTGTCGGGGAGGAGAACTCCTTGGATTTTATTACAGTACAGGCACTTCTTAGGAAGGTAAACACGAAAGAAAACATTTTCCTTCTCGCCCGAATTACAAAAAAAAAAAAGATAAATGAAAATGACGATTTTGCCCTTTCGAACTTTTGTTTCGTTTTGTAGGATGGCTAAACAGAGGCTTAGAGAAGCGAGAATCCAAGCAATAGACTATCTGATATTGCTTCTTGCTGGTGCTTGTTTGGGTCTTATTACAAAAGCGAGCGACAGAAAGCTTTGGTGGACCTGGTTATACTTGCACCATTATAGCTACTTGTGAGTCGAAACTTAGAAAAAAAAAAAAAAAAAGTTCTCGATTTTTCAATATTTTTTTTTTATTTACTTAAAATTTTCTAAATCTTTTTTGCATTTCGATCAGCTTTGCTATGCAAAATCTCGGCTTTGAGGACGTGCTTCGGGAATAAGCAGCCTCGCTCATTTTATTGCGAAAGACACAATCGACCATTTTAGTACACTTATTAAGCCAGCAAATTTAACCACAAAATCTTTAACAAAATATATGCCAAAACCGCCGGTAAAAACAAAAATCCAAGGATAATCATAATCAAAATTATTCCATGGTCACCATAACCATCCATCTATAGACACGATCCTATTGAATTCTGACTACAGTCATATTGAGTACTACTAGTTTCCACTATATTTCTTGATTTCTTGGCACAAGCATTTGTACGTCGATCAATGTTGACGGGATTTCTAATACACGTGGTAGTTTTATGGCCAGGCTCCCTTGCAAAAAACACCATAAAAGAAATCATAAGTACTAATTGAAATATTTAATTAAATTTAAGTCAGAAATTTGTCTTTACAAAAATAGAATGAGCACGTACCGACAAAAACCACAATTCTGTTGCTTAGCACGTTTTGCACCTCGAGTCTTTATTCGTCCAGGATCATTCACATTACAACCTAAAGGAGGGTCTCCAACATGTTCAGAAAATTTCTTCGAAGCATCAGCAACACCGTTTCCAACTGTATGAGCCCCAATGTCATTATGCTTTAAGCATTCCTTTGTTGCCTCGTCAGAAAATTTCCTTACCCGTTTTAAGGTTTCATTAAATCCCAACTCCGTCTGTGATGATGTGTATGACAAATTTAACGATTCTTTGTTTAATAGTGCAAATCGTGTCTGCTGTGCTCCGACTACGGGGATAGCCTCCGGATATTTATTTTTTAGTATCCTACCTGTGTCAATAAGCCAACGATGGTGTATGCTGTTATATGGAAATTCCTTAATCCGCATTAACTTGAAGGCTGCTATGATATGTCGGCATGGTACACCCTCAGACTCAAGCATCAGACAATCACACTTGAAATTGTGATTTAACTTGTCAATAATCACAGAATGTTGCGCACCATCAAGTTTGTCGTAATTTTCAAACAAGAATGCATATTGTTCTCTACCTATCTCACGTTTACTTTCCATTAAAAGGCCCTGCTCTGCTGTAATCTCATCACGTATAACATGAAAGATTTTTTTCGTGCATATACTGGCTGCATGCTCCTCGAGCCTTTTAAGAGGACTTTCTCTAATTGCATGTTTCGTATTCTCTGAATCATCTTGTTCAGTAAGAAAATTACTCCTTAGATTCTGTAGCGTGCAATTGTAGTGCTTCACAAACTCAGTAATAGTCATCTTTTGATCGACGGCAAGCTTAATTAATGAGTTCATTGACTCAGCCCTTTGTGTTGTCCATGTCATTGCCATAAAATGTCCGCGAAAATATGCCTCGGCCCACTTTTCTTTCTTTTCAAATATATCCAAAACCCATTGTTTATCTGCTACCTCATGCATCTCAACTATATTTGCCCATCGTGCCTCAAACTCATCAACTGAGCATGATTTCTTCAACAATCTCAAAAAATCTGAACAAAAACCCGGCACTTTGATATTCTGCCGAACATTTCTTCCAAGATGCCAACCACATAACCGATGCTTCGTTTTAGGAAACTTTGAAAGAATAGCAGCTACCATAGATGAATCTTGATCTGTCAAAACAGACCTAGGAACTTTGCCGTTCATCGCTTCAAGAAGTGCTTCCAACAACCATTGATACGAATAAATTGTCTCATTCCTCAAGAAAGATGCTCCAAAAATGCATGTTGAACCATGATTGTTGACTCCAGAAAAAATAACGAGAGGATACAAGTATTTATTTGTCTTGTACGTGCTGTCAAAAATTAAAACATCCCCAAAAAGTCCATATTCAGCTCTTGAAGCTCCATCACACCAAAAAATCCTTGAAAGCGCACCTTCTTCATCCACCTCGTATTTGTAGAAAAAGTCGTCGTCTTTTACTTTCATACTCTCAAATAAGGCTAGTAATGTGTTGATATCGCCTCCTTGTATTCTTTGTTGTCGTACTTTGTTCAACCAATTATAACCATCTTTCTTTGTAAAAGATATTTTGCCAGCACCTCCGGCAAGCTGCTTCAACAAATCCATAACCAGACATGGCCTAAATCCGAAATCTGTCATCAAACTCAACATGGATTTATCGGGCATTGAAATATATCTGTACACAAAATTATCTAATAAATTTGTGTCCATAATTGCACGAGTTTGAGACAAAAAATTGATAACCAAAGGAATCAATTAAATTATGTACCTCTTCTTGAAACCTTGCAAATCATGATTATGTTGAGATTCAAAATCCGTCACAATATAATGTCCTGAAAAACGATCATGTGCTACACGTAAGCCTGCTTTGCAACCACATCTAGTAAGAGCTTTCGCCTCTCGTTTTCTATTATTATCATCCTTTGGCCGTCTGCGAAACCCCTCACGTGTACAAACCCACTCCCTATACTTTACAAGGTTTGCGGAGTTACGTTTCACACTCTGTTTTCGAATTCCAAAACCAGCTAAGTTGGCGTATGATGAGTAAAAATTTTCAGCATCATCAATACTCTCGAATATGAGTTGCCGGACCACATCTTCATTAATACTTTTCATATCAAAACCAACTGAATTGCCTCCCCCATCCAAACCATGATTGAGTGGATCTTCACAATTGCTATTGTGTCTGGAATAACTTTCATCATCGGATGAATGTGGGATTGCTTCCTCAATTCCAATATTAAAATCCATTGTGCCTATTTTATTTCAAAAACAACCTCAAAATCACATTATTGATATTTATTTGAGCTTAGAAAAGAATTTATAATACAAAACATGGATGTATAAATTGAATTTAATTAAGAAAAATATACATACGATAAACTGAGTCAAACATTGAAGATCAAAATCTGTCAAACAATTTACCAAAGGTGTGTAGCCTCGAAAACAAAGAACAACCACTGAAGAGGGATCGAGAAACAAAAAAGGCATTTTGAGGAATCGAAATAGTTGCAGAGAGGGAATGAAAACAAATATAATGTATATAATGCAGAAGATATTAGCTGTATAAAACAATATGCAACCACATATTATGGTCCTATAAAGCAACAAGCATGGGGGCAATTAACCGATATGGACTCGACAAATAAAGAAATAAGGAACGCAACAAAACGACGAACATTCATCAAAACAATTGAAAATTCAAGTGACCCCATAATGTTTACTGGTATAGTGCAATGAATTTTAATTTTAATTCTAATTTTAGTTTTTTTGGCTAGATTAAAATATTAGAAGAAATGAAATAATTATGGCAACAAGATGCAGGGGAGGTTCATTTATTATGCAATGAAGCAGCCAACAGCTTGAAAATAACTGCATATAAAAAAATTGAGGTGAAAACAAATGAGTGTATCACATCAAATTATACTGTTACATACATCTCCATGGCCACACATCTTACAATCAAGATTTAGTTTTTATGTTGTACCCTTCGGACAAAAAAACAAAAACCAAATTAACTGAATTTGTAATATTTCATTACACAGAACTAATAGAAAATTAACGAACAGCTAGGGCTTCTCTCTTTATTTATTTAATTTTTTTTTTTTTTTGGTTGCAGGAGAAATTAAAAGAAGAATCATTTAAATCTGTCTAAAAAATACCAAATAAATCATTCTTTCAACCAGACACCATGAAATTTCGTTGAGAATCAGATTTATAAGTCTAGAATCATATCCAATTAGAATCTCATGAATCAAAATAAGATAAAATCTAATTTAACACATAATTCATAGATGACTCAGAAATTGTGCAGTTTCGGAAAATGGTTCATAACTTGACCAATATAATTCTGATTTACGCATACCATATATCAAAACGAAGTTAAAAGAAACATCCGCATGCACATTTAATTTCATAATTTTCATAAAATAAATCATTGATGAAACATGCACTGGAAGATGGGGCTACGAATCTGAATTTCGAACTAGGGTTCATTGAAATCTATATTTCTTGACCTAGATCCCTAAATTCGATTCCTAAACATATAAATCAATTCAACACATAAACATATCTTATTATTTAGCATTGATTCAGTAAAGACTAGAGTCCTTACCCCTTTGAAGAAAATCGAAGACAAGGGAAAGAGTAAACCGAAGGATTCTCGGAGCTTTGGCTTGAAGGCTTTTTTTTGCGGCTGAACTTGAAGACTAATGTCTGGTTTTCTGTAAAATTCATGGAATGGAATCTCAATTGTCGACCTCTCATACTGACAAAAACCGACAAACTAGAACACCAAGTATGGTGTGAACTGTAATTAATCATTAACACGCAAATCCTTCAATAAGCCCAACTCCAAATAGATTGTTAAGAAAAATCAATCAAACACGTAGTTGAATAAATTAATTGAAGAAATCAATTGATAAACCGATAAAAACAACCGTCTAAATCTTTGCTAACCCCAGATGTCAATTTTGTTTTCCTGTACACAATAACTACACGAAACACAGTTATATATGGATTTGTCCAATTCATGAATTAGAAAACACACAAAAATCAAAACCCTACACCTTAACTTTCTTGTTTTCCTTTATTCGTAGAGAAGAGAAGAAAGATTATACCTCGATTATATCCCTGCCCGAAATGAACGATTGATGAAGATGATTTTTATTTTTATTGATGATGATGGGCGACGATTTTTATTGATGATGATGGCGACGATTTGTTTTTTCTCCCTTTTTCAGACGATGAATAGACAAAGAAAAAAAAGGATTGAAGAGATTAGGGACGATTTGTTTTTTCTCTTTTTTTCAGACGATGGATAGACAAAGAAAAAAAAAGAATTGAAGAGATTAGGGTTTAATGAGAATAATTAGATCGTAATAATTAGATTGTAATAAGCTTGTAAATTATTGATTTTTCTAATTATATTTTTTATTTTAATTAAAAAGGGTTTTTATGTAATTTCAACCGTAATCCAGGGTTCGTACTTTTTTTAATGGGGTTCGTACTAATCATACGTGTCACAATTTTATTGGTTGATCTTCAATCGTTTGGGTCCGAGTAGTACAACCCCTCTCGGACCCTACTAACCTAGGGCAAGGGCAGAAAAGGATTTATAGTAATTTCAAACTGGGTGGGGCTTTTTCGTCATTTCACACGAAAGTGAGATTTGGGCGGCAAAAGTTTTCTGGGCGTGTGGGCTTGACCCGTAAGAGACTAAAATGTATTACGGGCCGACCCGTCACGTGTTTAAACGGGTAGTTACCGGGCTGGCCCATTTGTTTCGGAGTCTATGCAGGGAGTAAGAATGGTATCGGAAGAGGAAGATGCGCCGTCGTATGCGGCGGAAGGCGGCGGCGATTTGGGGGAGGAGCAAGTAATGAGTGAGATTCACCTCGGATGCCCTCCAGACCACACTGGGCCCCACATATCCCATTTCACCATCTTCTTCCCACCTGGTTAGGGTTTCTTTTCTGCTTAATTTTGTTATTTCTTCTGTAAGGGACTTTCCTTAATTTAATTTACATTTTTTATTCAAATAATTATAAATTAATTAGGGAATAATCAGATTGAAGATAGTCTGAGTTCAAAGAGCTCAAATGTATGTGAGGTGGATGAAGATGGAGATTTAATTCTAACTCGCCGGCACTGTGAGTTTTCTTTCACAACAGAAATTTGATTATTTGTCCCTCAAATTTGAATTGATTTCACATTTGGTCCCCCATGTTCATAAAAAAACACATTTAGTCCCTCATGTTTCAAAGATTCAACATTTCCTATTCACTTCCGTCAATTTTCTGTTAGTACTAACGTAATCAAGCCTGTACACATCACCGCCTTAACTGACGCAGTAACGGTAAATTGACGAAAATGACCAAAAATGTTAAATTGTTGAAACTCGAGGGACCAAATGTGAAATCGGTGCAAAGTTGAGGGATGAAAACTGTAATTTTCCCGTCAATTTATCTATCTATTTTATCTCATGTTGCTTTTACTGAATTTGAAACTAAGCTTTTTGTATCATTTCTTGTTTTTTTATTTGTTTTTAGTATATTGCTTCATTTAGAATTTCATTGATCTTCTTCAATCATTGCGTCGAATTTCTATGTCGGAAAATTATCTTTATTCAATTCATCGTGAATCAGCTGTCGTAGGTTGTAGTTGTTCACTTGTTTGTAGCTGAAATATCGTAAACGGCACAAGTCTTGTGATACTGACGTTCCTCTCAATAAAATAAATACGAATTCCAAAAAAGAATAAACGAGGCCAAGAAATCGATATAATTCATTTCAAATTTTAATATGCAGATCCACCAAATGATTCTTTTGTTATCAGCATCCAACATAACATTACGTCATCCATTCCCAAAGTTGGTCTCCAGGTAATAATAATAAAGCCACAAAGCCCTGTAGTACATCTTCCGAACATTTCAAGATTTTATTTTTATCGATCCTTAACTAAATCAAAATTTTTTCATCGATTAATATTCCTAATTCAGATTTGGAGAGCAGAACTGGTACTAGCTGACTTTGTGCTGCATAAAATGTACAAGTCGTCCGATTTTGACGGAATCGCTGCCTTGGAACTTGGAGCCGGCACTGGTAAATTTTTTTATGCTTAATTCTGGTGAGTCGTGGAGTTATACTTTCCCGATTTCTTTAATAACTGATAGCATCACTCGTTTTTTAAATACTTATATTTTTTCGGAATATAAATCTTCACGTGAATTTCTTTGATTATCTTTTACCAGGATTGGTCGGCATGTTACTTGCACGTGTTGCTAATAATACTGTCTTCATAACTGGTATTGTGTAAAACTTAACTCTTTCCAATTATCTGTTTTTTTCGTGATTTTTTAGCTAAAATTATTAACTGCTATTACTTTCTTTTGTTTTTTAATTAATTCTCAATTATTTTAGTATGTACTTTTCCTTATCGGTAATTATTATAAATATTGTTGTTATCTAAATAATATATTACAGATCGAGGCGACGACATACTTGGAAACTGTGCCGAGAATATTAATCTCAACCGTGGAAGATTCCACGACAAGGCTTCTATATATGTACGAGAACTCGATTGGAACCATCCATGGCCCCCTGAGGTCGTAATAAATTCTCCACATAGGTAGTAATAAAAAATTAAAGCTCATTTTGCTTCTTTTCCATGTAGGGTAAATTACGGCCACCCCTAAGGTATGCTTAAATTACGTAAAAACCCCTTATGTTTGGGTAATTACAACCAACCCCTCAACGATGTATTGTCTTACACGTCCACCTTTACAATGTCAAATTTACCTATTGGAGGAGGGGGTTTTTTCGTAAGACAGTACATAGTTGAGGGGTTGGTTGTAATTATCCAAACAGAATGGATTTTTTTCGTAATTTGAGCTTGCCTCGAGGGGCTGCCCGTAATTTGCCCTTCCATTTATTATTTTCTAGATTCTAGAAAATAACTTTTTTATTAAGATACCGCTAATTATGACTCATCACTTAACCTCGTATATGCAGCCATGATTGGAGCTTGGCCGAGGTTGAAGAGGTTCAACGAGCTTCGTTGCTATTGGCTGCTGACGTAATTTACAGTGATGAATTAACTGATGCCTTATTCCGTGTATTAGAAGTAATCATGTCTAATGGTCCAGAAAAGGTAAATTTAACGAATTTCCGAGATCGATAAATAACAAAATGAATTATTGTAATCAATTTTTATTTTTATTTTTTTTAATTGAAATTTCCAGGCACTGTACCTAGCATTAGAGAAGCGGTATAACTTCTCGATCGATGATCTTGATGTTGTTGCAAACGGCTATTCACACTTCCGTAGCTATCTTAAAAATATCGAAGGTGAGCACGTTTATTGTTTCTTAAAACGAACGCCCGTTTCGATATTTAATTTAATTTAATTTGGACTCGTAACAGATATTGATGAAGAAGGTGGTGTGGGAAACGAATTTTCGTGTGGATTTATCGGTAGGCTGGTTGATCTAGAAGAGATTCCTCAGTATGTGCAAGAGTATAGTCGAGGAAACGATGTCGAAATCTGGGAGATCAAATATGTTAAAAATTGATTTATTATTATTATTTTTTTTTCATTATGAAAAATAAAAAAACTAGATAAAATATGTTTTTTTTTTTGCTGGATATTATGTAGTGCTAAAACGACGGCGTTTTTGAGGTTGTGGTCGTCACATGCAAGACATTAAACACAGAATATTTGCATGGTTCGCTGGAAAAGTGACTTTATTTCAGCATCAAATACTGGAAAAGCATTTGTTCTTATTTACTGGCATGTGAACTAATTAATTAATTATGGAATCAATAATTAAAATCGATGTAAATCTAGTAACCACCTAATTCACCCAAAAAGAAAAAAGAAAAAAAGGATTTTCAAAATGAAGTTCCAATATTCATTATAATTAAGTGAAGGCTTAATTCCACTTTCCACCATTGAAATGGAGCACTTTGGTACTTTGAACCCTTGAAAAATAATAATAGCACTTTGCACCCTCAAAACACAATAAATCGTTCACAATGCACTTTGAGCCTGAATTGAATAATAAATGATAATTCATTTTTATTGATCTTTTTTTCGCGATGCAAAATAATAAATTAAATTGTTATTTTATTCAACCTCCAACCTAATTTTGAGCGCACAAAGGGCGAACATAAAACACACAACCGATGATTGAAAAAAAAAATTATATATTTCTTGCAAAATAAAATCAAATAAACTTTTATCATTAAATTATTCGATTGATATGTCTTTTATTGTAATTGGTGGAAGTTATTATGTAGAAATATTTGGAAGAAAATATGATTTTCAGATAACTTTATAACGAAATAGTTGAATGGTTTTGTTTTCGTAAAATAACCTTTTGAGATAAAATAAAAATAAAAAAATTCAATACCACTTAAAATATTAAATTACTTTTATTAGCTTTAAAAATTCATGTGGGATGCATTATGGATGATATATTGTGTTTCGAATGTGCAAAGAGTTATTAATTTATTTCTAGGGTGCAAAGTGCTAGTATTGTATATTCGAAGGGTGCAAAGTGGGATTAAGCCTTAATTGAATCTAAAAATTAATATTTTAAAAATAAAATAATTTCCTAATTTCTTAAAATTCTTACCAAATTAATTATATTTGTTTTTATTTTCTTTAAACTCCGGTGTACTTTTACTTGTAGAACGCTCATATCATATGCTGCCAAACCAATAAAATCTCGGTAATGAACCAGGGCGGTGGCGACCTCTGACCAGGTAGCGGCGCCGCCGTACCGGAAGCTGATCATCAATTTATTCACGGTGTAGGAACTAAGGCTATAAATAGAACTGCTGACGTGTACTTCACTGTAGCGAATCTTCTTTTTCACTACAGAATTTTTTACCACCTCCGCCACTCTTTTTTTCCCCTTTTATTTACAGCTATGGTAAAAGAGAAGAAGAATCCAAACATTGTTGTGGCCGCTTCTCCTCGTAGTCAATAATCCGATTGCTTAATCTTCACTCCTTGTTTTTTTTTTTTTTTATTCTTATTCTATATTCCTCGAACAGGAAAAAGGGGGAAAAATTGAAGTAGGAATCGGGTGATCTAAATCCCCCGAAAACCCTGAATTTTTCTTTCTGAAATCGATACACACACACACAAACACACTGTTTTGTGTGTGTGTTTTTTGGGGTCAATTGTCCAATGGGCTGCACACAATCGAAGATCGAGAACGAAGAGACGGTGAATCGATGCAGGGAGCGGAAGCAGCACATGGAGCGGTCCGTCACGGCGAGGAATAAGTTCGCCGCCGCACACTCCGCCCACGCCATGTCCTTGAAGAACACCGGCGCCGCCCTCAGCGATTTCGCCCAGGGCGAGGTTATCTACCCCTCCTCCTCCGCCGCCGCCGCGGTTGCTTCAGCGGCATCCTCCGCCGCCGTCGGCGGCGCTAGCCCCCCTCCGCCTCTTCCACCGTTCGAGAATTTTCCTCGTCCTCCACCTCCCCTCCCCTCCTCCTTCACCACATCCTCCCCCCTCCAACGCGCCTCCACCATGCCGGAATTCGTGATACCCCGATCGGAGAACAAGCACTCCGATCCGATAATTGAGGAGGACAGCGACGAGGATGTCGAGACAGAGAGTACCCACAGCTTGAAACGACGTGGTAGCAGTAAAAGTGGGGGGAGAGGTAGGATTTCACCTCCGGAGGTTGCGGAGGACGAGATTTCGCATCAGCCACGCAAAAACGATCAGCAAAGTCGGCGGCAACAGCAGCCGCAGCAGCAGCAGCAGCCGCCACCCCCTTCGCTGGAGAATTCATCTTGGGATTACTTCTTCTCCATGGATAACGTGCCGGGTCCCACATTGGCAGAGGTGGAGGAGAATACTGTGGATAGGGAGGATATCGAACGGAAGATGTTCGAAGAAAGGGCTAGAAGAAGAGAAATAGATGAGAAAAGCAAGAAAGTAGAGGAAGTAGCGGAGGTGGTGGAGACTGTGAACGATCTTCCTCCGCAGCCACCACCGCCGGAAGAAGCGATGGCGGCAGTAGCTAAGGTGGTGAAGAGAGTGAAACTTGTTCCAGCTGACGGGAAAAAGAAGAGTGGGAGTAGTAATGTAAATTTGCAGCAAATATTTGTCGATCTCGATGATTGTTTTCTCAAGGCATCGGAGAGTGCTCATGATGTTTCTAGGATGCTCGAGGCAGCACGTTTGCATTACCACTCGAATTTCGCAGACAAACGAGGTATTAAAATTATTACAGCTTGTGTTCGATGTCATTGGAACTGCAACCATTTATTGACATTATTGCGGGATTTATTATTCTTGGTGTGATTCATTTACGTTACGAATTATGGAATTTCATGCATCTTAATAAAGAAAGTACATTTATAACGTGGATATGAAGTATTATTTGTTCTCCGTTGGCAGGGAATATCAATCATTCGGAAAGGGTAATGCGAGTCATTACATGGAATAGGTCCTTCAGAGGTTTAAGTACTAATGTTGATGATGGGGCGGACGACTTTGATTCCGAGGAGAATGAAACTCATGCAACAGTGTTGGACAAGATGCTTGCATGGGAGAAAAAGCTTTACGATGAAGTGAAGGTAATATCGTGCTTCCATCTTGTTAGTTCTTTCGATTTTGTGTTAAATTTTTCAAATTTAATTTCATTTTAATTTTAAATCATCAGTCCCATCTTTGATTGGATTGCTTTGGAAAAGGATATTGCCATATTTAAATGTCGGGTTGAATTGTTTTACGGTACTACGATTAAGTCCTGCTAGGTGATCATAGCTGTTCTAATTTATTCAAAGATACGTCTGATCTTCAAGTGTTTTTTAATTAGCAGCGATTTTTTTTTTATGAATTTTCAACTGGAATTGAGAATTCCGGGCTCAATTTATGGTCGTAAGTTGAAATTAATGCTAAATTCTTACTCTTCGGGAAAATAAGTAATCAATGTTTTTTTGTGATCGTAAGTCGCGTCATGGTGTTTCCTTCTGTGAAGGAAATAAAATTAATGTGGTTGCTCTGTTCATTTTCTTTCTTTCTTTTTTTTCTTTTTAAAACTTAATTATTTGTGTTTTAAAAAGTTTTTTTGTTGTCTATTATTCGGTGCTGAACAGGCAGGCGAGCAGATGAAACTTGAATACCAGAAAAAGGTAGCTTCATTGAATAAGTTGAAGAAACGAGGTTCAAACACAGAAGCACTAGAGAGAATGAAAGCGGCAGTTAGCCATCTGCATACAAGATATATTGTCGACATGCAATCCATGGACTCTACTGTTTCCGAAATTAATCGTCTACGTGATGACCAACTCTATCCAAAACTCGTTGCTCTTGTCGACGGGTGAGTTCCTAATGCACTTCTTTGTCAAGAATTAAATGGTGTCTTACTTGTCTCAATATGTGCTCTTGTCTGAATCATGTCAGATTCTTTTCTTTTAACTATTTCATCCAGTAAATGACAATTTTCAAATCCAAAATATTTGCTTATGTTTTCTAATTAGTTAATAGTTCTAATAAATTTATTGGTTTCACTTTTAATAGTTCATCTAATCATAGAGGGAAAATACCAAAAAAGTCGAAATATTACTCCATTCTTCCCATTTTAATTGTCGTTTTGGGCTAGTGCACGTGTTTAAGAAAATTAATAAATGTGTATAGATTCTAGGAAAAAGTTGATAAAATGACTGAAATACTCCCTCATTAATTGTTTCGCCATTAATTCTCTCTCAATAAATGAAGAATAGTAGGGGCAAATTTGAGAAAAATATAATAAACGCTTCATCGAAATTTCTAAAGTGACATAATTTGAAATAATTTTTTTTTTGTCTCAAGCGACAAATAATATGGGAAGGAGGGAGTACCGAGGTGTATTTTACCCTGTATTTAAACATACGTGGATATATTGATCGAAATATAAATAAACCATCACGTTACAATAAATAGAATAAATTAGTAATCATTAAAATGGGACATTGTGGCTTTGTTTTGTTTCGTTTTCAACAAGATCTCTTATTCCTATGATTTATAATGTGTCTACAACGTGTTTTCAACAAAGTATTGCCTTATTCTTTCTTTATTTCTTTATATTCTTCTAATTATTGCGAATCTTGGAAAATATTATGCACAGAATGGCTACAATGTGGGAGACAATAAGAATACAACAAGAGAACCAATCGAACATCGTCCAAGCCTTACGCTCCCTCGACACCTCCCAATCCCCAAAAGAAACGAGCGACCACCACCACGAACGCACCCGCCAGCTAGGCGGTGTTGTCCAGGACTGGTTCACAAACTTCACCGAACTAATGAGCCAGCAAAAGGAATACATCCGGGCACTCAACACCTGGCTAAAGCTAAACCTAGTACCCATAGACACAAACTGGAAAGAGAAACCCACCTCCCCAAACCGCCACCACAGCCCCCCCATACAAACCCTCCTGAACGCATGGCACGATCATCTCGAGAAACTTCCGGATGAACCCGCTAGGGCAACCATCAACAACTTTGCCGCCATAGTAAAAACCATCTGGCAGTACCAGAAAGAAGAGCTGGAGTTTAGAAACAAATGCTCCGATTCAAGAAAGGATCTGGTAAGAAAAACGAGGGAGTTTGAGAGTTGGTACAATAAGTTCATGCAGAAACGGGGCCCGCCCGATGACACGGATCCGGACCGGGTCCACGATAGCGACCACATCGCTGAGAGGCAGCTGATTGTGGAAATCGCAAAGCATAAATTGGAGGAAGACGAAGAAGGGTACCGGAAGTTGTGCGTGCAGGTTAGAGAGAAGTCGCTTGTGAGCCTGAAAAGTCACTTGCCCGAACTTTTTCGGGCGCTTTCGGAATTTTCGCTTGCTTGCTCAGATATGTACAGTAACTTGAGGTCCATTTCGCATCCGAGGCACAGAAACGAGGTTTGATTGATCTCTCTGGTATGTGTTTCGTCACCTATATAATTTATTTATTTTTCTACCAAATAATTACCACATTTTTTGGTGTGTGTTCTGTTGTGAAGTAGCAGAGAAGGTTGGTTGTGAAATTGTATTTATTTTAGTCGTGCATGTATAGAAATACGTGATTGGATTGTGAGTTGATTCATCCTCTTGTGGCACTGTGTGGGCAGTTTTTTTGCAAATTTTGTTTGCTGATTAAGTGTTTATCTTGTTTATGTATGTGTTCTACATAAGATTTAATTCAGTGAAATTTTCTATTGAGTAATTTATTCTTTTAGGTCAAAACAGTAGTGCATGATTGTGAGCATTACTCGCGAGATGAGGTAAGGTCAAATTACAAAAACACCCTTCATGTTTGAGTAATTATAACCACTCTTACATGTCTACTCTTATGGTGCCGAATTCAACGGAATCTTCTAAATTTTGTGGAATGTTCTCTAGTTTGTAATTGATTTGTGCAAGAATGCAATTTCAGATGCACCACAATCTGATATGTACAAGTCAAGAGACACATCTTATGATCATTTTGTTTCAAAATATAGGGCTCGAATGGTATAAAATCGGGTACAAATTGTAGAATATTTCACATAATCAAAAGATTTCATTAAATTTGATGCAGCAAGGATGGACGTGTTAGAAAATTCATAGTTGAGGGGTTGGTTGTACCCAGACATAAGGTTTTTTTTTCGTAATTTGACATTTACTTCAGAAGGGTCCCTTAATTTACCCTTTAGAAAATGTTTTTTTTTATTTGTGTGTGTGTGTGTAAAATTTGTTAATATTCAAAGACACATAGTAGAATATAGAATAAGTGATTTAGAATTAAAAATCTATGAGGGGTAAGGGGGTAAATGAGACGGATCGGATTGGAATTAGCACTTCGGAAAAATTTCGATTTTTTGGTAAGTGAAAAACTAGTTCAATTCCTTTTCCAAAAAATCGGAAATTGGAACGAAAAAACGTGTTCCAAAATTTTCTTAGGAAAGGCTAAAATCGGATCGAAAATTGGAATATCATATATATTCCAATTTCAATCCAAATAATTTTCGAAACCTCGAATGTTCTAAAATTGGAAAATTTCGAATCGGAATCGACATAAATCAAAAATTTCGTTCCAATTTTCACACCTATAGAGGAGAAGGGTTTATATATTTTCATATTTCCGCTTTCTTCAACCTTGTATAAAAAATCAAGTGCCTATTATTCAATCGAAAAATATATCGTGTTCCTTAAGTCATATATATGACCACAGCCAATAAAACTCGCTTCACACCAGAATAACTTTAATTAGTTAGCAATTAGCATATGATAAATCATTAAACAAACACAGTCCAAGGTTTTACTTTCACCTAATACACCTAGTCACACAAAAAAACTCTTATTCCACACCCATTCTTCCAAATCGACGTATAAAATTACACCAAACACATCCGCCTTCAGTTCTAACTGCATAAAACCGTAGCGTGCGAACAGAACAGAACCCGCAGTAGACCCCACCCGGCCGGCCCCACACTTCTCTATAAAACCGTATATGTATGTATCTAATTTTTTCTGTGTGTACTGAAAGTCTGAAACAAATATATACATACACAAAACATGACGGTAGCCAAACATTCCGATAAGTCGCCGCTACTCCCCGACCAACATCAACACACGCAACCGCCGCCGCCGCCGGCGCAATACGTCATCGTTTTACCGCACTACCCGCCGCCGCACCACCACTTCCTCTTCCGCAAATCGTGCCAGCGGTGCCTATTCTGCTTGGCAACGCTCCTCATCTTCCTAATCGCCGCCGGCTATCTTCTCTGGCCGGCGAAGCCCCAACTCTCGATCATCCGCCTCCGCCTCGATCGGCTCCAATTCCACACCATCCCCAAAATGTCAGTCGACGTGACGATGGACCTCACGGTGAAGGTCCGGAACGAAGACTTCTACGCCATGTACTACGACTCGCTGCTGGTGGCGATCGGCTACAGGGGGAAGCGGCTGGGGTACGTGACCGCCGACGGCGGACGAATCGGAGCGCGTGGGTCTTCGTACGTGAACGCCACGCTCCAGCTGGATAGGGTGGAGATTATGAGTGATGTGGTTTCGCTGATTGAGGACTTGGCTAAAGGTGCGGTCACGTTTGATGCGGAGTCCGAGATTAGTGGGAAGCTCGAAGTATTTTACTTTTTTAACCTCCCTCTCAAGGTAATTAATAATAAAATAATTATAAAAAATATTCACCTTACCATACGTCGTCGTTTTACTCTGAGCATTTTTTTCAGTTTGTGCTAGAATATGGAACATAGAAATTGATTTAAATATCTTGTCATTCAATTAGTTATGAGTGTGACATAGTGCAAAATTATTGATATTCTGAAGTGAAGAATAATTTGGAACAAAATATCTTGTCATTCAATTAGTTATGAGTGTGATATAGTGCAAAATTATTGATATTCTGAAGTGACGAATAATTTGGAACAAGAAAAATTGTCTAAATCGATAAATATTTCGGCTTAGGTAGAGCGTAGTCTTTTTTCATTGATCGAATTGTGGACTATACCGTAAATATTGTTCGTACACGATTTGATTCAAATGTTGTTAATATGATTCTCGTGCAGACGGAAATCGAATGTGAAGTGGTTGTAAGTTCGCGGAACCAAACAATTTCTCATCAAAGTTGCTACCCTGAGGTAAACTTTTTAACTTCATTGAAGTGTGTGCTAATTGTGAACGCAGTTGAAGATGATGATGAATCGGAATTTGTTTGAACAGGTTTCTGAAGTGAGTTAGGTCGACTCGCAATTAACAGCAGCCGGATAATCGGATGAACATAAAAGAAATTTTACCACAGGTTTTTCTGCCCCGTTTCTCTTTCTGTAATTAAACAATTATATTTAGCACAAATGTATTTATTTCATTCATCTTCCACACTTTGACATTAAACCGAAAAATCAGACACAAATGCACATAAAATGGTCTCTACTGAGCACCGGCTTTTTTGCAATAGACGATTTATTTTTTTCGATTTATTCTTTGTTTCTAGAAGAACTGCATATATATTAATTGTTTGTAACTGAATACCCGAAAGTTGTCTGGCTTAAGATTACACGAAACCCCCACAGAAACAGAGTTGATTTGTAGACATAATTTACGTACTTAAACTAGACGGGCTTGCCCCTACTAACCCACTGATACTCCACACGATGGTGTCTACACTTAAACGAACCCGGGTGGCTGCTCGGCGAACACACACATACCTTTGTAGCTGTGTCACCACCGCTGCTGCCACCCTCAGCCACTCCACCACCACCGGCAACCATTTGTTGTTGTTGTTGGTGTGGTGCAGCCTCTCTTTCGGCTGCATCCAGCGGTGTGACGAAATGACCACCTCGCCAAAACGAACCCTGTCTGCACATGTTGCTCTTCGTGTAAAACCGAAACGATTTTTTTGCTAATTGTGAGAATGTATTGCTTCGTTTACCGGTATTATATGGATTTGAGTCACATAAATAGGGATTGTTTTTTCTGCAGACTGCTGCAGGCAATGGTTATTTATTTTTTCATGCACAACTTATCCTGAAGCATTGTTTTTTCCCATACTGGAAAAGCAAGAATAATTGATAAATGCAGAACTTATCCTGCAGGATTTAAATTTTTCTGAGAAAATTTACATGATCTTGGTTTTAAACTTTTTTTTTTTAATATAAAAATAAATGCTAGTTAAACATTTAATTGTTAGGGTAGTGGTATTTTTATGAGAGAAGGATGGATAATAAATGTGGGTAGAAGATCAGTGGTCCTAAAAATTGAAACCTAGTGAAAAGTGCCAAACCTCTGTGCACCCTCAATTTTTTTTTTTTTTTGTAACGAAGGAATTCGCATCCTATATATTCTCGTATAATAGCTTGCAAATCGTACAAGAGACATAAACCGCATTAGACTAACCATATGTGATGAGCTCGACCTAACGACCGTTGGCAAGGAGGTTTGAACTTGAGCCAACTCACCTGCTCCAACTATTAGACCATCTAGACTAATAAATTTATTTAATTCAATCGTCGTGCACAAATTGCACAAGTGGTCCTTTTATTTTGATTTATTATCTTATATTGTCTATGTTTATCTTGTAGTTATAGAGCTTGAACAAAATCTTGTTACTTGATGCTAGTGAATGTTCATCGTTTAAAAGTCTTTACACACGTTTCTTATAAGAATGGACATAACAAAAACTAAACTAACTTTTGACATTAGATGAAATGACAAGGGTAAAACTGAATATGTATAATGATTTATTTTTTAAAATGACAAATAATTTGAAATAGATGGATTAATAAACTTGCTAAGAGCATACTTTCTAGGAGATTGCAGTGTACTACACTAGGCTAATAAGATTGTATTTGCAGTAAACCACACTAGGCTAATAATCGTGTGTGACAAATTCGACCTAACGACCGGTGGCAATGTGATTCGAATTTGGGTCGATCGAAACAAGCTCAGGCTGCTGAGTCGTTCCTTATAGGATACAAAGGATCTTTTAAATAACAATAAAAGTATATATAAATAGACACACTCGAATCCAATGAATCCAAACAATATCATATGATGTATGAAAGAACGAATACGCCCACTCCTGCGCCAGTAAATATGGAGACAACACGGCATTCATTAGTGATCCTCACCTTTTTACTATTTTATATTTTATATTTTATATTTTATATTTTAAAATTTATAATCATAATTAAATTGGCCGAAAGAGGGAGTAAACTTATTTCCAAATTCAAAGGATAAAATGGTAAATAGCCAACATGAAATAGGCAACACTCTTTGAACATCCCATTTTCTCTGGTCCATGAGATGCTACATTTGGTAAAATAATACCGAATTATTTTTGCACCATAGATCTATACTTTAAGCACTCATACACATAAGTGTGATTTATTATGTTTAGATCAACGAGTGCAGAATTACCCGATGTATTTCATCGGGAGTATCATCTAAAAACCCAATATCTTCTACAATAATTCATCCAAATTCCAAACCATCCATTTGGGATGGTTTTGAGATTTTCCACTAAATATAATTGAGTCAACCATTTTCTACGAGTATAAATAAATGTCAAATAATATTTAATAATTAATAAATTGACAGCAAATTCTCCAGCACATTAATGAAATGAGTTGTTCATACAACCAAGCCACACCTAAAAGTCCATCAAGAATCTCAATTCAATTGTAGCTGAGTCAACTCATTCCAAAATAATGTTCAATCTTGATATAACCAAAGGTCTAAGATTCCAAATTTGCCTCTATGTGTTTTTTTTATTTTATTTTAATTTTTAATTTTATCCACTTACAACTTATGGCAAATAAAGATGCACCACAATCTTGTGCGTACCATGTTCTATTAAACAAAATTGATTATTATTTTGAAGCAAAAATTAGTGTAAAACAAAATGACGATTTTGCCCCTATAAATTGCCACATGCCACCCCTTCTAGTGATGTCGACCATGTTTTGTACATAACCTAAAAACAATTAAGGGTACTTCATTATACTATATATACACACACACACATATACATACATATCTCATTCAAGCATTCTCTCTCTCTCTCTCTCTCTCTCTCAAGATGGATGAAGAAAGATGGAAGAAATGGTCTAGCAAAGAAAATGTATGCTGGCCAAGAAGCTACTCGAGTCTAAGATACGATCGTTTCGTTTCGTACAACAATAATATGCCGCCACTAACGAGATCTTCATCGAAAGCTCCGATTTGGATGCAGCTGTGGCGCAAGTTGAAGAGAGAGAAGAAAAGAATATTCCAATGTAATAACAATAATTCGAATAATTCTTCAATGAGATTCACATACGACGCATATTCTTATTCGCAAAACTTCGACGACAATCAGGGCTCCGTGTGGGCCGATCCGGATAATGTCTCCCGTTCGTTTTCGGCCCGTTTCGCAGTTCCGTCGAGAATCTTTGAGCAGCAAAGATTGATGATGTCATGATTTTGTCATTAATTTTCTTATCTATTTTTTTAGGCATGTTATGATATTATTAGCTAGTTTGATTTTCATGCGTTTTATTTAATTTTGATTTATAAGGTAATTATAGTTTTAAATGGAATTTTTTTTATTATAAATATTTATTTATTCCTTTTTTTATTGTGTTGATATTTTGTGTCGTCAGTTACAAGTAAAGGTAGATGCGTTTGAGATTTTGAACTTTTTTTCCTTTTAGGAAACGAGTAGACAAATGGAGTCCACGTCATATCTTTTCATTTTCTTGATTTTATAATTATAAAATAATTCTGTAAAATAACAAAACTCAACGTTTAGTCAAACAACTAACATATCTAATTAATTAGAATGCAATATGTATATAATATGTGAGATCACATATTAATTCACTATAGTACTCCGGGTGAAATACATCGGAAATATTTTTAACATTCATAAGTATACAATTACACATACGATCTCATAGCAGTGTGTATAGATGAACGGTAAACATCTACTCGATGTAACCTTCATCGAGTGTAACATAGAACAAACCCTACTCGGTATAACTTTCACCGAGTGTAACATAGAAAAAGTCGAAAATCGCTCTTACGGGCTCTTAGTATTCAAAATTTTATAAGCTTTGTTGATTCTACTTAAACACACTAGAGAGAAAAATTGACTTCGGGGAAAATAGGAAATTACGGCCATCCTGGTAAGATCAAATTGCGAAAAAATTCCTCATATTTGCATAATTGTAACCACCCCTCAATTATATATTGTCTTTACGAAAAAAACTTTTCATTATATAGGTAAATTTGACACCATAAAATAGACGTATAAGACGATATATAATTAAATGAGTATTGTAAATTATAATTACACAAATATGAGGGGTTTTTCGTAATTTGAGCTTATATTGTAGGATTGCCATGGCCGTAATCTACCCTTGACTTAACTTCGGCTGACATTGAACAAAGGAAAATGAATATATATTTATGTATAATATCATTTGTTTTGTTCTTTGGATACCCTTTTCGCCACATTAATTAAATAATTATAGTTGGTTGGTTATTTTTTCAATGATTATTTAAAAACTTAGTACTATTATATTCTTCAAGGATTTACAATAGTTGCGTTATTAAAAATATGTTGGTGGTTCACTGCACCAGCTGTTGTTATATATTTATAATTCCTTTATGTTTTTGAAATTGATGATGATAAGAAACTATTATTAAATAAATATACATCTTCTTTTAATTTTAGCCAATTAATAAATGCGTCGAAATTTTACGTGGTTAAATTGTATCCAATATATATAATTTATATTAGACAAAGTTCGTATGTGGGACTTAAATTTAGACGATTCATATTATGAGTTATCAAGTACGAAAGCGAGTAGACAACTTGTTCGAAGGAAAAATAGTACTGAACATTAATTCATACAATAAAGTTAACCAAAATTCTTTGTTTGGTTGTTACAATCACATTCACATAATATATAAAAGTGTTTTAATATTTATTTATATTGCTATATATTTTTTTATTTAACTCAAAATTTTGCATTTGGTGCAGAGAATAATGGCAGAAATTAATGTGCTTGTCTGTCTATATATACTTGTCATTATCATAAATCAAGGAAATCGATTATTTATTTATTTATAAATACAAGAAAATTGATTAATGCACTGTATGATAAAGCTAAAATATTATTCAATGCTCAACCAATTATTTGCACTTCTTATTTTCTTTCTTGATATTTTTCTCCACACTTGACAAGTGATATTTCATAATAAAAATTCATCTTGAAAATGAAATAAATAAATAAATAAATTAAAAAAATGACATATTACAATTATTCCAGTACATAAAAAGCTTGTCTACAGCAATAACCAATTCTAATTTAAATTTACTCAACAAGAGATATATAATTTTATTATAATCTACATAATGCATAATACTACTCAAAATTTCGACGCCAAATCTCGCATATTACACGAAACAAAGGCCGCATATAACAATCGACAAATAAAAACTGCAATCTATAAAAACCGCGCGAAGAATCTGATGCAGAACCAATCCCCATTCCAACAATTTCACAGCTCCATCCCAATTTTGTTTTCCGTAATCGCCCTCGAACTTAAATTCTTCTTCGTTTTCCTCCTTTTCTTGCGAGTAGAGAGCTATTCTTGCGGCCACTATCAAAGCATCGGTTAATAAAACGGCGTAAAGGGGCCTATATGCAATTAGGCTCTTCGATTTTACTACATTGTGTGGGAGATTATTAACATGTGACAATACCACGAGAACTGCGATTGCGAACGAACATAGGGCTCGTGTGTTTTCGGATGAGATAATGCTGAAATTTATTTCCTTTGGAGTTATTGAACCGAGATGATATTCGATGGGCTTTTCGCGTAAATTTGGACCGTCCGAAAAATCGGAGGCCCGTGTGGGGACAAGTGATGCATTTCTTCTAGAAACTTCCTCTGCATTGTCATGTCTTAATTAGTAGTTTATCATGCAAATCATCACTTAAATACAAAAATCAATGTTATTGTGGAATTGAAATTACATTAATCACTAATCTAGTGGCGAAGCCAGCATAGGAACATTCAGCGGGACCCGTGTCCTACACCTTAATATTTAATATTTTATGCAGAGATTTGTTATTTTTCGAGTAGTCTAGTATAATTGACATTCGTAAAGGCATGATTTTCCCAATTTAGACGAAACAAATTGTGGCCGAATTCCATGATATTTACCATTTTGCATGGGATGCCCGAAATTGGTTTTTTCTTTCCTTTTCGTTTTCACGAAATTTCCTTGATATTTTCGTGTTTCGACAATGTTCAATAGTGTCAATTTACTAATTCAACTCATTCAAAAAAAAAAAAAGCAGAAACACATTAGAATTACTAAACATGCAAATAAATCGAGGATTAAAGATCGAGATTATACATAATATACACATTTTATTTTTCAATATTTAATTAAAAAAAAATCAATAGATTTAAAAAAAAAATATATGAACATTTTATGAAAATATAATACCATGATGATAATCTTGGAACAGGGGTATGTCCTTTTCCGCAACGGGTTCGGACGTGGAGCGCGCGTGCTGCGCGGGTAAATGGTGTTGGGTCGGGTCGGAAAACGAAGACGATTTCGAAAGATTCGGGTCGAGGGTTTGGATCCGGCCCGTTATCAATGCCATGCGATCCGTCCCTTGAGAAGATATCTTCTTCCTCCTTGCTTCTCTCTCCATTTTTGTTGTGTCTGTATATTTTGTTCTAGCGTAAGCAAATCATTTTACGTTAATTTTTCGCTTATTAATAATTCGTTGTTACTATTTATATTGGAAAAAAATGGATGGATGAAATTCTTTTGATCATTTATATTTATTTATTTATTTATTATTATATATATAAACGTAATTCAATTTATAATTCTATTGCAGATGATGGGATTTTATTTTTCTAACGAAAATTCAAAAGATGAAATGTTAGTATATTAGAGTTAGAAATAAATATAACAAACTTTTTTATTTTTTATTATATAATTAATAATATTTGTATTTTAATTATTGACTGAAAAAAAAAAATTGGGCTTTCCAGCGCTTAAGGCCTAAAACCAGATGTGTAGGCCCATTTTGAGTTTAGTTAATTAAGTCCATTCTGAAAAGTGTCTCGCAATAAATTTGGCCTAATTTCACTTTGCACCCTTGAAATATGTTATTTTGGCACTTTGCACCCTTAAAAATAATTAATAGTACTTTGGACCCTCGAAACACAATAAATTCATTCACGATGTACCCTGAAATTAATATCTAAAACTTAATAAGGGTAATTTTATTTTTTATTGGTATTTTTATTTTCAGAGTACACAATAATAAATTAAATTATTATTATTTTTCACCTCCAACATAATTTCGAGTGTACAAAATGCGAAAAAACAAAAAAACAGAAATAATTACTGGAAAAACTATATTTTCTTAAAAAGAGAAAAAAAAATCTCACAAAGTTATTCCATTGATGGATTTTTCTATTGTAATTACTGAAAATATTGGGAAGAAAATATGATTTTCAAATAACGTGATACCTAAATAGCTGAAGGATATTTCTTGTTCTCTCTCTGTTTTTTTTTTTTTTTGATAAAATAATTATTTTCGAATTTCTTTTTTAACATATTGATGAGGTGTATTTTTAATGTTTGTATTTTGCAGTTTCGAAAGAATTGATGAATACGACTAAAAATATTAAATTACCTTCATTAGCTCTAAAAATTTATTCGGTGTGCAAAGTGCTACAGTATTCTTTTAGGGTGCAAAGTGCCAAAAACTATATCTAAGGGTGCAAAGTGGGATTAAACCCAATAATTTTCAACTATTATCATTTATTCCAAATAATGACATCATCAATTAATATACACACGTGATACAATCTACACTGGTAAACTAAATCTAGAAATAAAATCATTGTGCAATATAACACCATATTTGATTTTGACTTCCCAATTATGAACTAATATATTTTGTCAATTCAGCCCCGATTTTAAATATATATAGAAAATATGTTTTTATTTGGTATATGTGACAAGAAAATTGGAAATTTTAGAGAGAGAAAGATGGTCAAAGAGTGAAATCTCTACTTGACTTGACTATTGTCTATTAGAATCAGATTATTACATAAAATTACATAAATATTTATTTAAAAAACAAACTTTCATTTGGTCACATATGAACATAATCAAAGAAAAAATATTTAGTAAATTAAATTTTGTAATTGAACAAATCCAACCAAATAATCAAATCCAAAATCATAATCCACTTTTAAATGTTGGTAATAATTAGCATTGCTTTGAAAATCCAATAAGTGGATTCACATAACTCACAATGTAATTTAATTCTTTCAATATGGACTTTAAATTAAATATACACAAAAATAATAATTGAGTAAAATATTTATTTTGGGCACCTAATTTTCAGCTACCATATTTATAAAAATAATATTATTATTATTATTTTCCAAAAGATATGCAGTAAATATTCTCATTAAAATTACTTTACCTATCTATATTTATGGTGCGTAAAAACGTCTATTATTAATTCGCAATTTAATGCCACTCCAAAAGATTATGTTTCCTTTTTTTTTTTAATTGTTTTTTAAAATATTTTTCAGTATAAATATAAGTGATAATTTATACCCTTTTAATAAACGAAAATAACGAAAATGCCAATTCAGAAATCATTGCAAGAGTGCCTCTCGAGAATGAAAATTGCCAACAAACAAATTCAATTACCGATGCGGAGCTGCACGCACACCAGGACGACGTCGTTCGCCGTCGAGGCGAAGGGGAAGGAGAGCGGCGGCGGCGCCGCCGTGACGTTGTCCGACATCGACCAGTTCCTATTCGAGAATTTCAGGTCTCTGTACCAGAAGGAGTACGAAGAGGAAACCTCGAAGAGGAAGGAGGCCAAAACGGCGCCGTTTCTGCTAGAATCGCCGAGGTTTCTCGATCCGCCGCCGCCGGAGAATCTCTGCGGCTCGGCTAGGTTCTTCGTCACCACCGGCTCGTCGAGCTCTCTAATCATGGACGAGGCGAGCTCCTCCTCAACCTCCGCCGCGGACCACGCTTCCGCCGAGACGACGTCGGAGGAGGAGGAGGTGGCGGCGGATCCGGCGGCGGCGCCGGAGGATTTCATCGCGCTGCTGACGTACTCGCCGAGTCCGTACGAGGATTTCCGGCGATCGATGCAGGAGATGGTGGACGCGCGGCAGGAGCACAATGGAAAAGTGGATTGGGAATTTCTGGAGGAGCTTTTGTTCTGTTATTTGGATTTGAATAACAAAAAATCGTATCGATTTATACTGCGAGCGTTTGTAGATCTCATCGTTGTTTTGAGAGAGAATGCCGGGAGGAATCCGGCGAGTAATCAGCCGTGGAACGACGGCGGTGCTCGGAGAAGGTAGCTTCGATTTTAAAAGAAGAGATTTAATGTAGTGTGCATGAGTTTAGTTCGTGATTTCATATTTTCTGAAAAAAGAAATATTGTACATTAAAATTAAATTAAATAATTTATGTTGTTTTTTCCTTCCATTTGTTTGACTTATTAGTTTTAAGATTTTCTTTTCCAACTTTTTTGTTGCTAGATTTTGTTTGATAGATTTTCATTGACATATGAATCCATGTATTTTTTTGAGTTTGCAAGTCCATCTTCTATTATTATTTTTAGACCCATCTATTTTCGACATGTACATGTCGAATTTTTGACATCAATGTGTCGAAAAATTGACATGTTAGTGCAAAAAAAAATTGACGCTAACCTGTCGATTTTTTCACAACTTTCGACATCAACCTAGCTATCAAAAATTAATAAAAAATCGACAAGATGTTAGTGCGCTTTACGCGCGAATTGTATATCGACCTTATCATTTGAGCCTTCTTATAACGAACACTTCAATTCATCTCGATACTTGACATTCATCATGCTTCGGCCTAATTTCTTGTCGTTCATTGGGCCTTGGCCCAATAATTTGGGATGAGGGAAGGCTCAGTCCATTATTGCCAAATTGACCTCATTAATAGATAATCTTCAAATTTTGATTTAAATCTTTGTTCCAACAAACATCACGTTTTTCATATTTAATGCCAAAGTATTAAAAACAATGAATATATATACAACGAATGTAGTTATCTAATGAAGTATTTGAAACAAAAGTTTTGGCCTTAATAAATGAAAATCAATTTGGCAAAAAGAACAGCAGGTAGTAGTAGTTTGCAATAAAGAGGGCTGTCTTGAGTGTGAAGATTCAACTCCACATCTAACTACTGTGTGTGTGTTTAAGTGTGTGTGTTTATGTGTGTGTGTGTGACCCCCAATATGAAACATGAAATAAGAAAAAAAATTCAATATGAAGTGGAATAATATATATTGAAAAAACTTCAAACATGTATTGGTTATCAATTTCCACTCGTTACAATGTCCAAAATAATTTACAACAAAAAAAAAATGAATATTAGTGCAAAATAAATATTGGTGCATTAAAAGAAAAAAAAAAAAAAAAAAAGGGAGTTGGATTGGAGATACTTGTGGCTGCGTAAACTCTTCGTTCGTGAATTCGGAAGTTTTTACACTTTGAGATATAAATTAACACTCGTTTCATTGGAAATCAAGTGAAAATCTTACTAGTAAGGCAAAACCTCGTCGCCCAAGTGTCTTTCTTAGGTCTGCAGATGGATAAATGAGCATTTAGAAATGTAATCCAACCGGTACAGAATTCGTCGAGCAAAGAAGAGTTACTCACTTTAAATGCCAGCTGCATCGCTATTATTGCACAAGTAATGCTCATACAAAGAATGGTATTTTGTAGGAACGTAATCCTTGAAACTGTAAAACAAAACAAAAAAATCGAGCAAAATGATTAAGCAAAAAAATCGAATAGGTTAAAGAATCGATATTCATCCTAAAACGTGGCATCACATATTACACACTTACTGTAACTCTAAAGAAACTCTAATTCAACTTATCTTGTTACCAGCATATTATGTGAGCTAGAATACGACGAAGTGGCAATAATAGAATAACAAGGATAAACACATTTTCTGAAAAACGGATACCCGTGAAGAAGAGGACGCCTGTCCGGTACGGAGAATAATCTTGCTATTGATTGTAGAACATGGCCTATCTTCATCGCTTTAGACTTCAGCGCCTTCATAAAGCCTACAAATTCTTTATACTCTGCATCGGTAAGCTTTTCGCGAACCTGCAAATTATATACAAACAAATGGCTCTTACGCACATCTCTTTTCCAGGAACGGGCATTTAGGATTCAAATGACTTCCTAAAGACATGTTTAATATGCCCAGAAATCAATGACATTTTTTGTCTTAAATTCCTACATCTATTCAATGAAAGAGAACGTCACACAACAGTACAAAATACTTCACCTGGGTGAGAAAAGCCGATCCCTTTGTCTCCTCCTTATTGTTAAGTACACTCTGGGACAGTACATCCTTGTGTTCGCGAATGTTATGTACAACAGTTCCGTTTTCCGTAACAATTTCATCATCGAGCAAAACTACTCTTTCTAGAGGATTCTGGATGCTAACATTTTCGGTGAACCCGAAACTCTTTTTCTTCGCTAAATTGCTTATTTTATGATCGGATTTCTCGTGATGTTTTGACTGGTCGGGCCCAGTTATGAGCAATCTACGTTTCTTCAATATACTAGATGCAGCCAAATCACTACTTTCTCCATCAAAATCTTGTGAACTTCCCTTCCCACTGATTGAAGGTTCTTTCATTGTGCGTAGATCACTTGAACATCTCAAAAATAAATCTTGTGAAATCTTGTCTGATGTCAGAGATGAGCGATTGGCAGGAACTATTTCCCTCCAAAGGCTAAAAATACTGTTTTGTTTAACTTGTTTTGTTGAAGACGACGAGTCCAATGAGCAAGTTGGTTCTATTTTAATCTGAAGACTTGTTCCAGTTAGAAGTCAAATATCAAAGGAATAAGGTAGGGCATCATTTGCCAATGAACAAATTCAAATTACCTGGGGAAGAAGAAGCTTCTCAGGATGGTACTTCTCCAAAGGTTGGGAGCTTTCTAAACCTCGGACACTTTCTGCAATGACATATGTGTGACTACGGAATTTTATTATAGAAAACAAATTTTTAAATAATCGCCTGCGGGAAAATGTTTAACACCAATATCTTTGGCTTTTCATTAAAAAACAGTAACCCCAAGTCCATCCCTCCGCAACAATATAATCTGTATGCAGATGTCTTCACTGCACACACTTCAGTGCAGGAGCATCTTAATCTTAAAAAATAATATATATATTAACCTAAGCATATATTAATTTCAAAATAGAAAGCCATTAAGCAGACGACCTAATCCACACTAGCAAAAACCGAAAAAAAATTACCACTGTCTTCATTTTGTGTCAGTTCTAGCTTCGGAAGGACACGTGCTCCACCATCTCTAAAAAAGCGAGTGAGTGTGTAAACTATATCACCAAATTTGGAATAACACTGCAAAAGCAAAATGCAGAGAATTACAAAAAAGGGAGAAGAGAAACTTAGAGAAGAATAAGAAAAAAGGTGCAAAACAGACAAACCGCACTTTGACATGAGGTCGTATCCACAATGATATTTGAGCCTGTCGGTTTAAATTCGTGAATCTATCCATAACAAAGAAGAAGAAACTATAATAAGTTACAGAGCTATATAATGACAGCAGTTGATTAAGAGACAGCTCTAAACTGACACATAGTAATGGCACAAATTAATTAGGTTTTCACAGAGCTTTTGAGGATCAAGCATGCAGTCAATGATAGCAATCACCTCTCATCGCAAAATATAATTGCTCCGTAATCATGCTTATGACGAATGACACGGCCCACAGCCTGATTTACAGCACGTGATGCTTGTTGAGTGTACCACTCTTCTCCAGTCAGACCCTGTTCATTCACATTGTCATTTATTACATTAAAGTATTAAAAATATTTTCGAATATACGAACTGCATTACTTTATTCTGTTAACATGCATACTACCTTGTTTCCAAACTTTTGTGATTGTAGATCCAAGTATTCACGTTTCAATCGAACCTGTCTCGAGCAATTAAGGAGAAACAATTTTTACATATTTGATGAGAAAATAGATCACAAATAAATAGTGTATACGTGAACTAATGAAACAAATCAGAAGAATCTTTGCATATTCGAACAAATGAAGTTATCTACATATAAACAATGTTCTTCAACAACTGGCATTATTATACAGAGAATTTTGTTGAATCAGAAATAATATGTGGAACATCTTGATCAAGAAGTTTGCATTTTTCAAAATAAAAAACTCTGTCAGCCTTCTCTTCATAGCCCACCCCTCCTACTTTTCCCTTGTCTGGAGTCTGAACTATATACAGTTAAGAATACAAACCTTAGGATCAGTCATGGTGGAAAACGGCAACCCAGTGATGACCACAGCTCTGCCAGCACGGTCAGCAAAATCCAGTCCTTCACTCACCTAAATATAAATTATGGTATTTATCACTTACATGCAGCAAGCCGTGAAACTTAAAATCAATTTGTGAGACACGAGAAGAAATATTTGTCTACACGTACAGATAAAATTAGGAAAAAGTTACAAAATAAAGAAGTCCGGTGTTTCCACTATTGCACCAAGTATCAGCATACAAATTTCGGGTGAAGAGAACCACGTGCATGCAAGTGAAAATTTTGACTAGAAACATACGATGCACAAGAAGTAGGATACACCGATACCTTGCCACGACACACTGCGAAAAAAATTGCCCCAGAAGAGGAAGTCTCGTTCAACTTTGTCATGTAATCCTGGTCAAGGAGGCATAAACAAAATATAAATCTTAAGAAGAAAGCTCAACTTAGGAAATGCACAATCAAGAAATTCTGTATGTGAGCAGCTTACTTCGATTGCCGTAGGAAAGAGTGAGGATTGCCTAGGTTCCACGACAGGTAACTTATGCTTGCAAATTCTTTCCCAAATTGTTGTTGAATTGGTTAGATTTTGCTGACCCTGCACATAAGACACATAAGAAGCGTAATCACTACAAAGGGAAACACAAAAAGACCCCATTGTTAACCTGACATGACATATTTTACCGTGGTTTTCCAGCAGTTTATGCATTGCTCCAAAAGGTAGTAAGATGGAAAAAACACAAGCACCCCATCTGGTACAATTCGAGCAAAATTGACTGGCACATAAACTCCAATTCAGTATCTTCCCAATTAAGTATAACTTCAAAATTCAGATTTATACAGCAATAGTATATAGGTCTTATTGTACATATGTATTAAGCGTACCAATGGCATTGCCCAGTTCCGACTTGTACTCTATAGAACCACGATTTCGATATGAAGAATTGAAAGAATAACCAGATGGCCCAGCCGGTGCAACTCCAGCCCATATCTGATTTCCAGATATAACATGAGGGTTCTCCAGAAGAATAGGAAATTCTCTACAAGAGGGAAACAGTGATGAATATATCATTCTTTGAAATCAGCATGAACATAACTCAAAGGATTAAATGCATTGAATAATCACTCACAGCTTCAATTCTTCTGCAAATGAATCCATTGGTGATAATGTGCCAGATGTTAAAATAATAGAACCGACGCCAAGCCTGGAGAACTCTTCCAGGGCAACCCCAGGATTGAAGCACCACCAGCTTAGTGTTCTAGAAGTTTTCCCTAATTCAATTTTAATGAAATTTCATGTGTCAATCACAATGTTCCGTACTTGCACAGCTACATATGAGCTAGCCAATGCTACATCTTACAAGAAATTCTAAGACAGGATAAACAATAACCGACATTGCCCTTCTATATCATTTTTAATTAAAAAAAACATTGGGTAATATTATGATACATTTTAAATAGCAGAAAGTTAAAACATTGGTGAAATGCATGAACCTCAAAAATAGAAGGTGTTCAAAACGAAAGATAACAATCTGGTGCAGAAAGTGCAAGCAGATGTGATCATACATGCACAAGCACCTACACGTCGGGTTTGAAAGTAAATTATGGTACATGCATAAATGCTGCTGAAGACGTATGCATGGAAGGATAGAATTATAACATGTGGCACAACGCCTTGATTAGGAGTAGCTGTTTGAAGAAACCATTGCACAATAAATTAAATGCATTCTTCAACAATTAATCACTGTTACGAACTTGAATCTAATGTTTTTTTATAACATGTTAACAAGGCATCAAGTACATTAAGTATTTTGCATATTTAGTTGTGAAACTCAAGGAAGCGTATGGAATATAGAAACTAAAAAAATCAGAAATATGGGAAATATAAAGCACTAAAATGATGCAAGGACTACCTCTAAAGGAATCTGTAGCCTCGACTTCATGGACATGAACCTGCCAAATATCAAGGTCAATAAATCATGTCAAATAAATGCCTCGTGAAAGATGGCACCTTAAAAACCAGCTTGCCAGTTCACATAGAAAATTATATACTGAAATGAATTGATATAACTTACACGATAGTATTGAGCATGAGCATTAGAATTATCCCTAAAAATCATGTTAAGAATGTCACCCATGCTTTCTAGCCTGAAATAGGTCCCATTTGATTTATTTGTTCCTCCACTGTCACTTCCATTTGCATCTGAAGGAAAAGTCAGGAGATTAGTTAATAAGATACTAAATGTTATAGAATTGTAAGAAAATTCAAATTCCACATCTTTAAGAAGTTCTTCTGACTGACAAAAACAGCAAAGAGAGAGAGATAGACAGAGATAGAGAGAGAGCACTTTGTGGCACCATGTTGAGAAACTACGGTGATGCTCCATTGTGTATACATATATTTGTTTCTCATTTTTAATGAAAATGATACCTTGAAAATTGAATTTCATAATTGACTTTTGCAGTGGTTCACAATGTTGGGAGTAAAAAAAAAGACTTGGGATAAAGTATCACGAAGTAAAGGAGAATGAAAAAAAAAGGAGTATTTTGGGACTAAAACAAAGAGAATGGGGAACTAAAAGTAAGCTTTAGACTTTACAGTAGTACTGAAAAGGAATATTACTATAGAACTAACAAATGTACTTCCTGACTCACAAGGTCGCAGAAGACCCATAAAGAAAATGAGAACTTGCATGCAAACACATCAATATAGTCACAGCTCTATAAACTTGAAATAATAAAAATGACGTAAAAGATCTCGAGAGTCAAGTTAGTGACTGCTGGGAGGTACCTTCTTCAAGAAGTACACATGCTTTTTCAATGATATCTGTGAGCATGTCGGCAGTTTCCTGAGTTATATTCAGCTCAGATAGTAGCTGATAAATGTAAGGGCCAGGCTTTGTAAAACCTAATTCTTTGGAGTCAATTGGCACCTCAGCTATTCGTTTCTCGAGCTTCAAAAGAAGTGCTGTAATGATCCAGCAATTTGGTTAAATGTAGATGATGATTTGAAAAGGACAGATCTTTTTAGCATCTCATACTCATAGGCATAAATATAAAAATTATAGAAGCAGCAAATGAATTGAAAAAAGACCATCAGTAGCATCAAAGAATTTTTTATTTCCCCTATTATTTGACAAACAATCATTAGGCAAAAGCTCAGCTGTACCTCTCAGAATAGCAAAATTATCTGGATTACAAGATTTATCACTTGATTCATCTCTCCTAGTAATGGAAAGATCAATGCATTTTTGGGCCTCTGATATGCAAGCAGTTAAAAGACTTGCAGGCAGGTCAAAAGAGGCTGCATCAGCACATAAGCTTTCCTGCATCGTTAACCAAAGTCAGATTGCTAAACAGAGATTGCTTGCAATAAGCTGCTTGACTTAAGGGGTTACTTATAATATAAAGATGAGTGAAAATCTAAGATGACATTCTCCAGAATTCATATGCATACATACTAAGTTGTGAGCTTCATCAAAAATAAGGATGCTGTTCTGCCAGTCAATTTTCAAAGATTTCCGATTTCCACGATCAATAAGATAATTGTAAGGTGCGAATAAGATGTCAACATCCTTATGGAGATCCCGTGACAGATAATAAGGGCACCTGAAGAAAGAGAGAGAGAACAGATCATTTCAAGTTGAACTTTGTCAATTTTCTGGTATATAGATAACAACTACAACCGAAACTTACGGTCCAGAGCTTCTTCCGATATTGACCAAGTCCTCTATGTCAATCGGGTCATCTCCAATGCCAGGATTCTTTTTCACGAATTCTACATCGAACGATAAAGAAAGTAATTTAGTATAAACATAAGTTGAACATAATTATTTGCATTACAAAGACATCATAAAATTTTATGATATACACAATGGCCTTCAGTAGATGATGAATTAGTAATATATTATCACTTTTCTTCGGCAAATACCACTAATTCTACATTGAGTGACCTAAATACAAAGAAATCAACCTCTTGACACCTGGATGTGCAAATTTAATCGCCAAAGACCAGAGAAAAATGATTACAAATACATATTGGACAGCTTTCTTCACAAATAGCTCCCAAATTTCCCGGCTAAAAATTTCCTAAATTAATTAAATAAACCACAAAATATTATGTTAAACAGCTGGAAGTGCGTGTCTCCGAAGGACACCAAATAAAGCTCATTACATATTATATAACATATAGGAGGATACTAATGATCTGCTGATCCTATCATGCACGTGTTCAGATACTGGCAAACCTACGACACATACCTGTAACACGTGAAAAATGAGAACAATATCGCTTGGAACGCTTTCTGCACAGGGCATGGCAAGCATTTGTCTGTGCTTTTCCACGAAGTGAACGTACTTGGTCATTGATGCACAATTGCTCCCGGGATCCTAATACCACGGTTTTGGGCCTGAATTTCATCATATTTAACTCGTTAAATTAATATACTACATCTTCACGCATTATACCCACGCACATATTGAATGTACTCACTGCTCGATAAATAAAATTGCTTAGTTAATCAAAAAAATTATCAAGACCCACATGATGATGAACACTATCGTATGAGAACAAGCAAATTCAATATCAAAAAATCAACATCCATGAGCCAAAAACCAAAGAACATCAATAAATAAATCAATAGATACTAATGAATCATAAATCATTACTAAAGAATAATAATTCCCGATCAACGAAAAGTTTGAGAATATGGTATCCATATTTTCCAGGACTTCTAAATTAGACGACTGACTAACGCCCATCAATTGCCAGAGACAAAATAGTGTAACGGACCTGACCTATAGTTGGACCTCTTCAACTCTTGGATCACTTGCCTAATCTGGCTGTGGGTGCGTGACGTGTAAATTATTCTCGGAAATTCTGAAGATTGGGTTTGCGAGAATTCATCGTCTCCCTGACTTCCTCTTACTTTGCTTCTTTCACTCCGACCTCTCGAGAATGCACCTAGACTTTTCCTCCAAGCTAACGCGGCGCACAAAAGACACAGTGTTTTTCCAGTTCCAGTTGGGCTCTCTAACAGGGCATTGCATTTCTGCCATTGTAAACAATCAATATGGAATTAAATTATATTCCAGTAGTGTTGGTAATTTTGTAATTCAAAGTACATTTGCAGATGAAAAGGGTAAAATTCGATCATAAAATTTGTCAGGAAAACACTTTCTTTTTAATCATGATTTCTTATATCTCAACTGAAGTACTGAGACAAAAGAAAAATACTGATTTTTGTAACAACTCCTTCAATCTCAGAAATCAGACGATAAGTAAAAAAAAAAAAAAAAAAACGAAAATTAGAATCTACATACGTTTTGAAGAGATTGGATGACTTTTTCCATGTAAACAAGCTGGCAATCGTACGCCTCGAAAGGGAATTCCACATCGATTCCCCTGATTTTGTATGTCGGCATTCTGATTTCGATTCGAAGATTTTCTTCTGCTGTGTGATGATTGGAGAAGCTGATTGCTGTGGTTGGATTGAAACCCTAGAACTCCATTATGTTTGCTCTTCTTTTCCCGCCACTTTTAGTTGCGTCGGGTGTTGCCGACGACGCCGTATGACATGCCTAATGAGGTTAGCCCGGTTTCTTCAAAGGGCCGGGCTTTGCAAACTGCAATAGCAACCCTTGATGTTTGGTCAAATTGCAAAAAGAGCAAGGGTCTATCAAAATATTTTTTAGGGCAAATTGCACTCTACCCCTTAAAAAATGCTTGCTCTGCAATTTCCCCCTCAAAATACAAAAATGAGACTGTGCCCCTTCGGAATTTATAATTCGGTGCACTTTACTCCAAATATGTATTTTCGGTCTAATTCTCACCGAATGAAGGGTGTATATGTCATTTTACATCTTCCGCTTGAGAACCCTTGATAAGTGTTCGTTTTGCACGTTTTTTGCTTGTCAAATCTTTGAGTTTTGGTCTTCGTTCGTCCGAGTTTCGCCTTTATAATGTATATATTATTGCGTTTCTTGTTTTATTTATATTTTAGGGTTTTATTAGATATTTTTGCCGAGTGAAAGCCATTTGAAAGCGAAATCGAATTTTCAAGCCAATTTGGGGCCAAGAAGACCCAGATCGCGATTTGACATCTCTGGATCGCGATCTGGGGAGTGTCACAGAACGAAAATAGATCAAGACCCAGATCGCGATCTGACTTTTCGTATCGCGATCTGGGGTGTTCACAGTACTGATTTGCCGAAGATCCAGATCGCGATCCAGCAATCCGTATCGCGATCTGGGGGGTCTCACAGTGTTGAAATGCTGAAGACCCAGATCGCGATACACATTTTTGGATCGCGATCTGGCTGGCGGTGGGCAGTTCCCCGAGGCTGCCAGATCGCGATCTGGTCACGCCTTTTGAGAAAGATATTTTGTTTGCAAAGCTTCTTGATGAAGCTTTGCATTTCACTATAGATAGAAAGGCCCTTTCATTCTTCATTCTTCTTCGATTTTTTACGGTTTTCGACAGTTCTTCACGGGAATCATCAACGGGGGTTTCGACTTGGGTTTTTCTTACGCAATTTCTTTACGTTTTGTTCTTCATTTCCTTTGTACATTCTTTTGACACATTGTTTGTTATGAACTAAGAACATTTTCTTCTAGGGTAATGAAGCCTTGTATATATTGATTTCGATCGTCATTTCTGTTATTTATTTGTCGTGTTTCGATTTCGTTTATGTTTTCCTGTATTAAATGCTTCTGATTGTTTGATCAGCTCTCGGATTGATATTAAATAGGAATGAACTCGAGAGAGGATTTCTTGTTTGAAGTTAGGAAAACATAGCTCGGGGTGTGGAAACGGAGACGTGATGCACTTCGGGTAGCCCTTAAGGACTTGACCTAAATGCTCTCTTAATAGCAGGTTCTGAACGGAGACGTCGGACCTGTGGGTAGACTCTAACTACACTGGAGACGGGGGCTAGAGTACTTTAGCGTTTGGGTTAACGAATAGCAATGTGGCGTTGCATAACGAATTTGTAGATCGTTATTGATTTTACATAGGTGGATTTTGCCCTAGAAGTCCCTTTAAATCGAAGTCCCCCACGTTGAGTTGTCGCTACTTTACTTACGTACATTCTATATTTGCATGTTTACGATCTTGCATGCTTTTAAATTAGGGTTTCTCACCATTTCAAATATTTACGATCGGCTAGATAATATAACGATAATATAATTACACTACTCAGCATGCGAATCTACAAGGTCCCTGTGGATCGATATCCGGAACCACTGTTTTGCAAAATGCGATACTGTATACTTGCGGTAATTTATACGTAAGGAAAATGCGTATCAATCGTCATTTCGGAGTTACTTAGAGTTCCCAAATTAACAAAATTCTCTTCCCAAATTAATAAAATTGGCTCCCAAATAATACTATTTTGACAAAATTTGTTTTTTGTTATTCGTAATCGTTGTAATGTAGGGTGTAAAAGGTTAAATGACACTTAGAGTCTTAAAAGAGGAAATTACCCTTCCAATTTACTCAAATCCGACAAGAATTAACTCAACAATACACGTTTGGAGCAAAGTGCAGCGAATTATATATTTCGAAGGGAAGAGTCTCATTTTTCTATTTTGAAGGGGAAAATGCAAAAATGACATTTTTTAGGGGACGAATTGCAGTTTGCCCTGTTTTTTAATTAAATTAAATAATAGGCCTTACTATTTTATTTTTATTTTGATTAATAAGAGCTATGTACTAATAAAACGGGAAAAAAAATGCAGAAGTCTATACGTGAATAACTGCTGTCACAAAAACAAACAAATCGAAGAAATCTATGAGGGGACTATTTCATCCCAACTGGAAGTACAAGCCCACTTAACAAGATGGTGAGCCGCAAAATTTGGATTTTCATTCACGATCTTCAAACGCCATTTACACCATTTGGCCCAATACTTTCGAATTTCCTCATTCACCACCTTGCCTGACCAATGGACACTCCCGGAAGCATGATAAGTAAATACGATAAATAATATTAGTAATAAGTTAATTGAACACGTCAATCTGTCAGAGTCGATTCTTGGTATTCAAGTTCGTGAGTAAAACTACAAAATGAGCCAAGCGTGGGTATTCGGTGGAATCTTTAGAAGTTAAGTGAAAATTTTCAGATTGGAATTAGATTATGGTTATCTTCCTCGACGCATAGTGCTCACAAAAATCTAACTTCTCAACCTTATCTCCGTATAGAAGCCCTTGCTTGGTTAGTTAATGTAATCCTCTTTCACTATTCAATGATCCACATATTCACTATTGTCTTTCCAATCAATGAGTAGATTCCATATTGCTCTCCAGGAATTTCATAACGACAGTTGAGCCCTTTTAGGATCTCGAAGATTCCGTCACACCTCTAAATATTTACAAAGGATATAAGATTTCTCTTTAACTCGACAAATCTAACCTCTGTCGAGATCCTTTCTACTCCATCAAACATCTTTTATCGTGCGTGCCCGGTCCTTGGACCTTGCATGCTTGATTATTTCCAATAATTACATTTTCATCCTTATAATACTCAATTGTTTCATCCGAGTATAAATATTTCCTACAAAGAAAAATAACAAAGCCCAACCCAAAAAATAAAAATATTTGTGAAGCTGCTGAAATGGGCCATGTAAAATAGAAAAATTAACAAAGCCCAACCCAAAAGAAATAAAATAATAAAAACGAGAAAAAAAAAATTTGAAGTTGACGATGTTTCTAGAAGCGGCAAAGTATCTCCTAGAGAAATCTAGGACAATTGGACCGGCCGGTTTACTTTCCTTATTTTCGTATAAATAAATAATAATTTATTAATTATTCAGAATTTTCTACACAAACCCTCCGCACACTCTCTCTCTTATAAACCCCTTTTTCTCCCATCTGTAATTTTCCACCAATAAATATATAAATTAAAACGAAAAAGGAATTTCCCCCTGCCCTTTTTATTATTCCCTGCCCCCTCTCTCTCTCTTCTCTTTCTCTCTCTACTGCAGCACCAGCACAGTATCCAGGAAGAGAGTTCCGGAAAATCGTTTGCGCGGCGTGCTCGATCTGTTCTCAGGTACTGTGGCTCTTCGAATCTCGATTGCTGATAATGTTCCGTACGATTTGTAGATCTAATTTGGTTGTTGATTTTCGTTGTTTATGTGTTTAACTGGTGTGGTGTTTGTTTGTGGATTATTTCGCATCGAGTTTGAAATATTTTTTAAAATTTTCGTCGAAATCGTTGGATTTGTGTAATGTTTTTTTGGTTTTTAGGCGTTTTGGCTGTTCTGGGGTTAATGCGCAATTTTAGGTGGATTTAATGCTGTTTATGTGATGCTGGGTTTCGAGTTTGATATAATTCACCAGAAAAAAAAAACTTCATAGAATTATATTTGTAATCGAATTGATTTTTAATGTGGTTTAATGCGGCACTGATATGCATGGAAATTATACCCTGGAGTTCGATTCCTTAACCCGTTTTGTTTGGGCCGTGGTTGACAGTTGTATTTAGTTCTCATATGTTACTTGTAGTGATTATGGTTGTTTGTTAATGCTTCAGGTTATTACCTACCTTAAAATCGTGCTTAGACTTTTAAGTATTCCTAGCCAGCATGAGTGTGGTCGGTTTTGATTTTGGAAACGAGAGTGGTGTTGTCGCTGTTGCAAGACAAAGAGGGATTGATGTTGTACTTAACGATGAGTCCAAGCGTGAAACTCCTGCCATTGTATGCTTTGGTGACAAGCAGCGGTTCCTCGGTACAGCTGGAGCTGCGTCGAGTATGATGAACCCAAAAAACACAATATCTCAAATAAAGAGGTTGATTGGACGCCAGTTCTCCGATCCCGAGCTGCAGCGTGATATCAAATCATTGCCATTTTTGGTGACCGAAGGTCCAGATGGATATCCATTAATCCATGCTCGGTATTTGGGTGAAACTAGGACATTTACTCCTACGCAGGTTCTGGGAATGGTATTTTCTGATTTGAAGATCATCGCCGAGAAGAATTTAAATACAGCAGTTGTCGATTGCTGCATTGGAATTCCCGTTTATTTCACTGACTTGCAGAGAAGAGCTGTGATAGATGCGGCAACAATTGCTGGCTTGCATCCTCTTCGCCTCATTCACGAGACCACAGCTACTGCATTAGCTTATGGAATTTATAAGACAGATTTACCCGAAAACGAGCCAATGAATGTTGCTTTTGTTGATGTTGGGCATGCGAGCATGCAAGTCTGTATTGCTGCCTTCAAGAAAGGTCAACTAAAAATATTGGCCCACTCTTTTGACCGCTCTCTAGGTGGAAGGGATTTTGATGAAGCGCTTTTCCAGCATTTCGCGGCTAAGTTCAAGGACGAATATAAGATTGATGTGTATCAGAACGCGAGGGCTTGCCTGCGGTTGCGTGCCGCTTGTGAGAAGGTAAAGAAAGTTCTCAGTGCAAATCCTGAGGCACCTCTCAACATTGAGTGCTTGATGGAAGAGAAGGATGTTCGAGGATTTATTAAGAGGGACGAGTTTGAACAAATCAGCTCTCCGATACTGGAGCGTGTGAAAAAACCCTTGGAGAAGGCTCTTGCAGAAGCTGGACTGACTGTTGAGAATATACATTCGGTTGAAGTTGTTGGTTCAGGCTCTCGAGTCCCTGCTGTTTTTAAGATATTGACTGATTTTTTCGGGAAGGAGCCCAGAAGAACAATGAATGCAAGTGAGTGTGTTGCTAAAGGCAGTGCTCTAGAATGTGCTATTCTTAGTCCCACCTTTAAAGTGCGGGAATTTCAGGTAAAGGTTCCTGCCGAGAATAGCTATGTTACATGCATTACAAACTAGTATATTTTGATTTATGGCGTTAGTTAACTTTGTACAAGATATCCATCGCCAAAGTCTATTAGTTACTGGAAGGAACTAGCCTAACATGTTCTCACTTTTTCTTTTGCAGGTCAATGAGAGTTTTCCTTTCCCGATTGCTTTGTCATGGAAAGGTTCTGCTCCCGATACACAAAATGGAGCGGCGGATAATCAACAGAGCACCGTTGTATTCCCCAAGGGTAACCCGATACCAAGTGTGAAGGCCTTGACTTTCTACAGATCTGGCACCTTCACAATAGATGTACAATATGCTGATGTCAGCGAATTGCAGGCACCTGCAAAGATTAGCACTTATACGGTATCATGTTATCCTTTCTGTTTCAATTTATCAACTCAATACATGAAGTACACACCATACATTATATGTTTGCCTTACTTGACAGTCCTTTTGTTGATCTGCAGGTTGGACCTTTCCAGTCCACAAAGAGTGAAAGAGCAAAACTGAAGGTCAAAGTACGTCTGAATCTTCATGGTATTGTATCAATTGAGTCAGCAACGGTAAGTAATCACTTCAAGCTCTTATATAGTTCTTAATGTTTACAATCAACTCTTATGTATATAATGGCGTGGGATGCTGGAGTTCTGTTGGTTATTAAGGGCTAGAAATGATAGACTTGCAAATGTTGCAAATAATATATTAACCCTTTGCAGTGATGCATCTTAATGTAGATTGTATATCCTGTTCCGAATTTTCAGTATGGTAGTCAAACTCTCGGTTCTGTATGAGTTCGACTAAAACTAATGCTTCTACTGTGATACTTTATCTGCTTATCAGATAATAAATTGATCTTATCTTCAACAATAAAGAGATGGGTGCATACAATCCTAGGATATATAATTATTTTTTCAATGCAAAATGGATGGTTTTCTATTAACAATTATAGCAATACACATTGATGGGAATTAAAAAAATTGACATTGGTGTGCGTGATTTTTGGTTAATTTAATTAGCGAAGGAGATGGAATCAGTCTTCGTGTTGAAGGATGTATGCTTTTCTTTTGAAATTCTAACTAGTATATTTTGGAACAGCTCTTGGAAGAGGAAGAGGTGGAAGTTCCTGTTGTGAAAGAGGCGACCAAGATGGAAACCGATGAAGCTCCTGGTGCTACTCCAAGCACCACTGAAACTGATGTTAATATGCAAGATGCAAAAACCGATGGAGCCGAAAATGGTGTGCCAGAGTCAGGAGACAAGACGGCACAGATGGAAACTGATGTCAAGGTTAGCTCATAGTACCAGTATATAATAGTTTTCTGTCAGTAATTATTTGAGGACTTGGGCTGTTTTTATTGGCCAGTTGCTAATTATCTAGATTTTTCATATTTGTTTACCTTGGAAAGTAGCTCCTGTCACCTGATATACGATGGTGGAATATTTTTGCTTATATGCTCTCTGTGTATGTCGGTTTGTTTCCTTCACTTTGTCTAGGTTGGGTAATACGATAATACTTACTTTTGCTTTTCTATTTTTGGCTCCTTGTTGTTCTGTGTACTTTACTGGTGAAGCATTTGACCTTTCAGTTTTAACAATTTATGTGAATCTCCCAAGATTTAAACTGCATTTAGTACATCCTAGGTGTTAGCTTGTCTCATAGAAAACTGTTGTCCTAACCCCCGAGTTCGCTACGGGTTTATATGTCAGGTTGAGGCGCCTAAGAAAAAGGTCAAGAAAACCAGCGTACCTGTATCAGAGATTGTTTACGGAGGGATGGCTGCTGCAGATGTGCAAAAAGCGGTGGAGAAGGAGTTTGAGATGGCTTTGCAGGATCGTGTTATGGAAGAAACCAAAGACAAAAAGAATGCTGTGGAGGCTTATGTCTATGAAATGAGGAACAAGGTACACACATACGAGGTGTTTTGGTCTTAATTAATATACACCTTAAACAATTGAAAAACTGACAAGTCATTTTGTGTCTGCAGCTTAACGACAAGTATCACGAGTTTGTAACCGAATCAGATAAAGAGCAGCTTATTTCTAGACTCCAAGAAGTCGAAGATTGGTTGTACGAGGATGGCGAGGATGAAACCAAAGGAGTCTATGTTGCTAAGCTCGATGAGCTCAAGAAGGTGAGTTACTTAGTATTGTCTGTTCTTCAGATTTATTGTTTTAAATATAGCATATTTAATTTGGAATAAAATATAATTCTCCAGCAAGGCGACCCTATTGAGTTCCGTTTTAAGGAACACACAGAAAGGGGATCTGTGGTCGATCAACTTGCCTATTGCATCAGCAGTTACAGAGATGCCGTTGTGTCAAATGACCCCAAGTTTGACCACATTGATGTAGCCGAGAAGCAAAAGGTACATATTTCCCTAAATACAAAAAAAAAAAAAAGAAAAAACAGAAAAACAAAATAGTCATTTGATTAATTGGTTCTTTTGCATTTACCTCCGTCCAGGTTTTGAACGAATGCGTGGAAGCTGAAGCTTGGCTAAGAGAGAAGAAACAGCACCAGGACACACTTCCGAAATACGCGACACCGGTTCTTTTGTCTGCTGATGTTAGGAAAAAGGCCGAAGCTCTCGACAGGTAACTGTAAAATTCGTGATCTTGCAGGGGTGAATTTGTCAGTAGGGTCTTACGATTTAATATCTAACACACGATAAATTTGCTTTATCGGCAGGGTTTGTAGGCCGGTAATGATGAAACCAAAGCCAGCAGTAAAGCCAGCTACACCCGAAGCAGCACCATCACCAGCTTCTTCACAAGGAGGCGAACCGCATTCTCATGGGGCCGAGAAAAGTGGTGAGGGCGAAAACGGTAATACGACTGACACTGCTGGATCTGGAAATGGAGTACCTTCAGCTGATGCAGAGCCTATGGAAACTGAGAAACCGGAGTAGTGGTCTATTTTATTTATTTATAGGGGCTTATTATTTTCGGTTATTTTTGTTACGACTTTGGGGGAACTTTTGTCGACGGGGTGTGGTTTATTGAATTTTATCTGATGATGAGATTGTTTTTGAGTTACTTTCCGGTCACTTCAAATTTATTATACTATTAATTATTAGGTGGGGTTCTTCTCTATAGACTAAATATATGGTTGGTCATGTTTTTGATATGGGTTCGTAAGAAATAGATTAACGAGTATCGTTCGCTAGTCTTATCTGAATACAGGATCTGTTTCGGCTCGTTTCAGTTTAATGGATGCGCTCTTCGTTTATTGCAAAGTTCATTTCGTATTGTGTTTTCTTATGTGAATATCCGTGATATTGGTAATCCGTCTGATTAAGATGTTATTACCCTGTTTTAGAACATCAACCGTTCAATTTATATTTTAAGAATCAATTATACAGTTAAATCTCTATAAATTATTAAATTTTTATAAATTACAACGACACCAACTATGAAATTTTATTAATTTAACGAAATATTATATTAATAATATAATTTTGAAAATGTCCTCAAGTTCGGATCATAAAAAAGTAGATTAATTAGAGCAACTCTAACTCCAATGGGATTATCAAATTAGGGTTGTATTTTGATAATTCAACTTTATTTTGTTAATTCAACTTTTGGAATGTAAAAATATTTGCTGGAAATTGAGTTATCAAAAGTGTAACTATCTAAACATCCAATCAAAAGTGGACATGCGGCAATAACAAATAAAATTACTCATAAATTTCCAATTGATAACTAATTTGATAACCATGGTTGGATTAGATGAATTTTAATTAATATTAAAATACTTTGTCGAATATTAAATAAGTATTTGATAATTCAATTTTGGTATTTAGTATTGGAGTTGCTGTTAAACGAGAATATTATTTTATTGAGGTTCTATAGATTAGAAATATAAAAAAAATGCACTAATAATATAAGAAAGCATGAAATACCAACGTATTCTGGAGATTTTTAAATCATTTTGTGGGGAAAGAGTTCTTCAGCTTAGGGGGTTTTTTAACGGCGCAAGGGTTTATGGCTATTTGGATAATTAATAGGTTAAGATTGAAGGGCATAAACCGGCGATCCAGCAACCATTTTCTCCGTTAATTAACGATTTCCGTTTCCCTTTCAATCTCAGCTATTCTCAGACACCAGACCTGCTGAGGTATGTTTGTTCTTTCTGTTCTTGTTGATTTTCGCTGATTCATTCACTCTATTGTTTTTTGTTTTTTATTTGGTTTGATATGTCGGTGTTAATGCTTATCGGAGTTTGATATTCGGCGATGGTGATTTTGTGCTGACTACAACGGAAAAGGGGAAAAATTTGAAGTTGTATTCATGTCAATTTACGGTTCTATCATACTTCAGATGTAGGAAATAAAAAAAATGAAATAAAATGGTGATAATTTGAAGTTGTATTCGTTTCGATTTTCGATTTTCGATTCAGAATGCTTCGATGTTTTTCAGGTATTAGAATTACATAAGGACTCTCAAGAATGAATCTTTGATTTGAGCTATGAGGGTTGAAGGGAAAATGTTGGCCAAATCAATCGCCTCGAGTCGAGGAATATTCACTTGTTCTTGTTTATTCGAGAGAATCAAGCAGACAGGTAAACCCTTTAATGTACAATGACTTCTATTGTTTGTAGTGATACCAAGGGCTAGGAAACGAAATGTAAATTTCGACTGCATTCATTATCGTTGCAGAAAATGAAATCGTCCAAATGTTTAAGCTAGCAAGTCCGAAAGACGACACCCCAAATTTCGGCAACCACCCCAGCACAAGGAGGAGCATGTCGGCCAGAAAACTCGACGAGAGATTTATAAGAATCTTGAAAATATTCAAGTGGGGCCACGACGCAGAAAAAGCTCTCGAGGTTCTCAAATTAAAAGTCGACCGTAGATTAGTCCGCGAGGTTCTGCAAGTAGATGTCGAAATCAACGTGAAACTGCACTTCTTCAAGTGGGCAGGAAAGAGAAGGCACTTCGAGCACGATTCCACCACCTACATGGCCTTAATCCATTGCCTCGAAGAGGCGAAACTCTTCGGTCCAATGTGGAAAACGATCCAAGAAATGGTCAAGAGTCCATGTGCCGTGGGCCCCGCTGACCTGTCAGAAATCGTACGAGTCTTGGGCAGGGCAAAGATGGTGAACAAAGCACTCTCGATATTCTACCACATTAAAACCCGGAAATGCAAACCGACCGCCAGCACGTACAATTCCATGATATTGATGCTGATGCAAGAGGGCCACCACGAAAAAGTCCACGAGCTGTACAACGAGATGTGCGGTGAAGGCACTAACTGTTTCCCCGACACTGTTACTTACAGCGCTCTCATATCTACATTTGCGAAATTGGACCGCAATGAATCTGCTATTCGTTTGTTTGATGAAATGAAAGAGAATGGATTGTACCCCACCGCAAAAATATACACTACTTTATTGGGTGTTTTCTTCAAGATTGATAAGGTCGAAAAGGCATTGGGGTTAGTGCAAGAAATGAAGGAAAAAGGGTGTGCGCCTACGGTGTATACGTATACAGAAATGATTAGAGGGCTTGGCTCTGCTGGGAGAGTCGAAGAAGCTTATTCGATATTTTTAAACATGATAAATGATGGTTGTAAACCAGATGTTGTGCTTATGAACAACGTGATTAATATCTTGGGGCGTAGGGGCCGTTTGGCTGACGCGGTCAAGCTTTTCGAAAATATGGAGTCTTTCGATTGCACTCCGAATGTGGTGACTTACAACACGATAATCAAATCCATGTTCGAATCGAAATCGCCAGTGTCTGAAATCGTTTTATTGTACGAGAAAATGAAAAACAGCGGTGTGAATCCGAGCTCCTTCACTTATTCGATCCTCATCGATGGATTCTGCAAGAAAAACAGCTTGGAAAAAGCTTTGTTGATGCTCGAGGAAATGGACGAAAAGGGTTTTCCGCCATGCCCAGCCGCCTACTGCAGCTTGATCAACAGCCTCTGCCGAGCGAAAAGATACGATGCAGCACACGAGTTATTTCAAGAATTAAAGGAGAATTGCGGTTCATCGAGCGCTCGTGTCTACGCGGTTATGATAAAGCATTTAGGAAAATGCGGACGTTTGACTGAGGCGGTTGACCTTTTCGACGAGATGAAAAGACTAGGATGCCCTCCCGATGTTTACGCCTACAATGCCCTCATGTCGGGGATGGTGAGGGCAGGGTTGACCGACGAGGCTCGGTCAATGATCCGTTCGATGGAGGAAAACGGGTGCGCTCCGGATTTGAACTCGTATAATATCATATTGAACGGGCTGGCTAGGGCGGGTGGGCCCCACCCGGCGATGGAGATGTTTGAGAATATGAAGAGGGATTGGAAGATGAAACCGGATGCTGTTTCTTACAATACAGTGCTAGGTTGTTTGAGTCGGGCGGGTATGTTTGAGGAGGCTGCCAAGTTGATGAAGGAGATGCGGTCGAGTGGTTTGGAGTATGATCGGATAACGTACTCCTCGATACTCGAGGCGGTTGGTAAAGTTGACGAAGACTGTAAACTTGTTTCTTCATCATGATGACCATATACACTACATGATTGGTAGCTTGCGGTGATTATTTATTTTTTACCAGAAAAAAAATAAAAAACATCATGGTTCTGTTTTTGTTTTTATTGTAGTACTGTAATGAGATTATGTTTAGTAATTTGATGAAGAGATGTAATGTACAATTATAAAATGACAGTATCATAGTTCATTGTGAGTTGACTTTTAGCTTGTCAACAACATTAGTCATTTATATAGATATTGAACTTAGATTATATAAATCTAACGCCGTTGTAGCATAAATGGGATAGTATTCCCGCGTCTCAGACAGCTGATAGGCGGGCTACCCGGGTTCGACCCCCGGCAGCGGCTTTTGATATTTTTTATATTCTTAACAAAATAATAAGTGTTTATATAAAATTAAAAGTATCAATTTCTTTTATTCTCAACGAAATAATAGTTAACCATATAGCAATAACATAAAATATAAGCAACAAAGTCGTTGTAGTATAGTGGTAGTATTCCCGCCTGTCACGCGGGTGACCCGGGTTCGATCCCCGGCAACGGCGCTAATTTTTTTTAATTTCCTTACTTTTTTTTGCTCCACCTTCTCTCTGCTACATTACCAGATTAATACATTCAGAAATCAGAAAAGGTAATTTTCCAGAAAAAATAAAAATAAAATAATTGTGCCTTTTTCACGTGAAACGTAGAATTAATTGTCATGTTGGGGAGTGGATAAAGTTGAAAAGTGCGCATTTTTTTCGGTGTATAATAGCGGAATAGATGAAGACGAAGACGAAGACTGTGACGTGGCAAGTTGCTAAAATGCGCCGCTGTGAGTATGCATGCGCTCGCTTGTCTTTGGCTGCATTCACCCAAATTTGGGCCCCACCAGATAGAAGTTGGTGGATTTCTTTCCGGAAAGAGCTGACGCACAACTGTCAAAAATTACAATCCATACCCCTCTCTCTCTCTCTCTTAAATTGCCCTATTTTTACAATTTTTATTTTTATTTTTATTTTTATTTTAGAAATATTCTACTTGTATATGGTATGTGATTAATATATAATTAAAATAATTCTATATTTGTTTCGACGATTTATAGCCTAATTATATAAGGTAAATATGCAAGCTTTTGCAAATGCTAGCTAGTTACACTTCATGTTGTATTAAACTAGGTGTTAATAATAATTAGAGCAATACCAAAACTTGTATTAACTATATTAAAAGTTTAAATAAAATGATTTTTTTTTTCAAATAAGTAAGAGAAAATGTGCAAAAAAAGAATAGTAATATAATTGTGATGCAACTCAAAATAATTACTTTTTTTATAAGATTTTTGTTACAATTCTTTGTCGTTATTCGATACAAATTTGACACGTTATGAACGAAATAATTGATTTAAGATTATTACGACCGTTAGTCGTTATTGGTTATTAGAGATAAGATTCGCAAACGGAAATAACTATAATTCGTTATTTTTATGATCGTTAGTCGTTAGAATTAAATCCGCAGGCAAAAATAACTACGTCCAACGAGTTTATTACATATGACCGTTAGTCGTTAGAGATTACAGTCCTCGTTACATACCGTTAACCGTTAAATACATCAAATTTGTCGTTTATTAACGATCGAAGAAAATCTTAAAAAAATATACAAACAACATTTGCTAATTCTCACATGAACTTATTCACAAATTTGAAGTAATTAACCTACAAATTAAACTAAATCTTATAATATTAACCATCTAACAAAAAAAAACATTTTTTATAATAAAAAGAATATATTAGATTTTTTTTTTTCAAAAGATGGAATACCATAAATAAGTTGGTAATGAGGTGGAATTACTAATTAAGGCCATACCCAATGTTTCCTCAAACCACATCAGCATCATCTTGAAATGACCATTTTACCCTTGTCTCTCTACATACACACACTCCCTCTCTATATATATATATTCCCCATTTGCCATCCCTCACTCTCTCATAAGCATATAAACAAAAAAGAGAAACGTTTAACAGGCAGCTGTTCTACAAACTTATTCAACTAACAATTTTTTTTAGCAGGTAAAAAAAACGACATCGTTTCTTTCGTCTTATCTCTATCGATTTTAGTCACGCTAACCATGTGAACGTTGAATCTAATTCGTCACAAAGTTTTTTTTCATGCGTTTTGTTCTCCTTCTTTCAGATTTGACGGTGTTTTATTTTCGGTTGGGGTTCTAGAAAAAGATGCCCTAGAAAAAAAAAAGATTCTTTTGTCTTTTTATAATCTAATTTTTTATTTTATTTATTTATTTATTATTTTTTTTACAGAACAAGAATTCCATGGTTTAAGGGTTTTTGTTGTAAAAGGTGGTGAATCCTTCTGCACAAAGTTGAAGAAGAACTTTGGAAATCAAAATAAAATTGAAGCAACTCTATCTGTAAAGCTCAATCTCTTTCACATTAATCATGGAGTTCTCATACACAAAATCCAGGTATATATATATATATATATGTGTGTGTGTGTGTGTGTGTGTGTGTGTGTGTGTGTGTGTGTGTGTGTGTGTGTGTGTGTGTGTGTGTGTGTGTGTGTGTGTGTGTGTGTGTGCGTGTGCGTGTGAGTGTGTGTTTCTTACAAGTAGTCTGCCCTGTTTGTGTGTGTTTCTTACAAGTTCTGCGTTGTTTGTGTGTGTGTTTAATTTGTTCATGTTTTAGTTACACACAGATATATACATGTATGTCAGTGAGTGTTTTGTGTGTGCGTGTGTGTGTGTGTGTGAGAGAGAGAGAGAGAGAGAGAGAGAGAGAGAGAGAGAGAGAGAGAGAGAGAGAGAGAGAGAGAGAGAGCTTAATTTAGGAAAAATGGTAAAATTGATTGGTTTATTTAAAAATGAACCATTCTACCCTTGTTCAAGATTTTAAAATCAAACTATTAATTAAGCATGCATGCATCAGATTATAAAATTGTTTAATAAATTAAATCAGTTTTTATTCATTTTTTAATAATTTATTTGAGCTGTTTTTTCTATGCATGCAACTGAATTTCTTATTTTTCAAGAGATTTAATTTGATTTTCACCACACCTTGTTTGGATACAACTCATGAGTTCATAGATTATATATGTATATACAGCTTTTAATTATATATCACCCAAAAAACATTCAAAAAAATTTTTACAATAGAAAACCAGTTGAAGCATTAAAAGCTAATTTATTACATCGGTTTGATGTTTTGTTTTGTGTATATAGATTCTTGTATATCCATACACTCTCAATCCTGCGTGCGATTTATTAGATGCTATACTCGATAAACTTCGCCAACTAAAACAGCTGTATTCGTTCGTGTTTGTCTGTCGATTTATTGTACAAAATTACCCTCGATAAAGTTCACTAGCATCTACAAAAACCTTGTTTTTAGTATTCGATAATAGAACCTCAATAAATAATAACCTCGCTTAAATAACAATTTTTTCAGATCGATCTCGACTTGATAAAAAAAATTTAAATTATTAGTTCGATAGTTTATTATTTAGCTAAATTAATAAAATTTTGCTAGTCGACAGTATTAATTTAAGTATTAATTTATAGAAGTTTAACTAATTTTTTTTTTTTTTAATAAAATAAAATATTATTTCTTCATCTTAAATAGCAGGTCAAATGCACCAACTTCATTTGCTGACGTCATCAAAGAACAAAAGGTGGGTTTGCTGATTATCGACGGCGGCGAAACTCAATCCGACGTGGCAGCCGCAAAAGTCAACGTCGTTTTCAACACAAGAAACATAACAAAATCTGTGGTCCAAACAAACCCGCCCTTATCATCATCATCGTCATCATCATCATCAAACATCGCCGCCGCCAACTCGCCGCTAGCCTTCATCGCCGGAGATGGTGGTCAACAAAAAACACCGGGAACCGGTCACTCATTCATCAGACGCAGCTTCGTCGGAAAACCCTGCCTCCTCTCGTCAAACTACATCATCTCTCATCGCATGGGAACTAATAATCCTGTGCCGCTGACCACATGCGCTAAGCATGGGACCGCAGGGTTTCTGCCGTTGGATTACGCCAGGATGCTGCCGGAGTACACGTGTACGACACACGTGCTCCCGGTGCACAGAGTGGTCCACCGCTTCGAAGACTGCGTATTGGAGTTTCCTGATAGAAGTAACAAGGTGGTGACTAAGTGCTCTCGCTGCGATAAAGAGCTGTCTGATCGAGATGACATTTACATGTCCAGGTTCGTTCTTCCTTTTCTTTTTCTTTTTCTTTTTATTTTTATTATTTTTAATTTATTTGTGGAGAAATTGCACTTCACACCCTATAAATTTTCAATTTTCGCACTTCCCCCCTCAAAATTCAAAGAAATGAGTGTAATTTTTTTAGGCCAAATTGCACTTTGCCCCTTAAAAATTTGCACTTTCCCCCCTCAAAATGTGAAAATGAGACTGGCCCCTTCGAAATATACAACTCGGTGCATTTTGCCTCAAATGTGTATTTTTGGTCTAGTTCTCGTCGGGTTTGAGTAAATTGGAAGGATGATTTCGTCATTTAAGGCTATAAATGTCATTTGACCTTTTTCACCCCATATTGCCGCGATTATGAAGAACAACGACCAACAAATTTTGTCGAACTTGGAAGAAAATTTCGTCTAGTTTGCAATAGATTTTCATCAATTTGGGAAGATTTTTTTGTTAATTTCGGAACCTTATGTAGCTACGAAAGGTGGATTTTAAAAGTAGAAAGGTGAAATGACATATTTACCTATGATCTGGCGAGAATTAGACCGAAAATATACATTTTGGTCAAAGTGCATCGAGTTGTATATTTCGAAGGGAACAATCTCATTTTTATATTTTTAGGGGATAAGTACAAAAAAGGTATTTTTGAGGGGGTGAAGTGCAATTAAAATGTTATTGTTGTTGCATGTTGCTTTTTTTTCAAATATTATTTTTGTTGTAAGTTGGCCCTCTAAAATGTTATATTGTTGCACATTGCCCACCAAAAATTGGATTTTTGGAGAAAGTGCAACCATAACAATATCTTAAAGGGGGCTAAGTGCGAATCTAGAAAATTTATAGGGGACATAATGCATTTTGTCCTTTATTTCTATATGTTGTTAACTTTTTTTTTTTTTTTAATTCTTTCTTAAATTGCGATTTTTTGGGTATTTGGTATTAATTTTGTAGGGATAACACATTTTGTAGCGATGAATGTCGTAGTGAGGAATGCACGAGTTGCTGGTCGTGTGATACGATCAGGAACGACGACAGTGATGATGACGACGAGTTGAGTGATATCTCGAGCATGGGTGGGCCCGTCGTTTTTACAATTGATTTCTTTTCATAATTTTCATGAGTTGTTGAAAAACTTGTTGAGTTTTCTTTTTTGTGTTTTATTATAATTAAGCTGCTACTGCAGTACATGTTTTATTTGTAGTTGAAACAATTTAGGCCTTTTCTTTTAATTAAAAACGAGGCTATTTAGTCGGTTTATTAATGTGTGCGCTTTTACTTTAAACGATACTTATTTTGAAATAAAACGAGCGCTATTTTAGAGCATTAATTTCGAGAAAATCATTTTTAATAAATAAATAAGTGTGTACATATTAGTTGCAACATATAGCTTACCCAATGCAGTTTAAATAAATAATTATGGGTTCTCTTGTTAACAATTAATTAATTAGTTGCAAAAAACACAATTTTAGTCTGATATGCATCCATGCTTAAGAGTTGATTACTCGATTTAAAATCTCGAACAAGGGTAAAATAGTTCGGTTTTAAATAAACTCAATCGATTCTACCATTTTACGTTTAATTAATCACTCTCTCACTCACACACACCGACACACACACACACACACACACACACACACACACATATATATATATATGGCAAACTTTATCAACGTATGTAAATATATATATATATATATATATAATATATGTATATATTTTACCTTAATTAATAACTTCGGTTTGATGTTGTGTTTTGTGTACATAGATTCTTGTATATCGATACACACTCTCAATTCTGTGTGTTGTTTATTAGATGCTATACTCGATAAACTTCATCAACTAAACAACTGTCATCATCTAAACAGCCGTATCGTTCGTGTTTGCATCGTCTGTAGATTTATTGTACAAAATCCCACGATAAAGTTCACTAGCATCTACAAAACCCTTGTTTTCAAAATTCCGGTTTTCCAGTTATATTATTTTATAAATCATTCATTTAGTATATATATATATATATATATATATATATATATATATATATATATATATATATATATATATGCTAGCCCCCCAAACTAAAATTCCCGGTTTTCCGTTTAATTCGGGTATGAATTGAGGTGGATTTGAGTTTTATATATTTTTCACGAGTCGGGTCTCGGGTTTATGTAAACTCGCCCATAACCACATGTTGGCAATCCTACTAATTTTATTACAAAATATCATTTAATTTCAAATGTCAATGTTCGTTTGAGGATATGAATTAGTTGACTTTCTTAGTGTGTATATTTATTTCTTGAAACCAATTTTTCTTTTATTCACAGTGATAATCTCAGTTACATGAATTTTACGGGACAACACAAATATCAAACATTATAAGAAATAACTAATATTTTTAAATTTCTTAATCCATTATTTTATTTATTAATAACATAATAAAATCCAAAAAATCAATCAATTAAGGTAATTAGTTGGATTTTATATGTTAAAAAAAAATTAAATACACGATTTTCATGCAATCCTATATAAATCCTTTACTCAAACCCTCTCTCTCCTAAATAATAATTAAATATTTTCATACCTCATAAATCATTAAATATTTATTAAAGTTAAATCATTAAATATTTATTAAAGTTGAATATTTATTAAAGAATGATGCAGCTTGTTCTGGAATCTTTCTACATACCATTTCTACATACTAAAAGAGAAGCCAGGTAAGCCCTACGGCGACGACGTGACCGTAAAGTTGGAGGTTGGAGATGTCGTGGTGGCGGGGACCGGACTTTTCGATAATTTGTATGTTAGTGAAACCGAGGAGATTGAGCACGCTTGCATACTAGGGCGGCCCACCTAAGATCGGGCCGGCACGTCGCCGTAATCAGCCCTTTTGTCGAGGATGCGCAGGCCAAATTATCCCGCCTCGAGGAAAAAACATCCCAATGTGAATATAGACATGACATTAAACACGCCCGTTGATTTTCAAATAAAATTATACTCCTACATATATAACTACACCTTCCGAATTGATGAAGTAAAATAATTTGGTATAAGGCATGACATTAAACACGCCTGTTGATTTTCAAATAAAATTATACTCCTACATATAGTACTACACCTTCTGAATTGATGAAGTAAAATAATTTGATACTACGGTTGTGAGTGACTCTATATAACATTATATATTTTAGTTATATTCTAGAATGTAAATATATGGAGTTGTTAGAAATCTTTACAACTCATGAATAAAACTACTAGGGCTTTTGGTTACATATATCGAATTAATTTTGGTTAGATGAGATTGAATTAATTTTCTATTGACTAACAAATTATTTAATTAATAAGATGTTCGTTTCCTTAAGTTAGATCTTGCAATTAATATGTTAAATTATGGTATTATATGTATTTGTCTATAAAACATTTCATTGAACAAAATTAACATGTAATTTTGAAGATAAATAGGTTATCCTTGTTTAATTATACTAGTACTTTACATGTGCCATGCACGAGAATTAAATTTTAGATCAAAATGAATTAATATTAAAATTCAACGCACTAAGAAACGTCGAGGATGTAAGTCGAATACGATCAAATAAAAAAAAATCATATTTTATTTTATCACCAAAAAGTCTACATAAATATAAAATGACATGTTGTAAAAATCATCCGATCCACACCGAAATGCCACAATCAACTCCAAGCAGACAGTCGAATGAATGGACCACTCTTGCACATTAATCTGAATGTTGGTACAATATAACATGTACGATTAATGTTGGTACATTAATCTGAATGTTGGTTTGAACTTTTTAACACTAATACACACTCACATTCGTTTTTTGTACAAACCGTACGTGAAAGTCGAGCAATTTTTTGGGTTTTGTGTTCTTGGGACGGAATGGCCCTTAAAATTTGCATTGATGAATGATGTGGTATGTATTGGAGAAGGTGGTGGTGACTGGTGGTGCATTCCTTTTTCCTTCGTTTAAAACTTTTTGCTTAGCATTTCTTTTTTATAAGACGGTTCTGTCCCTTGTGTTATTTTTAAACTAAGCTAACAAAAAAAGCATTAAAGACCGCATAGCGCAGTGGATTAGCGCGTTTGACTTCGGATCAAAAGGTCGTGGGTTCGACTCCCACTGTGGTCAAATCTTCTTTGTTTCTTTTTTGTTTTTTTTTGTTTTAAAAATTCTTTGTTTCTTTTTTGTTTTTTTTTGTTTTAAAAATTCTTTGTTTCTTTTTTGTTTTTAATTTTTTTATTCCTACAAAGTAATTGTATGAATATGAAGACCAATCAGCTTATAATGTGTTAGAAGTAATCGAATTTATAATCTATTTATACTCATTATAAAATCTTTAAGAAAAAGATGGGATAAAAAGATTAATACAAAAAAATTTAAAACTCTTCAGCAACTTATTAATTGAATTGTTAAGATTTCTTTTTCTAAAACTAACACCAAACACTTTAAAAGAGTTTATAAGCTATTTATACATATTTTCTTTAAGAGCTTATAAGTTATATATATATATATATATATATATATATATATATATATATATATATATATATATATATATATATATATATATATATACATCCTCTAAATCATATACATGTCAATGTTATCCGTAAGATATATATGTATATAAAGTGGTGAAGTTCATCGAGTGTAACATAAAGATTTATACATAGAGTTGCCCTAAAAATATTGTCTGAAAAAACAGTGAAATAAGAACAAACAAAACATGTCTGAAATATGCATATCAAGAGCAAAGAAAGTGGTTTACTATTTAAAATTTGATTCTACATACTTCAGCCATCTCTCATCTCAAACTGAGATGCATTCATCCACTATACTACTCTAATAAATCTTTCAAATCAACAAAAAATAATAAGAAAATTTAAAAAAAAAAAAAAAAAAAACCCAAAAAATTAACACACAAGGGGGAGGAGGTTCCATTATATATATATTTCAATCCATATGAAATATAAGTGTCATCTAATAATGGCCAGCACCTCCAAAAGCGAAAACCTGTCACGTTTTTTGTTCGTCAAGCGTCTGCATGGATTCAAATGCAAATGTTCAAAATAAGTCGTACATATAATTGTCAGTAGGTGAGCGTAATTAACGAAGAATTACAGAACATTCAACAAGTTTTCAAATTGAGATTTAAGTAACCACAAGAACAATCATATAACAAAATTTCGGAAGTTCTAAAAACAGTGATGATCTTACCGAGCGATAACAACCGTATAAACGAGCAAGAAAAATACCCGCCCGAAATTCTGTTGGATAGTTGCACCGACAAATTATCCTCGGTCTGAATAACACTAACTTAGTTTTGGTGGCATAGCGTGAAGAGTTTGTTATGAAAATAAAACATAGGGTGAATTACGGCCAACCCCTGAGGTAAGGTCAAATTACGAAAAAAACCTCTCATGTTTGGGTAATTACAACCACCCCTCAACTATGAATCTTCTTATACGTTCATCCTTATGGTGTCAAATTTACCGGAATCTTCTAGGTTCCGTGAAATGTTCTCTAGTTCGTACTCATTTTGTACAAAAATGCAATTTCTGATGCACCACAGTCCGATATTTAAAAGTCAAGAGACACATCTTATGATCATCTTGTTTCAAAATGTGCATTCGAATGACGTAATGATCATCTTGTTTCAAAATGTGCAGCTCGAATGACGTAAAAGTAAAACGGATACAAATTGTAGAATATTTCACATAATCTAGAAGATTGGACTTAATTTGACAACACAATGGTGGACGTGTAAGAAGATTTATAGTTGAGGGGTTGATTGTAATTACCCAAACATGAGGGGGGTTTCGTAATTTGACTCTACCTCGGGGGGTAATTTACCCTACAACTTATCATGATTCAATCAGGCGCCCCAAAAGCTAAAATCAGATTGATATATCAAAATCTTGAAACAATGAAATTCATCTTTGAGTTTCCCCAAACTTTCTGAAACGTCTAATCGGGGATGGTACGAACACAAAGTTCCTCTAGTGAAAAATTGGTAGGTAGGTAAACTGACTTTTACACGAGTGTAAGGATGTTGAAGACTAGAAGAGCTAAAGTAACGTAAACGAGGGAAGCGATGAGGTTTTTACGAATAACTTTAACAGAAGGTAAATATAGTAATCAGTCAAAAGCACGAAAGAGGGCTTACTTGACCGATATCTTGAGATGGGAATTTCTCGCAATTCTCGTCTCATGCAGAGATATTCACCTAATAGTGCCATCACCGCAAGTCCCGTAATGTTCACAACCCACCACGTAACCGATGCGGGCCAGCCTCCGTATGCGATGCAAATGAAGAGGTGGATGATGTATAGGGTCGCACAAAAATCCAGGCATTTCTTTGCCCTTTCGACTAAATAGACTAAATAACCAGCTCTGTATTCAATATAAAAAGAAACGACATTGTCAGTAATGGATTTTCTGGTAATTTGTATAACAAGGTCCAAGCTCGTTAAAAAAATTCATACAGTAAAGACGGCCTGCAATTTTTTTTCATACAGTTGAACAAAAAAAAATACAATTAATAATATTAAAACCCTTCATTCAATTCTTCTAATTCGTAAAAAAAAAAAAGACAGACTAAGAATTCTAAATGCCACAAAATCAAGGTTTGCGCGTGAAACTCGGGAACCTACAAAGGTACAAACTAATACAGGAAGGGCAATAATACTCCCGTTTTTCTCCGAATTTCTACTTTTTTTTTGGTTTCCGGATGTCGACAACAAAACCCCCTAAACAACCCTTGCATAAAGCACACAATCGTGATTTTTCGGATCTCTTTTCGACGAATCCTCTTCGACAAGGCAACATATGCATACCAACCTCCTACATTTTGACCTAACTTGAAGCATAATAGCTAAATTATAATTCCTTAACACAAACCACGATCAACTTAACAGCTGAATTGGACTTCCTTACGACAAACCATGATCAACTTAACAGCAAATTCCACAAACATCGAAAAGGAATCGAGCAAGATTCGAGATCACTAAGTCCGAAAAATCGCAAAAGTGCAACAATTATCAAATTACCAAATAAACGAAAACAAATAAACATACCCAGCAATAGAGCTGAGAAGAATGGAAGCCATTACACACCACCCAGTAGCTGTAGATGCAGTAACCGTGGCGTAATCGAAGAAATACACAAGGCTCATCTTCGATACACGAGTCCCAACCAGAATTGACAATAATACCCCCAGAGTCAGGTAGTACAGGCATTGCAGGGACACGATTTGCGCTACAATTAGCCATGGATCCCACGCCGCCGTACCATAGAACATGACTTTAATTTCTTCCTTTTGCCCTTTCGCCCCTTCCCTCAGAGAATTCTCCAAACACAGGATTCAATTTTCCCCCTTCTTTTTTTTTTTTTTTTTTTTTTGTTAATTTTCACCCACACATTAGGTGAAAAAAATCAGAACCCAGATTTTGTTTTTAGTGTTTGGGGCCGAATCGCGAATCAATTTCGGTGGGGAATTGACAAATTCGTGAAATCCTGGAAATTGGGCGTGAACAAAAATGCCCTAATTTTGGGAGGGGCGAGATCTGTAAATTGGGATTTTTACGAGGTTTATACGAAAAATGGATGTGTATTTGAAATTGAATTTTGTATGCAAAACGAGCTGCAGATTCGAGTGCGGTTAGATTGATGAATAATGGGGAAGTCTCTGAAAGGGGGGAAGAAGGAAGAGGTGTGTTTGGCTACTGGTTTTAGGAATCGGTGTTTGTCATGTTGGACCGGATTCTTGATAAATTATTAATCAATTAATCAATTATTGTTCATTTCACAATTAGGTTGTTTAGTATTATTTCATGATATTTTATATGAAGATTTTTTATTTTTTTTTGTTAAAAACGAATTTCTCACATTGCTGCTAATAAAATTAGGTAAAGATTGAAAGTATTTTATTCATGAAAATAATAGTCTGAAAGGAAATAAATCAAGAAAATAATGATTAATGAGACTGTAATTGTCAAAAATAAAATATATCTTTTATTTTCCTCAAAATCATTTTTTTGTGTAATTGATACTTTGCACCTTTAAATTGAAACAATAGCACTTTGCACCCTTCAATTACAAATTATTTGATACTTTGCACCCTCCATCACCTTTTGGCTCGAAAGTGAAGAGCAACCGGTTTTGTGAGATTTGAAAAAGGGCGGATTTGTCTTTCTCCTATTCTCAGAAAGTAAAAAATGTTCGCACCTCTTTTCTTCATTTTGCAATATTTTTCCCCTTTTTTTCATTTGATTCCTTCTTCTCTTCCAAAAAAAAAAGAAAGAACCGTTGAAAAAATTATGTTCCTCTCTATATGCAAAATAATCGAATTATTTTGGGGTATGGAAAGATGCAAAATGAAAAAAAAAATATGAACCTTTTTAACTTTCTAATAAATAGAGAATGACAAATCTACCCTTTTTCAAATTTCACAAAACCGCTTGCCCTTCATTTTCGAGCCAAAAAGTGATGGAGGGTGTAAATTGTCAAAAAAATTGTAATTAAAAGGTGCAAATTGCTATTATTTTAATTTGAGGATGCAAAGTGCCAAACCCGTATAATTAGTTGGCATTTCAAAGAATAAATAATTATTGCTCGTTCCATTACCACTATTAAATCATATTTTTAGATATTAGATATTAAATCTAAAAATATGATTTAATTAAATAAACACACACAAGCATAGTAGCCACTTGGAAAATCTAACCATCACTTCACATTGAGCATATGGTATATATATTAAAGATACTCATTACAAAACCTCTTCTTGAAATAGTTCATACATTTGAGCTACAAATCCTCTTACAAAAAAAAAAAAAAAAAAAAAAAAAAAAAAAAGAGTTTCCCTTACATCCTACATCATACATCTATGTAATTAAAATTTATATTAAAAAAAAAAAGGCAATATTTATTTTCAGGGATGAGCTTTCCATGAAGAAGAAATATCGGTAATTGCTTCTCCGACCGTTAGATAAAGTCCTTCCAAACCGAACGATTCCAACACATTCGACTGATGCAGTTTCTCCATTACACTTCCGACAGGATTTGCCAACACAAGCTGCATTTATCATATTAAATTACATAATTAGATTTTTTTTTATTACAAATACGAAAACTTGTCTAAAATAAAAGGTGGTCTTTTCTTTCTTTTTTTTTTTTTTTTTTTTTTTACCTTAAGCGATCTTTTATCAAGTATCTTTCTGAGTTCACTGATAGTGTCGATACCGCTCGTATCTATCGCGGTCACAGCTGAAAAAAAAAGAAAAAAATAACAAAAAATCTTAGTGTTTATTTAAATATGAACAAGCTATCTTAATTAATTATTTATTTATTGAATTAATTAATTAATTACCTGTCATATCTAGTATAACACATTTGATGTTGCTTCTATTGTTTGATGCTAGCCACTCTTCCTCCTCTCTAATCCACCGTATTATCCTGCACGTTTCGTAAATCAGAATAACTCAATCACGGTCCTTTCTAAGTCGATTCGTTTCAAACGTGGCATAAATAAATTAATCAATTATTCGGGTTTTTTTCTTTTCTGTTCTTACCGTTCTTGCAAATAAGTCGAATTCGCAAAGTACATAGGAGCTTCAACTGCAATAACTAGAAAAAACGGAACCCTCACAGCTTCTCTATATCTTCCAACATTTTGGTATATTTGAGTGCCCGGAATATTCCCTAACACAGCCGTGTTTGGCCTCGTCACGTGTAATAAAATCTTGAAAACCGAAACTCCGACCTGAAAATTCAATTAATCACGGGTTTTTAATATCGTTTACCGGGCTTTTTTTTTTAATAAATTTAAGAAAAAAAATATAAAAAGAATAAACTTACTGCTATAGCAAGACCAAGAGGAACTGATATGAACAGAACACCGAGAAACGAGCACAAGCAAGCTAAAAAATCGAGCTTATCGACTTTCCACAGATTATAAGCTGCCTCGTAATCAATAAGGCCAATCACAGCCGTTATAATTATTGCTGCCAATATTAAATTGGGAGTGTAATGAAATAATGGCATGAGAAATAATAATGTCACGAGCACTGCCGAAGCCATTATTATGTTCGAGACCACAGTTTTCGCTCCCGCATTGTAATTCACAGCTGATCTCGAAAATGATCCTTAAAAAAATAAAAAATAATACCTAATTAGTGTCATAAACAAATAATTATGAATTTGGAAAAAAAAATATAATAAAATAATATATAAATATTTACCGGTTGTAACGTAGCACGACGAACAAGAGCCAGCCATGTTCATTAGGCCAATGGCCATCATTTCTTTATTACCATCAACTTGGTAATTTTTTAGAGATGCAAATGTTCTTCCAACTGCGATTCCTTCCTAAATAATTTTTTTTTTTCGATTAATGAAATATAAAATAAATTAATCACGAAATTTTTCGATAATTTTGATTTAACTTACCGTGAGAGAGAGTATTCCGGTTACGAGACCGGTTTTGATTGCTAGAGCTAAGTGAGTTCCATGAAAATATAGCATGTTTGAAGAAGGTGGATTCAATCCCTTAGGCAAATGACCAATCTGTAGAAAAATAATTTAAAAAATAAAAAATAAAAAATTTCCGGTTATTCGACAAAAAATAGCAAGTGCAAAATTATTTGTCGAAATTTTGCGAAATTCTTACGGTTTTAATTCCGGGGAGTTGGGATTTAAGGCAGACGACGAGAATTGTCGATAGGATAACCGATGCTAATGGAGCAGCGGCCGAAATCCAAAATAGTTTCGGCTTTCTCATGCTCTGCATTTATTCATTAATGAAAAATTCAATACCATTATATTATTTAACTAATTATTTATAGGTAAAAAAGAATTATATTTTAAGATCATATAATTAATTAAAGTGTACTTACAATTTGCCTTGTTGTGAGTAACAATACCAAGAAACCAACTCCCATAACAATTGTTTGCCAAGACCACTGCACAACATGAGATAAAATTTCAGAATCAAATATATATATTTAATTTCAAGATTATTATATTAAATATTTCCTAATTTATATTATATATTAATTAATTATATACCTCATTTTTTTGATGAAAAACGGAGGACAAAACGGGAACGAGTTGCATCTTGGTAGTGAAATGGACTATTCCGAGTAGCCCTTTTAGCTGTTGTAGTGAAACAATTACGGCCGCACCAGCCATGAATCCAACTAGTGTCGCCTTCGACAGAAAGTCGATAATAAATCCTAATCTGCATTAAAAAAATTATTTTTTAAAAAATATTACACCATTGATTTCAATATATTATGCAAAAGCATCTACATTTATGAAAAAATAAAATATGCTTAAGTTTTAAACCATTATTAACCGTCTTTAATTATTACTATATAGTAAAATATTATTCTTGTGGAATACTTTTGTAAAAAGATGTTCCCCATCTAACAAAAGTAAAAGAATTTTTGGACAACTAATAATAGATGTAATAATAATTTTATTTTTATTTTTTAATTTTTTTTTAATATTTTGAAGTACCTTAGAAAGCCAAGAGAAGCTTGGAATAATCCTGCAAAGAATGTAGCTGTGAAAGCCAGTTTAAGGTAAAGAATCGGTTCTTCGGTGTAGGAAACGGTTTCGCTTAGCATTGTTCCCATCACGAGTGACGCTATCGAGACGGGTCCCACAGCTAGATGATGAGAGCTTCCAAGAACCGAATATGTCACCGGTGGTACAAAACTCGAATCTGTAAAAAAAAATAAAAAATTATGTAATGATTTAATTCATCAAATCAAATATTTAAACAAGTAAGATTTAAGGATTGTTTTTTATTTGGGTAAATTACAACCGCTCCTTAAAGTAAGGTCTATTTACAAAAAAACCCCTCATTTTCCAATAATAACATCCATCCCCTTGAAATTTGTAAATGTCTTGTCAACACCCTTTTGTAGGGGGGTGAGTGTAATAATTTTACAAATTACAGGGGGTTGGATGTAATTTCTCAAACAAAATGGGGTTTTTTTGTAATTACACTTTACCTCGGGGAGGTGGTTGTAATTTACTCTTTTTTTTATTTTTATTTTTTATTTTGGGATACTTACATAGACCAACTATGGGTGGCAAATTTGCTAGCTTTGCATAACTAATACCCTGTTTAATTAGTAAAAAGAAAAAACAAGATTAATTAATTAAACATAATTATAATGATCATGATTTAATTAATTAATTAATTAACTAATTTTTTGATGTGTTTTTAACTGTACCTGTGGGATTGCGAGGCTCGCGATCGTGAGACCGGAGACGACGTCGGACTTGAGCATATCGAGGCTGTAATGTGGGGCCCACTGAAAAATAGGAAAGAAAAACTGCAACCCTAGAACCAACTTTCTGAACCGTGTTTGATCCTTGAACCGGTGGAGGGGGTCGTCGGGGAAGAAGATCTCCGAGAGGCGGTGCCGGAGCTTCTGCGCGGTGGTTCTTGCTGGCGGCATGCACACCTTGTGCGCCTCCGACGGCGGCGGCATTTGTATTGCATGTGTAGAAATGGTGACACTTATGGCGGTTTCTAGGGTTTCGGCCGGTGGCGGTGCTTCGGGGTTCCAAATGTGCTCAACCCTGTTTGAGTTTACGCCCATTTTGATTCCGCCGGAGAAGATGGTGGTGGTGGTGGTAGTGGTGGGTGGTGGTGGTGGTGGTGGTAGAAATTGTAGTAAGTTTTAACTTGGGAGTGGTTACTAAAGACAACCATGGGGTTTTTATAGTAGTGAGATTTTTTGCATGGGGTCTCTTTTCATTTAATTTATTATTATTTTAATAAATTTGATGTTTTATTTATCCATAGCAATAGCGTATAGGTTTTTGTAAATTGTTTTTTTCTTGAAGTTAAACTCTTTTTATTTTATTTTTCAGTGTAAATTACAACCACTCCTTGAGGTACAGTCAAATTACAAAAAGAACTCTCATGTTTGGATAATTACAACCACACCCCTCAATTATAAAGCTTTTTACATGTTCAGCTCTGCGCTGTCAAATTTAGTGGAATCTTTTAGATTATATTGAATATTCTCAATTTTGTACCTGTTTTATCCCATTGAGCTCCACATTTCGAAGCAAGATGATCATCAGATGTGTTTTTTGGCTTGTATATATCAGATTGTGGTGCATCAGAAACTGCACTTTTGTACAAAACGAGTAGAAAATAGTGAACATTTCAAGGAACCTAGAAGATTATGTTGAATTTGACACTATATAAGAGTGGATATGTAAGAATATTCATAGTTGAGGAGTAATTGTAACTATCCAAACATGAAGGATTTTTTTTTAATTTGACTATATTTTGGGGTAGTTGTAATTTAGCCTTTTCTTCTTTGCCATAATGAAGGAAATCAAATTTTACTCAAGAATATAATTCAATGTGGAAAATAATGGAGGCCGTCAATTGTGGCAACCAAAATATAACTATAGATGAATTGAATTGAATTTAATTTGAGATAAAGTTTTTGGTATTAGATAATTATTTTGGGGAGTTAATTTTCGTATTTGGGCATGTTAAGTGGCACTCCCACTATAAAAAGTAAAGTCGTGTTTGGCATATCAATAAAAATGCAAAAAATAAATAAGGAAATAGAGTGAAGAGACAACACTATAATTATATATGGTAGGCCATAGAATCCAATACCTATTTGGTATCTTTGGTCCAAACACGAGCCAAAAATCGTTGACTTTTTAATCCATGTCAAGACTAAGATTTGCCTTTTATAGATAAGAAAAAAAAAAACATCACTTCTTTGTTCCTCTAATTTTAATTAATTGTCATTTTTCGTATTTGTACAAATCTTAATAATAATAATAAATATATCTCGATTTGAGAAAAAATATATATTACTAGACTTAAATACCGTTATTTCAGAATCGGGACAAATAATAAGTCTGATTAATACGCGGCGAGCAGTGGATGCCTTCGAATGTGACCTACTCCATAAAAAAAAATATGCAAATTAAAAGAAGATGATGAAAAACAGTAACAAATGTCTGAAATATGAATTAAGTTCCCACCATTGATGGACCAAATTTAAATACAAATTCTAGAGTCAAAAGGCCATCCTTTTTTACCTTTAATTTATATTATATATATATATATTTTCTCCCCTTTATTTTTTTTTTTCAATTCTTTTGGCCGACATTTGAAGAAATCGGAAAGTTCGACGTGGCATCTGATTATTCGGAGTCGCTTGATTTGAACGATAACATCACAACTCACTCAGTTCATAATCACATAACTCGGTATATATCTTCGGTGTTTTTCATTAAAAAAAAATGCATTAAGTATTGAGTACGTAAAATATGTGTTATATTTCGTCCATTTCGATTCTAATTATTCTGCATTAGTGAAAGATGGATAGTGTCATTATGAATCATGATCATTAGTTCGACAATGAACAATTTTATTTTATTTTTAATTTTTTTAAATTCTTTTAAGTGAAACAATAAGTAGTGAGGTAATTGGCTATAAATGCAAATTTTGTATTATTATTATTATTATTATTATTATTATTATTATTATTATTATTATTATTATTATTATTAGATAGGTAGGAATAAATATTTGATAGAGCCTAATTTGATCTATATATGTAATGTAATAATAACTTGATGAATTTCAGGCAAAAAGGAGTGGAGCCCATTTTTTCCTAAATTTTTCTTTTGAATTTACAGATTAGTGGACAGGTATATTCCAGGAATATTCCATGGGCAGTGGAAGAGTTGCTAGTGTAGATTTATAGAGTGCTAATTACCAATCATACTAAATTTGACCTATTCTAATTAAACAATTAATTATATGTTTATTATCTCAACAGTCAACACTTCACAAAATGAAGTCCAATTTGGTTTTCTCTACGGCCCCCAATTTTTGAAGCCCCCCTTTTTTTCCTCTTCTTCTTAATTTTAGTGACACTTAATACTTAATAGAATTTTACTAGTATTAGTGTAAAATATAATAAATTTTAAGACAGAATAAAGAAAATAGACTAAAAAAAATAGAGTTAATTTGGCAAATTACGAAAATAACCCTATCGTTTGAGTAATTACAGCCATCCCCTCCTCTTAAATATTTTTACATAAATTTTAGGGTTAACTGCAAAAAATCCCCTAAACTTTGGACGTTTTTGCGCTTTACCCCCTGAACGGAAAAAAGTTGCACGAGCATACCTGAACTTACGTATTTTTAGCACCGATTAAGAAATAGTCCATTTTTGGACATTTCTGGCCGGAATCAAAATCACGTGCCTTGCACGTGAATATAACAGGGGTAAAATAGTATTTTCCCCTCAACCCCCCTTTCTATCTCCCGCTAATTCTTCTTCTTATTTTCCCTCCATTTCTCTTCCCCCCCCCCCCTCCCCCCCCTTTTTAACACAATTTTGCCCTAAATTAAGAACCTGCATCTCCCTTGTTCCCCCTTTTCCCTCTTCTCGCAGGCGATTTCAGCCCCAATTCGTCAATGGATTTGACATGCCACTGTGGAAGAAAGCTAACCATGAAAACTTCATGGACTGACCTCAACCCAGGAAGGAGATACTCCACGTGTGAAAAATATCGGGTAAAGTTTCTTCTTTTTTCTTCTGATTTTGATTTCACAAGACATCTATATTCATTCTTTTTTCTTCTGAATTTGTTCTCTTTTTTTAGCAAGTTGGGGGTTGTTACTATTTTGCTTGGATTGATCCACCTATGTGTGAAAGAGCTCGTCAGATCATACCTGGTTTGCTTCGTAGGATCAACAAGCTTGAAGAGGACCTGAAGAAGAAACAAGAAATGAAAAAATGGCTGTGGATTGGAATGTTTGTTTCATCGTTAATTGTGTACTGTTTTCTGTAAAGTGATATAGTGGTTATGTATTTGGGTGTTTGGAGTACTCTGTTTTTTTGTTAGAAAATGGTTAGTTTTGATGTAATGGCTGTTTCTAATGAATTAATGAAATTTAATTGTCAATTTGAGCACTCTATTTGTATGTCTGTTTTGTTCTTAATGAAATTTAGTTGTGTGTTTTGTTCTTAAAAAAATTGACTTCTTTGTGTTGCTATGTACTCAATTCAGAAACATCAACATAATGTAATAGAGAAAAACAAGTTTAATCCATACAAAATAACACAAGTTTAATCCATACAAAAATTCTACAAATCATGATGACTACAAAATAACACAAGTTTAATCCAAAAAAACAGGTTTCATCCACCTAGTGGATCCACAAAAAGCAAGTTTAATTCAAAAAAACAAATCAGACAAAATAAATGGATGATTTTTTGGTTTAGGTGTTTGATTGTTGGGTGCTTGGCATTGTGAGCTTCTTGTTGTATATGTCTATCATCATTGCCTTCATTGGCTGAAGAGTCAATGGATAAGACTGCTGGCTACTTGACAAGATTGTTGAGTGCTTGAAATTGCTTCCAACTGCACTCTTGTCTGTAACATTTGAATTTCTTGATTGTTGAGTGCTTCCAACTACAGCCTTGCCTTTGTCACTTGCATTTTTTGATTGAACAGGTGGCTGTGATTGTTGACTGCTTTCAAGTGTACTTGGGGCTGCATTCTTTGAGGAAAAAAATGGTCTCCTTGGTGTTCTTGCTTTGGGTATCCCCAGACTCTTATTTGGCCCTTTTGTAGGTGGCTGTGATTGTTTCTTCTTGCATGTTCTTTTAGTTGGAGCATTCTCTTCAACCTCAACATTGCTTTCAATATGCACTTCACTCTCATTTTGCATTTTATTGACATCATTGTTTTCAGCCTGCAAAAATATACAATAAGTCAAAATCATGTAGTCAAAATCATCTATTTTACATACAATTCAGCACACACTTACTGGAGGCATTTTCAATTCAGCATACACTTCATCAATTAAATCAAGGTCAATCTGCAAATCACTCTCAGCATTGTTTTCAAACTGTAAATCGCTCCCAAATGTGCTTTGAAACTGCAAAATTATAGAGTACATCAAGATTAACATAATTCAATATCTTACAACTTGCCCTATGATGGTAGACTTACTGTAGGTATATGCATTTCATCATCCTCTTCATCAAGTAATCTTAGTCCACCTTGAACCTATTAGGCAAAAGTATTAATGGTATAATGGTAGACTAATTGTACCTCAATAAGAATAATCTATTACATCATTACAATTACCTTATCCACTGGTCTCTTGCCTCTTCCTCTTCTGGTGACTGGTAACTTTGTTCTTGTTGGAACAACTGTAGGCTTAACAGTTTCAACTCCACTTGATTTTGTTGCAGTAGGAATAAAAGATTCAACTCCACTAGTTCCAACATCAGTCTTCTTTTCTTTTCTCTACAAGCTCATAACAGTATATAATTACAAATAAAGTCACATAGAAAATACTGAAAATACTTAATTAATGTAAGGCTCATACCTTTCTTTTGGTGGTGGTTGGTACTTGGCCAATTCCACTAGCTTTCCTCAATGGACATCCCTTTGCATTATGTCTCTTTTCTTGACAGTGACTGCATGTCATAATCACACCTTGCCTGCCCAGCTTTCCAATCTTTGCTATGCCTTTGCTAGTTGCTGCTGGTATATCCTTTGGCCCATTAGCTTCACCAGGTTGTTTTCTTCTAGTGTTTAGCTTTGGTCTTCCTGGCATCTTTTCAATGTCAGGGGGAAGCAATTTAGGCTTTCCTGATTGTGGCCAACTTTCATGGCCATCAAGTGTGTCCATCAGATGGTTATAGACCCTCAAATATGTTTCTTTTCTGTAGAAGTTGTCCACATAACTTTCAGGTAAATAGCCCATATGAAACATCCCTGCAATTGCATGTGCACAGGGGATTCCACTGAGTTGCCATCTTCTACAGCTGCAGGTTTTATCTCCTAGATTCACTTTGAACTTTGAACCAAAACAACCCTCCAGCTCAAATTGATCCTTCCCATTCCAATGTGCAATAAACTCCATTGCTTTCTCTTTTGAAACATCCAGCTGCTTTTGGATATTAGGACATATTTCCCCTCTGTATTTGGCCATTTTATCCCTCTTCACATGAATCCTTTTCATCAAAATCATCCTAATAGCTTCCAACATGTCAATTATGGACAGAGTCCTAGGCCTTAAAATCAAGGCATTGAAACTTTCACACATGTTATTCAGCAGAGTGTCACACTTGGAATTGCAACTGAAATATGCTCTAGACCAGTGTGCTGCTGGCCTTTTGGCAAGCCATTGAAATGCTTTTTTGTCTTTTGCAGCCAACTCCCTCAACACTCTGTCAAAATCAACAACTCTTGAAGCCCTTGCAGCTTGCCACAAGATATTTTTCAGAGCTAATCCTCTGTGTGAGAGCTTGAAGTTGCAATACAAATGCATCACACAGAATCTGTGCTCACAGTTAGGCATCACCATATCAACTGCATCAACCAATCCCTTCTGTTTGTCACTCATAATAGTCCATAGACCACAGTTTTCTATCTCCAAATCTGTTTTCAACAGCTCCATAAACCACACCCATGAATCTCTCTTCTCCTTCTCAACAACTGCATAAGCAAATGGATAGATACCATTATTGGCATCTATCCCCACAGCAGATAATAAAATCCCCCCATAAGAGGACTTCAGGTGGCAACCATCAAGGAAAATTATGGGTCTACACCCCTCTAGAAAGCCCTGCTTCAGTGCTCCCCAACATAGGTAGATTCTTTTGAACTTCAGCTTGCCTCCATCATCTCTGGTCTTGATTCTAATTGTGGTGTTAGGACTACATCTTCTTATTTCTTCAGCATATCTCCAAACAAGCCCATATTGTTCCACACTTGAGCCAGTGTTCATTTCTGTAGCCTTTTCTTTGGCCCTATACACTTGGTGTCTACTGAACAACAGTTTACAGTCTTTCTGAGCAACACTCATCATTGAGTCAACTGGCCAGTTTGGATCACTTCTTAATTTGTCCTGATACTTGTTGGCCAACCAACTAGAAGTAGCACAGGCAACTTTCTCTTTTCTATTACACTCATGGACTGCATGGATGGTTTTAATTTGTAGGGTAGCCTCACCTCTCATATTTGATGCATAAACATTCCAAGGACAACTTTCATGTTTGCATACTGCTTGAACTCTGTTTTTCTCATTCTTTGAGAACTTAATGTCTCTGCCATTTATAACAGCATGTTGTTTCACAGCATCCCTGAAAGTGTTCATATCAGAGAAGCAGAGACCAAGTTGAAATTGAGGATTGGCCATGTCCACTGTAGGGTTGAAAACAGGGAACTTATGATGTGTGAATTGGTTTTTTTTGGGAGTGAATGCCACCTCTTCATGAACCACTTTATTCAGTCTCTTAGATCTTCTAGTGGTCTTTTTGACAGTTGGACTGTCTGCTGATGGTTTATCTCTTAAGCCACCCCATTCTACACTGAAGTCAACATGGTCATCATAGTCAACATCATCATCAGATTCAAACCATTCACTGTCAACCAAGAAATCACTATATTCTGAATCTTCTCCAAGGGATTGCACATCACTGCCTCCACTGTCATTCATATCAATCAAACCATCATCAAAATGGTTCAACTCAGGCACACTATCAGAATCTGAGGCATCACTAGCATTTTCATACACATCAGGCTCATCATCATCTCCTGCATAACCAACTGGTTCATTTACTTCTGGAAATTGTGCAGATGACTCACCCAAATTCTCATTGCCTGACTCTTCAACGCTTTGATGTTGAACATAAATTGCAGCCACCCTTTCTTCATCAAGAAAGTGCACTAAATTCAATGTATCACTATCGTCTTGTAGCAAAACTAAATCATCACATCCATGTCTACTGTGGAGGAACCAACTACATCTTTCAAATCTAACTCCTTGGCCATCTCAGTAAGCTCTATCATAGACATTTCATCCACTGAGCAGTAATCGAAGAAGTGAATATCTCCAGCCAAATAACACCTTCCACTGAGGTTTAGAAACTTGCCGGAATGATACATTTTGATTGTGAAGTGTTCACTATTAGGACCTGGATTATAAAACACAACAACAAATAACTAAGTCAACAACTGTAAATAAAAAAATTGATTAAACAATAATAAATAAATAAAAATGGCCCACAAAGTGGTCCAGAACTTGAAAAAAATCAATAGCAGACAAAGACCAAGAATGTCTTGTTTCTATATGATTTAAACCATTAAAAAACTGGGAACTTTAGTATTATACTCTATTTTCATTGTCGTTTTCGACCTAAACTCGACAACCCAACATAAAAAATTGGTTCTTTTCAAAAGTTATAATAAGACATGGAAATCAACAAATCAAACATCATACCGTAATCTGGAACATCACTACTGGCTTGTCGCAACCTCCATACCATTTTGCACTTCAGGAGCGGACAGAAATCGACCCAATTTCGCAGAGATAGAAAAACCCTAAATTTTTTGTAAAGGGGAAAAAACTGCTGTGAGTGAATAATAACAGTGAAGAAGAATAAACGTGAGATAGAAAGGGGGGTTAAGGGGAAAATACTATTTTACCCCTGTTATATTCACGTGCAAGGCACGTGATTTTGATTCCGGCCAGAATTGTCCAAAAATGGACTATTTCTTAATCGGTGCTAAAAATACGTAAGTTCAGGTATGCTCGTGCAACTTTTTTCCGTTCAGGGGGTAAAGCGCAAAAACGTCCAAAGTTTAGGGGATTTTTTGCAGTTAACTCTAAATTTTATGTAATTCAGTTATTTACTGAACCAAATCGTATATTAAATTCGGTAAACGGTATGAAATGTTGGTGTACCGAAATTACGTTTCGGTTTTACCTCTGGAGGGGTATTTTCGTAAGATAATACATAGTTTAGAGTGTAGCTGTAATTACCCAAACATGAGGAGATTTTCGTAATTTGACCATAACTCAGAGGGGTGGCCGTAATTTGCCCTTACAAATATCCGCCTGATCTTTTCTCCGTCTTACAGTTAGACCCTTACGAAGTTAAGAGCAATGAGAATCTTGAGGTTTCATGGGATATTCGTTATAAAATTCCAAATCTACCCTCAGGGGTAACTGTAATGTACTCTCAGGGGAGTAAATGTAATATTTTTTCTTACCTCAAAAGGGTACTCGTAATTTACTAATGAAAGGGTAATTTTGACACAACCTTTGATGAAATTAAAGCTGCATATTCATTCATGCACAACTATTAGTCCCAATACAAACATTTTTGATCCAAGACATATTTCTTTTGCCAAAAAAAGATAAAAAAAGAATACTCAATAATTATTTCATAAAATAAACAATTTATATATAAATAATCATGTTATATACTTATATATATCATGTTATAACAAATCTTGTTTCTGAAGTAAAACTGGACCTCAATTTATTGGCATGCTTTATTGCAGCAAACCGTGACAAGGGCCGAATCTTGTTCCTGTCATTCTTCTTCATTCGATGTAGCCCGTCTTGTCTCAGTCTATACGTGAAAATGACTAGATCATCTTCTTCCGGATAATTACGTACGTAATAATCACAATCGGTGTAAATAAACACCGTCTCGATCGACGGTGCGATCTTTAACAAATTCAATAGCAACTTCTCTTCACTCGCAGACCCACAATACCCGACTATTTCAACCACCTTCAGCTTTTCCAGTTTAAACTCATTTTCCTCTATCAAATTTTCTTCAGGAAATGCCATCATATTTCGTATCTGTTACCACCAAGAGCATAGTTAGTGCTGATCGGAAAAAGAAAAAAAAAAAAAACAATTGACACAAGTCAGAGTTGAATTGAGTACCATTCGCTTGAAGATCGGTGGGAATGACACTAAGTAGTCTATCTGTAACAATATGATCGAAAGATATCCGTAAGAGTAGGATTCTTGAAAAAATTATAAAAAAAAAAAGAAGCCAAAATCTTGAAAAAACATTGTTCACCTTGATCTTAAGGTGGTGTAAGTGAGGAGATGACTTGGTCAATGATAAGAAAAAGAGAAGGCTTCGATCAACTTCCGACACAATGTTCAGTTCCAGGCTCGTGAGAGCATACAACCGAGGCGAATCAGTTGGAGCAATTGTTCTCTCAAAGCTCTGCCGGAAAAAAGAAAATGTCAAGTGTTTTTGTGATTTTCCAAGATTAGATATTCATTATACAAAAGAGATGATAATTAATAATCGGGCACATACTGAAATTTGAAGCTTCAACACAAGGTCCGTCAATTGAAACGAATAGCTTGAGTGGTTTTTAGGTTCATAAATGAAGGATTCACAGAGCGGCCCATCAAGAGTTAGTTCGGTGAGATTTGGGTTTTCCTTGAACGGAAAACTGATTTTCCTTCTTCCTTGGTAAGTACACGAGACAAGATTCTTTGCAGATATCACCAAACTTCGGATTTTCCTACAGTTGGATATTTCCAATTGCTTCAAGTATGGTAATGGATCGACAACTCGAAGATTTTTCGTAGATCTGGAACCCCTTATGCATAATTGTTCGATACAAGCACACGAAAGAAAATGGTGAACGACCTCATCCTTGATACTAACATCGACCAATTTAACGGTTCTTAGTGAGGCGAAAACACCAAGTTCTTTAAGAGTTCGGGCCCTAGTCGAGAAGCCACATAACCACGTCTCGGTAGCGTGTTCAAATACCACCTCGCAAGCGTCGGGAAATTTATATCTGTAACGGAATCGAGGTCTGACCGAGAAATCCAATTCGAGGTTTTTCAAGTCTTTTTGCATGGCGAGAAATATCCAATCGTCGATGATGTCTGATGTGGTGTATTTACATCTATTGGAGAAACGAATAATCAAGCTATCGAGACCTGTAGATTGATTCAACTCCAACTCACGTGCCAGCAAAACTTGGAACTTTCGAATGTCCATTCTAGCCCCGGTGGGAGTATCCCTATCGGAAAACACCAACGCCCTCGATGTAAACTTCCACAAATTTCTCCATCTATGAGAGAGAACACTAGCTCTCACTGCATCTTTGAGGCTCATATGAGATAGAATTGCAATAAGAATGTCGTCGGGCAATTTATCGAACACATTGCGTGCGGCGGTCTTGCGTCGTCTCTTAACACGAAAGGCATCATCAGTTCTCTGCATCATCATAAATATTACAAAAGCAATGCATGAAAAAAAATTGTGAAACTTTATAAATATAAAACCATAGACAAAAATATCATTAATTACAAACCTCATGTTTCTGCTTTCGTTTTCTTGGGTTTTCCGCATATGAATCACGCTTGTTCATCTCCATCTAATCAACAAATTTTGATTTTTACCAGTATGTATATATATGAATGAATAAAATTAAAAAAAAGGAAAAAAAGGGAAAACGTGCGCAAAGGCTCAAACTTTTATATTGCTAGATTTTTTTTAAATAGCAAGATTCAAATTTACCTGAAATTATTTTGAAACCTCAAAATGGATTCTGGGCCCTTTATTAGGATATTATTTATTTAAATTTAAGATTTTTTTGTTTTTCATGATTCTTTCCAAATTATCTTTATTCTTTATCTATCCAATTTAAATCGATTTGTTAGGAAACTAGAACAAAATCCTTTTTGCAAGTAATATATGTAAAAGATTGGTTCATTTGCAGGCTAATTTGTGAATTTTACTTTCCCCTTGTACTTTGGATTATTATCACTTTACCTATTTTATCCTCGATTGTATTAATTTGCTCCATATATTCGAAAAATTGTCTCAATGTGCCCCTCACCGTTAGTTTTCTGACATTTGACCTTAACATTGTTCTATCTAAATCTGAAAATTACAAAAAACCACCCCTCCCAGTAGGGGTGGGCATTCGGGTCGGGTCGGGTTATTCGGGTTATTCGGGTCGGGTTATTCGGGTTTTTTTCAAAAAAAATATTACCTGAACCCGACCCGAGATAACCGGGTACCCGGCAACCGGGTACCCGGTTATTTCGGGTCGGGTTCGGGTTTTCCTATTTTTTTTTTTTTTTTTTTTTTCATTTTTGAAAAATAAATAGTAAAATTTACTTAAGATATATATATATATATATATATATATATATATATATATATATATATATATATATATATATAGACATACAGACATACAGGACATATATGTATATATATACAGACATACGTATATATATATATATATACAGACATACATATATATATATATATACAGAGATACAGACTATACATATATATAGACATATACATACATATACTGCATTACACATACATATAAAAAAAAAAAAAAAAAAAAAAAAAAAAAAAATTCAACCGGGTACCCGATCGGGTAACCCGGTAGGATTTCTAATACCCGGACCCGACCCGGTTTGGGAGCACCGGGTACCCGAACCCGGAAAAAACCCGGTTTCATAAAAAATTACCCGATCCGGTCGGGTAATACCCGACCGGGTCGGGTTATACCCGAATAACCCGACCCGAATGCCCACCCCTACCTCCCAGTTTAAAATATTAAAAAATAAAAAATTATGGCTGACGTCGTGCAATATATTTTCTAAGAGGTATTCTGAATAAACACCGTTTTTAACCCATCAAACCGGAATTATTTAAAAAAAAAAATAATTGACTCTATAAACTCTTGTTGATTAATTTTGTTTTTTTTTTTTTCCATTTCATCGCAAACTAATTAGTGTAATTTTTTTTTTTTTATTATTATATGTAGGTTGCTATTGAGTTTCCTTATATTTTCACGCAAGATGTCCCCTTTGGCCTAATTGTTTATCCAATGATTGGATTCGAAATTCTTGTTCATCATGTACTTGTGTCTATTGTACTTCACCTTCTACGGGATGATGTCGTTGTCCGTGTCACCAAACCACCACATCGGCTCGGTAGTAAGCACTTTCTTTATACTGCTATGGAATCTCTTCTCGGGTTTCATCATCCCACGCCCCGTAAGTGTTGGGTTTCGGGCACGCATACGCAGCGGAAAACGAAAATTTTATGCGATTTAAACGACTTTAAAGCACATAAGAACATGCCCGATAAATTAAATTCAATTAATTGCGTACCTTTGCGCTTCCAGCGAAATTAAAAACAATTTACATACTAATAATTTCAGCCGAATTAAAAACAATTAACATGCTCGCGTTTAAACCAAATAACATGCTTGCAATGATTTAATCGATTACACATAATCACATAAAATCATACAAAGCAAAACATGAAATCATAGATTAAACGAACTTCAAAACGAAACTAGGGTTTCGTGTGTTTACCTCTTGAAGCGTGAGGTAGGGGCGATTAATACGTCGTGATTACCACGGAAACCAATCCGTGGAATCGGGGCAGCAGCGGTGCAACGGCAGCAGCGGCGCGTGAGGTCACGGCGGCGCGTGTGATATACGCGCGGCTTCGGGGCGGCGCGTGGGGCAGCGTGCGGCTTCGGCTCGTGCGTTGCTCCTCGATTCTTCGATCTACGGTCTTCCTCCTCTCGGATTTCACCTCGTATACTTCGATCTACTAAAACGTGGCACTAGACACGAAGTAGTTAGAATTAACGGAAGAAAAAGAAAGGAGAAAAGAATACCGAAATGGATCGGCCAAGGGATGGCCGATTCCGGCGACGGGGCGGCGCCAACGGCGGAGGTGGCCGCGCGGGAGAGGGGGCGAGAGAGAGAGGGGACGGCCGCTAGGGTTAGGGTTTGTTGTGTTGTGTGCAAGGGCTATAAATCATGTATTTATAGTCCCTTGCATAAAACCCTAGCGGGCTTAAGTTGGACTGGGCCCAACAGCTTAAGCTCGTTAGTTCCTTTACTTGCTCGTCTCTCTCAATTCAATGACCGAAAAATTTCAACGATTGCATTTTCGGAATCATTACAACTTCCTCGTCATTACGAGTGCCATCTCTTATTTTCCAACTTTCCAAAAGTGGAAACCCTAGTTCAGTGGACTTTCTAAATTTGGAAACTTCCCGATTTAGAAAGTTCACTAACACGTTCGCCTATTCTTTTCCTTTTCTTATTCTCATTCATAATTCCAAATTACGAATGTTGGACTCAATCGTATTGACTTCCAATTATGCAAAGATAAACTATTTTATCTCTGACCGTTTATTCAAAGATCTCATGTGCACGAGCAGTGTGACCCTCGATGGTTCAGGTGTAAGCTAGCCGTGGGCCCACAACCCTTTGTGGTCAAAACTCGTCCCCTTCGAGTTACGATTAAGATGAAGCTCGTTTCACCTTAATCACCCAACGAATCAAGATTGGCGTCTAGCAACTACGCGTCATGATTCCCTAGATACAAATGAAGTGCCTGCAAGAACCTTCAGATATAGTTAACGTACAGTACGGTCCCTTCGATTCATATGTCCCGATCGAACTAGAGGCATTGGTTCATCGAGACCTCTTTATATGTTCGATGACGGTGCGATCGTTCCAAGTGTTGTAATCGTCACGTGCATGACTTAGAGAATCGAATTCTCTAATCATCACTTAGTCAGCTCTGGCCAGAGACTTAGAATGATTACAAACTTTCAGAACACACAGGACATCCAAGACTATTCTAGCGATCGAATCCCCGACTACAATGCACATACCTCCCACTAGATTTCGGACTGCACGAACACTGGCCCTTGGGATGGTCCTCGGTGGAACTCAGGGACAGGTCACGATACAGCTGGTCCTCTAGTGAAGTCACGGTGATGTCTAGGTCATAAGGACTAATGGTGTACAACTATACCATAGATATCTCTACTCGATTATTGGGAACCACTTAGAGATTTCTAGGGTGAGGGAGTTCAGTGAACTCGTCAGCTTACGAGCACCCACTTATGCATGCCGATATCACAATACCGTTTACTGATGAGATGCAGTACACATACACTAAGTGCCAGTCTTAATGGGAAAGGCCGATATCCTCATTAGTGGCGTAACCCTTCGACTAGGAACACGTTTAACAGTTATAATACTTAAGTAAATATCTCACGATCCTAACGATCAATTACTAGTACTTGTAATAACTGTAAGGACTATATCTATGCTTGTGACAAAGGGACAAAGATATAGAATGCCAAGGTGTTTTTATCATTAATACGAATAAAGGTTCGTTTATTACAATAATAAATACGAAAGACCACAGCCACAAGTTGGCTTGTTGGTCACCTACTCTAACAATCTCCCACTTGACCTAAAGCCAACTACCCATGAATCGCAATCCCATCGACTCTCGATGTTTCTCATGGACCGATCTCGGTAAAGGCTTCGTAAAGGGGTCTGCAACGTTCTCTTCCGAGGTGACTCGTTCTACCTTAACTTCACCTCTATCAATGATCTCTCGGATCACGTGATACTTCCTCAGAATATGCTTCGACTTCTGATGAGATCGCGGCTCCTTAGCTTGTGCCACGGCTCCGGTGTTATCACAGTACAACGGTACTGGATCACTAGCATCAGGAATGACACCCAACTCTTGGATGAACTTCCTTATCCAAGTCCCTTCCTTTGCAGCTTCGGACGCTGCAATGTATTCCGCTTCGGTAGTGGAATCGGCCGTCGTGCTTTGCTTGGAACTCTTCCAACACACGGCACCACCATTAAGCGTGAATATAAATCCAGAATTTGACTTTGAGTCGTCCACGTCCGATTGAAAACTAGAGTCAGTGAAACCCTCTAATTTCAACTCGGCACCCCCATAGACCAAAAATATATCCTTAGTCCTTCAAGTACTTGAGGATATCTTTCACGGCTTTCCAGTGAGCCGGGCCGGGGTTAGACTGATATCTGCTTGTGACACTCACAGCATACGCAATATCAGGTCTTGTACATAGCATGCCATACATTATGCTTCCTATGGCAGAAGCATAAGGCGTCCTTTTCATCTCCTCGATTTCACTAGGTGTTTGCGGACACATAGATTTCGAGAGACGAACCCCATGGGACATTGGCAAGAATCCCTTCTTGGATTCTTCCATGCTAATCCGTTTCATAACGGTGTCTATGTACAGGCTTTGGGATAAGCCAAGCATCTTTCTTGTTCTATCTCTATAGATGCGTATTCCTAATACATAAGATGCTTCTCCCAAATCCTTCATTGAGAAATGTGTGGACAACCATGCTTTCGTTTGCTGCAACATTCCTACATCATTCCCAATGAGCAGAATGTCATCAACGTAAAGCACTAAAAATATCACTGCCCTCCCACTAACCTTCTTGTATACACAAGGTTCCTCCGGATTCTTCTCAAAATCAAACTCTTTGATAGTTGAGTCGAATCTAATGTTCCAACTATGGGATGCTTGCTTCAATCCATAAATGGATCGCTGGAGCTTGCAAACCTTTTGC